GAGGGCCTTACCCAGACTCGCGCATGGGGCAGAGCGTTATTTCCTCTAAATCCACTGGCCACCCAAGCCAGGGTGCCTGATTTAGGTTTGTTCCCTGTTATGTCTGATGATAGTGCTTCCAGTTTCAAGTGACCTGCCCGTTCCCCCAACTCTTGAGTACATTTGTGTGTTTTGGAATTGAAGGTCCTGCTTCCCAGGGCCTCTGAAGTCACCGGTGAAGTGCTGGGTCTCCGTACTTCTCAAGGCTCAAATGCAGAACAGAGGACAGAGACCCACACATTCCCATAACGGCGGAAATGAGATCCTGGCCCTCGGGACAGCTAATTCAGAGAGCGCTGTAGGCTCTAAAGGGGCCTAATTAGCTGTTTGATGGGAATTTGGTTTGGTTTGGTTTGGTTTGGTTTGGTTTTTCGAGACAAGGTTTCTCTGTGTAGCTTTGGAGCGTGTCCTGGAACTTGTGCTGTAGACCAGGCTTGCCTCGAACTCCCAGAAATCCTCCTGCCTCTGTGCTGGAGCGCTGCCACTTCGCTGCATGATGGGAATTTGTAAGAGAAGGAAAGAGATGCTCCCCTAAGAACTGGCCAGACAGTGCTCCTGGCCCTGGAGGGAGTCAGGCAGTCCCTCTCCTCCTGGCACCCTCCTCCTCTTCCTCTTCTTCCACTCCCCTTTCTGTGTGTATGATTTGTGCGCACATCTGTGTGTGTGCACGCCAGCAGGCATATGTCACAGTGAACCTCTGAGGTCAGAGGACGACTTTTGGGGACTGGTTCTCTCCTTCTACCGTAGGTTCCAGGGACAGAACACAGGGTCTCGTACAGCAAGCGCCCTCACTCTCCGAGCCACTTCATCCTTGGAAGGTTTTTCAATAATTCAAAATATTCTCTTATCACACAACCCAGCAGTTCTGCTCCTAGAGATCTCCAGGAGCGATGAATGCATTCATTCTCAGTAAATCTTACAAAGTTTCATAGAACTGTGTTATTAAAATACAATTTAATTTTTTTCTTTTCTTTTATTTCTTTTTGTTTGTTTGTTTGTTTTGGTTTTTCAAGACAGGGTTTTACTGTTTAGCTCTGGTTGTCCTGGAACTCACTTTGTAGAGCATGCTGGCCTTGATCCACCTGCCTATGCCTCCTAAGTGCTGGGATTAAAATGTGTGTCACCATGGCCCTGCTTAGTTTTGTTTTTGTTTTTTTTTTTTCTAAATTTTGTGTGTGGGGGGGGGGGAGGTGTTTTGCCTGTATGTATGTCTGAGCACCCTTTGCATGCAGTGCCTGTGGAGGCCAGAAGAGGGCGCTGGATGCCCTGGGGCTGGGATTACAGAGGGTTGTGCGTCCCTAAGGGAGTGCTTGGGATCAAACAAGAGTCCTCTGAAAGAGCAATGAGTGCTCTTGGTTACTAAGCCATCTCTCTCCAGCTCTGTAGAGTGATTTTGTTTGTTTGTTTGTTTTGTTTGCTTGTTTTTGTTTTTCGAGACAGCATTTCTCTGTGTAACCCTGCCTGTCCTGAAACTCTGTAGACCTCTGGCCTCAAACTCACTGAGATCCACCTGCATCTGCCTCCTAAATGCTGGGATTAAAAGCATGTGCCACCACAGCCCGGCCTGTAGAGTGATTCTTAATATATAGGCTCCAACTAATTAATTTAAATGTCCCTTGTGGTGAGTAGATAAGCAAGCTGTCATACAGCCAGACAGCAGAAGAAAAAAAAGACCAAACTATTGATGCATGGATCCCCACATGTTCATCTTAGTGATACTGGGGAATACCTATCATATATCATATCATATTCAATACATAGGAATTCCCAGAAAGGAAGAATAAAGATAAAATCAGCTGGGTTCTGCTTTTTGCCTGGGCTCGTGGGAGGGAGAGGCAAATGGGTGGAAGGGGTGTGTGATTTGAAGTAAGGGACATTCTGAGACAGGGCTGTGGCAATGGTGGCACAGCTGTTTATACTTATGATCTCCCTAAAGGACTGAAGCTCAGTAATAACTGAACTGGGCCAGCAGCTCAGTAGTAGAGCACCTGCTTGGCTTCCACGGAGCCCTGGGTTGGATTTCCAGCGTGGCAAGAAAGAAGAGAGGAAAGTGATCGCTGTGGTAGTCTCAGTGTTAGGAGCCGAGGGAGGGCCAAGGGGCCCTGAGAAGCCGTCCGTTTGGTGTGGGCTCTGCATTTGGAAGTCTGAGCACTGACACCTGGCCGGTTCTGACTGGCTCACAGTGCCTCTGCTGTCTCTTCTTCCTGCTAATCACAGAGCTCGCTCTGTGCCACGCCTGTACCTTACACTCTCTTTACTCAGGAGGTGAGCCCAGCTCCCGGATCCACAGGAGGGAACGGAGGTCAGGCATATGTGGGGCCTAGCACGGCTGGCTTACGACTTCCTCTGGAGTCAAACTCCAATTCTCCCAGCTTCCGCAGTCAGCTCTATGAGTCTTGAATCTGTACCCAGCCCAGGGACTCGCCACTCAGGAGGTCCAGCTCTCCAGGGTTCTTCTTATATTTACTGTAACAATCTCATTCTCCTACCTGCCCAAGAGCCCATTGCTCTGAGGATCCCAACAGCACCAACTGTCCCAACCACCTGCCTGTTGCTAGAACCTATCAGTTCATTTATTGGTTTCATTCTGTGTTTTGGTACTTATTTTAAACGTATCATCTCATTTTTAATTCTTTAAGCTATGTCCTGCCCTGACCACTTCGTACAGACGTGGCCAGTAGGGTGACGTGCCCCTTAGCCTTCACCTGTGTGAGGAACATCTCAAGTTTGTGAGGAACATCTCTCGGCTCAGTGAAGGCTAGGAAGCAAGGTTGCAAAATATCACTCAAGCAATTCTCCTGCCTCGGCTTCCTAAGAAGTTGGCCCTGCAGGTACACACACCCCAGTACTCATTTAGGCCCACTTAAGAAACTGTTTCATAGGTTAGATAGGTTTCCAAAGAAAAGAAACTTTTAAAAAGTTTGAAGCTGTCACTCACTGGCGTAGACCTGAGGCCTGGAGGGTAGAAGGAGCTCGGAACGGTCACAGAGGTTGTGACTTACAGGCATGGAAGAGGAGGCAGATCTCCGACTCTGTGTGGCGATCTCTGTGACTAGTTTACAGAGCTGCACAGGAAGCCAGGGCTTCTGCCCAGACGTGTGTGTGCTGGGAACATCTCAGTTCTCCCAAGGCCTCCACCTCTTCTCTCTCTCTGTGACAGCTGCCATGTTGGGCTGTCTTGACACATAACGGAGGTTGCTGTGGGGGTCGGCCGTCAAAACCTGCTGGTGGACAGCAGCAGCTGGTGTAGATCAAACACAGGGAGATTCTGAGAGCCGGATGACGAGGGAGACAGCGAACAATGTTCCTCAGGGAGAAATGAAACACTTATTGGTAAGACTGTCTGCTCCAAAGTGAAATACAGTTGCGTGTGGACAAAACAGAATGATATGAACTGGAAGAGGCACAGTTTTGGGAGGATGGACAAAGCCATGGCAGCGCTATAAATATTATAATTACTGGAATCTCAGTATTATTCACTATTTTCCTCAGAATAGTGACATTCAACATTCGATTCCGTTCACCCCCTCATAGACAGAGGGAAAGTTTGGTATGGACCTTAATTTGTGGGGGCACAAACACCACTTTTCCCCATTAGAGATCATCCGTGTCGTGCTAAAAACGGCGCATTAGATGACTCGTGCGTAATCGACTCTCTGACGCGGACGACGCTCAGAGAAATTAAGGTATAAATGTGAGCGCGCGGCTGTGGCTGGAGCAGATGCCTGAGGTCAGTGGGACCCGAGCAGTCCTCAGACGGAGCCGGACACCTGTCGTATTGGAGGTGAGAGGGAGCGGTCCTGGGGGAAGGGCTGGGAAGGGACAAGAAAATCTGACATCTCACCAACTAACGGAAACCAAGTCAAATGGCCCATGGCCAGCCTCCAGGTCCACGGATTGGTGAGGACATGAAGTTCCCGTTCTGAGTGCAGTGACCGCTCAGTAGAGACTCTGGAATGTGCTTTTGGTGGCTGATGCCATGTAGGCACTGTGGGGAAGGCATGACACTTGGTCATGGAGAAGAGGCAGAAGTGTCGCAGGAATTGGTGAGAGGGGAGGGCGCCCTTGGGGGCTCCTTCCAGGGTGTGGGGTAGGCTTCTGGGTTGAGACACGAGCTGGCTGGATTCTCCTTTCAATGACAGGACTCAGCCGTGCATCTGAAAGCAGCCCAGTTGCTGTAGAGATCGATGTGGCTCATCGATCACTGAGAACCAACTCAGTGACTGCCTGGAAGCTGATATCGTTTTGCTTTCTCCCTCAGTTGCAGCCTTGCTCCTTGCTCTAATTTTCAGTCATAATTATTGGGTTTTGGAGGCTTTTATGACCGCATGCCTGATCCCTACACCTCGCTTGAAAATAGAGCTGAAGTACTTATCGTTATTATTGTTTTCCACCATAAGCTGCCTCAAATCCTTCTTTGGCACTTGCTTCCTCATTGAACACTTAAGATTTCGTGTGTGGTGTGGTCCAGTCTTTGTCTAGAACGTGCAAAGCCCTGGGTTCTGTCTCCCACACCACAGAAATGCTCAGCTTCAGACTTTCTTGCACTTGAGGTGTTTTTGGTTAAATGACTTCAGGATTGAGAATCTCGACACTTGGCAGTTCTCAGTTGCAAAGGAGAACATTTAACAAAGGTGGAAGAGTCCCTCGGGGGTTTTACAGACCCTTGTTTGTGTGGACATCAGAGACCTGACCTGTCATTTGCATGGATGTGTGTCTAGAATTCTTTTTGTTATTATTATTTATTTGTTTTAATTGTAAGTTTTTAAAATTCGTTTTACATACCGACCACAGTTCCCCCTCCCTCCTTGTGTCTGTAGAATTCTTGTGGTGCTTGTGGCAGGAGGCTGTCAAGAGGTGTCAACTGATGAGAATTGATGCCCTCTTCTCCCAACACCCAAGACCTCAGCTATGTCCAATCCCATAATTAATCACGCCCAAGATCTAGAGTACCTTAAACCTTGCCAGAATCAGCTGAGTTTGGGCCACTCTGTCACACGGGTTTGGGCCACTCTGTCACACGGGAGAAGAGTTGAAAACTATTTCTCTGGTTGTTTCTGTTTGTTTTTGTTTTTTGTTTGTTTGTTTGAGACAGGGTTTCTCTGTGTAAACTTGGCTGTTGTGGAACTTGCTCTTTAGACCTGGCTGGTCTCAGATTACAGAGATCCACCTGCTCCTGCCTCCTGAGTGCTGAGACGTGAGTGCCACCACCACCCAGCCCAAATGATTCTTGTTGTTCCGGTCTTTATCCACTGGGGTTGGGCAACCCCACGCAATAGGTTTGCATAGCTGGGGTTGCTGTAGAGTCTGGGCCTATCCCTGGGACAAAAGGCAAGTGTTGCTGCTTCTGCTTGACCAGGCTGTGCAGCGACTGAGCCTTCTTATGAATGAATGGGGGGGGGTGTTGCTGGACTTGTGAGAACTGTTCCCCCAAAGTCTGCTCTCTAATAAGGTTACTTCAACTCCTTGGCACCACTGGTACGCAGAGGGAGGTGCCAGTCAAGCAAGTGTTCCTGTTTGTTCCTCTTTGGAGTTCTGGGAGGCCCCATGACAAGGAGCAAAAGCTATCCTTTTTTTTTTTTTTTGACCCCTCTCCCAGGTGCAGGTGATAAACCCTGAACTAAGCCTCATGAATAGGGAGAACTGTGGCTAGTGTATTGCGTGTGAGCAGGAGGAAGTCCGCTGGCCTGGGAAGTAAGGGCCCACTCTGAAGATAATTTGATGGGGAATCATCTGAGAAATCCCTTCCTCCTCCTTGACTCTGGTGTTGGCTGTGAACTGAGGCTGACAGTCCAGCTCTGAAGCCAGGCAGACAGGCCTGTAGGCGGAGGTGGGGACAGTGGGGTGGAGGTGGGGGATGGGATTTCCTTTTGAACTCTAGGGAGCAGACAGGAGGGAAGGAGGCAGAAGAGAGCTTAGGTTAAGAGCAGGGCCTGGACCTCATGCCAGAGGGTTTCTGATCATGGGAGTAAAGAGATCAGGGGCCAGCCGGGCACAGTGGTGCACACCTTTAATCCCAGCACTCGGGAGGCAGAGGCAAACAGATTTCTGTGAGTTCGAAGCCAGCCTGGTCTACAGAGTTTGTTCCAGGACAGCCATAGCTATACAAAGAAACCCTGTCTTGAAAAACAGAGAGAGAGAGAGAGAGAGAGAGAGACTGAAACTAGGGGTCTGGAGATGAGACATGAAGGAGGTGAAAAGCCAATGTGTCATAGAGAGACAGGAAATACAGTGCTTATAGTCAAGGCACCTTTCCTATGCCCAAAGAGTTCCCTGTTTGGAAAGTCCACTTCTGGAGAGGCCCAGCCCAGCTGGGAAAGGAAAGCCGCAGTGTGATACATGAGGAAGACAGGGAGTGCAGAGACTAGAAACAAGACAGTCACATGAAAATGTACCTGAGAGGCCTGGTGTGGGGTGAGGGACCCGGGACCACAGTGAACAGTTCCTACGGGTGCTTTCTGGAACCCAAGGCATTCCTGACCAGAGAAGGCCAGAATCTGCAGAAGGGGCCTGTTGTCTGAAGAGAAGTGAATCTAGGCGGGCATTCTGGACTTGGTTAGTGCAGGTCCTGCCTGCAGAAGTCAGCCCTCAGTGGAATACGGGAGAGAGAGGAATCACGGGAATGGAGGGGTGCCGCCTTTCAGGGACCAATCAGATCCTCCAGAGCAGAGATCCTGGAGAAGACCCAGACCAGGTCAGGCCAGAGTGGAAAGGAACATCTTCTTGAGCCAAGGCAGCTCTTCCCCTAATGCAGAGCTTGGTGTTCACAGGGCCCCAGTGAAGGGCAATTATGAAGTCTGTGAGAAGATTCTGGCACACTCACCTTGATGCTCCATCCTTCCCTTTCAGAGCTCGGGGTAATGTAACAATTCTGCCAGGTGTGGAAGTACATGGCTGTAATTCCAGCTCTTAGGAAGCCGAGGCAGGGGAATTATGAGTTAGAAGTCAGCCTGTGCAATACAGTGAATTCCAGGCAAGCCTTGGCTCCATTTCTAGATGCTGTCTCATACCCTACCTTCAAAATGTCAGCTTCCAGGACAGGAAGTTTCTGTCTTTCCTCCAACTCCACACAAACTGAAACGGCATGAATCTACCTTCTGAATAAGTGTTAGGTGACCACAGCAAGAGTTTCTAGGGAGTTCCTTGGGGGTGTTTCTTCTCACCTGTCCTGATAATTATGGTTATTATCTCCATTTTGTGGCTGGGGAAACTGAGGCTCAGACAGGCTAAGGCACCTGTAACGGGGAGCTCAGGTAGTGAGAGCAGAACTAGGATCTGAGCATGGTATGGCATCCTCTGCTCCCTGCTGTCTGCCAGCCAGGGGGCTAGGCTCTCTCCTGTGTCTCTCCTGAGTGTGTGTGTTCCCTCACACCTTCCAGGAGAGGCGGTTTCCCTATGTTAACTAATTTTCTACTCAGCCTCATGAGGTGGCTACTGTGACTTCATTGCAGGCAGGGAAGCCAGAGCTGAGGATAGACAGTGTTGGATTTAAATCTAAGTATGTCTGACTGACTTCCAAAGTCCCACAGCCAAAGGACGAGGACCAGGGCATGTCACGGAGTGGTGCCCGGGGGACGCTGTGACTATGTCTGAGTGTGCCTTCCTGGTCTCTTGTGCAGGTTCCACCCAGGAGTGAAGGATGCCACTCTGGGTGTTCTTTGTGATCCTCACCCTCACCAGTGGCTCCCACTGCTCACTGCCCACCTCACTGCCCTTCAGGTAAGCAGCCAGGATGCCTATACCTCCGGGACCTCCCCATAATAGTGGATGCTAACTGGAGCCACCAGCTGTGTCTCACAGGGCCCACTGCTCACCTCAGGCAGGGACCAGTCACGGAGCCCCGGAAGACAGGCAGCCAGGCTCCGAGTCTCTGTGGGCTTGAGGGGAACACAGAAGAACAGAGGGAGGCCTGTTAATGAGATACAGTGTAGCTTGCACTGTCCTTTCCCTGGGCCCCATCCTGACCTCTGACCCTTTTGCACAGGATGAGGCGATATGCAGACGCCATCTTCACCAACAGCTACAGGAAAGTTCTGGGCCAGCTATCTGCCCGCAAACTGCTCCAGGACATCATGAGCAGGCAGCAGGGGTAAGCAGACATTGTAGTAGCCTTCCCTAGTCTCCTTGCACGAGAACTGGGAAGGTCTGATGCAGGAGGTGGGAGCCAAGCTTCGTTTCTTCCCTGACACAGTATATATCGGTGGTCCTCAAGCTTCCTACTGCCGCGACCCTTTAATACAGCTCCTCATGTTTAATACAGACCCTCAACCATACAAAGGTTTTGTTGCTACTTCATAACCCTAATTTTGATACTGTTCTGAATGGTAATGCAAATATCTGGTATGAGACCCCCAAAGAGGTGGCACCCCACAGACTGAATTTCACACAGGCCGAACGTCCGCTTACCTTCTGTGTGCCTCTCCCTGTCCTTGGCTTCAGCAGTGACAGTGCTGATGGTCATTGTTCCTATCTGATCAGGACTCCAGGCCAGAAACAAAGACGAGGCATGGGGACCTGCGCATACATGAGGACTCAGCTGGGGACACAGGAACCTGTGCCAGAGCAGCCTCTATAAGTCTCTTCTCAGACCTGTGAGGCCAACTGTCACCACCTCCCAGACAGACCCCATGTGTCATCTCTAAAGGATGCACAGAACGTGGCCAGGCAAAGATCCAAACAGCCTGAATTTGTAGTTTTTGTTTTGGAAAACCTTTAAATATACACAAAGGTTATGGGGATGGAGTTAGCTTTTGCGGAGGGTCTGAGTTCAATTCCCAGTACCCACATGGAGGCTGACACCTGTCTTCGACTCCAGTCCCAGGGCATCCTGGCCTCCATAGGCACTAGGGATACATGTAGGCAAACAACAACAAAAAGCCCGTACACATAAAAATAAATAAGTACAAAATTTAAAGCTACAGTAGTACTCTTAGAGTCAACAGCGCCTAACATTTTATCATTTTTTCTTAGACCAGTAACATACACATACACATCTAGACACATGCACGTTTCCCATGATGATGGTCTCATTTTCACTGAGCCATTTTTAAGTTTCTTATTTCTTTTGACACAGGATCTTGTATAGCTTAGGCTGGTCTTGAACTCGATATGTATCTGAGGATGACTTGCTTCTGAGCCTCCTGGTTGCAGGCTTGCGCATTACAGTTCTCAAGCCCCCCCCCCCCCCCGTGGCGCTTGTGTCTCCTAACATTTGACAAACCACACCCCCTCCTGTCCTCAGGGCCATGTCACTCACGACATATAGTCAAATTTCATCAGTTGAATTATAATCCTTTATTATAATTATTTCTTCTCTGACCCTAGACCCAGCGTGGGATCCAGCTCCATTTAGTCACCACCATATCTCCGTTTTCATGGTGGCCTTATTTTATGCGTATCATTTCTCATGTATGTCTGTGCACCACATGCATGCCAGGGTACCCTCTGAGGTCCAAAGTGGGCCTTGGCTCCCCTGAATCTGGAGTTATGGATGGCTGTAAGGCACCATGCAGATGTTGGGAATCAAACCTGGGTCCTCTACAACAAGGGCTCTTACCTGCTGGGCCATCTCTCCAGCCCTTTGCATATCTTTGAGTTTAACCTGGAAGATGCCTGATGTTTTTGACTTGGGCAACTTTGACTGGTAGATGTCATTGCTTGCTAGACGGTCCTTCACTGTGAACCTGTCCAAGGTACCTTCATAATCAGCACCCGCTGTGGCCACAGTATCAGAAGCTGCCACACAATGGGTTGTCCTGTAACTGGTGGACATTACATTGGACCACTTGTTTAATGTGCTATCTATAAGATTAGCAATCTGTGGGGAGGGTTTTGCAGCGGTACACATATGTGTGCTCCATATTTCACTGCCGTGCACGCTGCTCCCCAGGTGTTGCTGAATGCAAGTGGGTTTCCTAAGAATCCACAATCAGATACTGGAATAGCAAAGGGCTACACCCCTGACTGGACAGTCTATCCATTGACAACCTCATTGCTTCTCCTTCCCCAACCCACAGGGAGAGGAACCAGGAAGGAACCAGAATACGGCCTGGCCGACAGGTGGACAGCATGTGGGTGGACCACAGGCAGGTGGCGCTGGAGAGCCTCTTGGTAGCCCTGCTGCAGAAGCACAGGTGATGGGAGCAGGGAGAAGGGGGGGGGATGTATGATGGGGGGGGGCAGGGAGGAGGCCAATAGATTTCTGTAGGGACTTTAGAGACGTCCTTCCTTCTGGGTTTCTAAGAAAAGCAAAGAATCACCTCTAAAGCACTCCCTCCCCCCGCAGGCCTCAGGGACAGGGAGGGATGTGTGAGGGGACTGTACGACGGCCACTGCAGTGTCCAGTGCAGACCAAGAGGTCAGGCTCGGCGTGTCTTGAAATGTCATCAGTGCTTCTGGTTTGGGTCTCAGACCCTGAGTTTTAACGGGTATCCCAATGGACTGCATTGTGGCGGTATGAAGGGTACACCTCGGATCCCATGTGAAGCCCATGAACCTATAATGCCCAAGACGGGCCAGCTTTGTCATGCCCAGTGGCTGACCAGAGCAGGCAGAACACTGTCATGAGAGGCAGAGGCAGAGCTGACCATGATGGTCATTCCCCATCTCAGTGGCCCTCACATTTCCACCGGGAGTCAGGATAGATGGAGAAGTTTCCCCTTTTACAGAAGAGGAAAACTGAAGTTAAGTGGAGGAGGCAGGGTGGGAGAGACTAGCCGGTCCAGAAAGAAACGCTGCATTCGACAGCCTGACTGTAAACCGAGCGCACGGTGCTTCATGGTGCAGTTCTGTCGGGTGCTCCCACAGCAGCCTTAAAACAAACTCAGCTCCATCGGAGCTGGCCATGTGCCCCTCACCTTCCTTCTGACCTGATTGGGCACTCGGAAGCAGAAAGCTCACCAGCTTCACTGTCAGGCGGATGATGAGGGTCGGGGGTGGGGAACCAGACTGGAGGCAGTCTTCCAGAAGTCCTGAGTTAAATTTCCAACACCCACATCACAACCATCTGTAACTGTAGTCCCATGGGATCTGATGCTTTTTTCTGGTTTGCAGACATACATGCAAATTAAACACCCAGATACATAAAATCCATACCTAAGTAAATAAATCTTTAAAACAGCAAGTTCAAGGCCAGCCTGGGCTACCCGGTAAATTCCAGGTCAGCCTAAGCTATGAGACCCACCCACCTCTGCTATCCTCCCTGACAGGAAGTTGCCAAGCTGTTTGAGCCATTTTCTCACTTTTGTAGCAGCCGGTCAGCGGATACTGTGTGTGAAGGCCTAGGCTGGGGATCAGCTGTGCTCAGATCAGGGGTAGCAGTGAGGATTCCCACTTGTTCTTGTGAGGTTGTTCATTCAACTTGTGACTAACAGAAAGGTTTGAAGGGTGTGGCACATGTTTGTCTGGGAAGAAGCTGGTCCTGTCTAAGGGTCAGAAGGGAAGTGACTAGCCCAGGGTCTCAGTGGCAGCAGGTTAGCAGTGCAGGGGCTAAGAGTGGGATTTACATTTCCACAGCCATGAGCATCTTTCTGGCCACTGCCTCCCACCTCTGGGAACCCAGAAGCTCTGCCCCTGCTTACCAGAGTCTAGATTGAGTGTCTCTTTCTTTCTACAGCAGGAATTCCCAAGGATGAAGCTTTCAGCAGAGGCTTGGGCCACCCACACCCCAAACAACTGGACCCAGTTACTTCCATTTCAGTTTTGACTTGATCCTTTCTCTGTAAATACAATAAAATTCCCTATCCTGATCTGCGCTTCAATTTCCTTATTGTCCATCTGATTTTTCAAATGTGGTTTATGTGGTTGTCTCTCCCAGGTTTAGCATCACAAAGCGTAAGAATATAGCTGGAGATGGAGAGCAGGCTCAGATGGTGAAGTTCTTGCTGTGCAAGCAAGCATGATGACTTGAGTTCGGTTCCTGACACCCGCATAAAAACCAGGTGACACGGGAGCACATGCCTGTGGTCCCAGTAAGGGAGGGGTCAAGGAAGACATCCCTCAGGCTCACTGGCCAATCAGTTTAGTTTAGTCTGTGAGTCCTAAGACCCAGTGAGAGACAATGTCTCAGAAAACAGGTCCTTGGCTACACAGTAAATTCCAGGTCATTCTGGACACACACGACATTGTCTCCAAAAAAAAAAAAAGGCATTTTATTGTAAGTAAACCTTAAAAATTGACAACCATAGCAAGGTGGTGGTAGTGAACGCTTTTAATCCTACCACTCAGGAGGCAGAGGCAGGAGGATCTCTGTGAGCTTAAGGCTAGCCTGGTCTATAGACAGCCAGGGTTACATAGACAGACCCCGTCTTAAAAAAGAAAAACAGAAACAAATAACAACAATAAAAACAAACTGGGAAGCCTGGATGATGGGATGTCCAGAATGATTAAAAGTGTAAAAATAACCGCAGCATTCAAAATTGGATGGGACTCCCACCTCTTGGTTTCCCCAGCCAGCCCAGTTCACTGCCAGCAGAAAGGGAAGCCCTTGACTTCAGTCCTGGCAAGCCTGCAGCCAGGTCTCCCATCTCCCAGCATCAGGGCTAGGAAAGACCACCTGCTACACCCCCAACCCCACCATCACCCCACCCCCGCCAGCCCCCAGCCTGGGGCAGGAAACCTGCCAAAGTCTGGGACAAAGGAGGAGGTGAGCTGGATGGGAGACCAGCTCCCTGGTCCCACCTGCTCATCTCTTTCCCTGCATGCAAAAACTCGGGACTCTATCAACTTTCAATTAGTTTTTCAAATGAAATAATGACCGCTGAGAACCAAGGCTACTTGTGGGTTTTGAGGTGAATGCAATTACAGAGGGCAAAGCCACTGTAGCAACCCCGGCCTTTATCTCCATTAGCAGATGGCTGCTTAAGACAGCTTCTCTCCATAGAGAATGGGAGCTCCCCATTCCCGAGGGGCCCTACTTAAGACTGAGGGCTATTTTTATTGCACTAAAGATGTTTTCGAATCAATGGAGGACTTGTCCTTCTCGTGTTTGTATTAACTTGGAGGTCCCAGGGAGGCTTCCTCCATTGCTCCCTACAGCTGCCCTTTGGAGGGGGGCAGAGCCCCGCTTACTGACAGGCTGCCCACCAACTCTACGACTGGTACCAGGACACATACCCAGGAGGCAGCAAAGCCAGGGACTGATGCTGTGGGAAGGGGCATGCTCTTTGTGGTTGTAAGACTTCAGGTCCCTCAGAACTGGGAGCTGGGACATCAAGTGACTTAAACTATCAGGTACAGGTGGACTTGGAACAAACTGCTCACTGGGCTTCTGTAACAGGGTCCAGGATGTCATCATCACGACACAGGGCTCTTGATTTATGGTGGGGACACACCAGACTGAAACCTGGGTAGCCATCAGAAAGTAAAAAATACAGTCACAAGCTGTGCGTGGTGGTTCATTTTATAATCCAGTACTTGGGAGGCTGAGGCAGGAGGGTCATGAGCTCCAGGTCAGCTTGGGCCACACAGTGGGACCTTCTCTCTCGCTTTGTTTTTTGAGGTAGGGTCTCTGTGTAGCCCTGACTGTCCCTGGAACTTGCTCTGTAGACCCAGGGTGGTCTCAAACTTGCAAATCCACCTGTTTCTGTCTCCTGAGTGGTGGGATTAAAGGCATGGGCCATCACAGCCCAGCTTGGACCTTGTCTTAAGAAACATTTCAGTCCTAATTTAGGTAGGGAAAGGATAAAGTGTGCTGGCTGTGAAAGCAGCATGAGTCCAGTTAGACCCCGGTGCCAAAGAAACGGCCAGATTCTCACAATCTCACTGCTGGAGAGAAGGAACTAGGCAGACCTCAGGGGCTCAGTGGACAGCCATGCCCACTCATCCAGCTAGGAGTTAAAGTGGTTGTGAGCTGCCCCATGTGGGTGCTGGAAACGGAATTTAGGAGTCCTCTGCAAGAGCAGTATCATCACAGTCTTTTCTCTGGCTACCCCAAATCCAGTCCCCCCCCCCCCCCCCCCCCCCCCCGTCCCCCCCCCCCCCCCCGAGACAGGGTTTCTCCGTAGCTTTTGGTTCCTGTCCTGGAACTAGCTCTTGTAGTCCAGGCTGGCCTCGAACTCACAGAGATCCACCTACCTCTGGCTCCCGAGTGCTGGGATTAAAGGCGTACGCCACCACCGCCCGGCTTCAAATCCAGGTTTTAAAATCTGAATCTCTGGGGGGGGGGGGGCTGGAGAGATGGCTCAGAGGTTAAGAGCATTGCCTGTTCTTCCAAAGGTCCTGAGTTCAATTCCCAGCAACCACATGGTGGCTCACAACCATCAGTAATGGGGTCTGGTACCCTCATCTGGCCTGCAGGCATACACACCGACAGAATACTGTATACATAATAAATAAATGTTAAAAAAATAAAATCTGAATCTCTCAGAAAATAATTTGTATGAGTATGAATGTGTGTGCATGGGGACCAGGGGTCAGCTTCGGGTGTGTCTGTGAATGTGTGTGCTTGGGGACCAGCTTCGGGGGTATGTGTGTCTGTGAATGTGTGTGCTTGGGGACCAGGGGCCAGCTTCGGGTGTGTGTGTGTGTGTGTCTGTGAATGTGTGTGCATGGGGGTCAGGGATCAACTTTAGGCATCATCTACCTTGTTTTTGAGAACTCTTCTTGCTGGCCTGGGTTCACTGACTATGGTAGGAGCTCTGGAGATTTACCTGTCTTTGCTTCTCCACTGTTGAGACTACAAGCATACTCACCGTTTAGCCATACTACTGGGGTCAAACTCAGGTCCTCAGGCTTAAGCTATAGACACTTGATGCACTGAGCCATTTTCCTATCCCAAAGTCTCAAGTTTTTTTTTTATTTATTATGCATACAATATTCTGTCTGTGTGCATGTCTGCAGCCAGAAGAGGGCACCAGACCTCTTTACAGATGGTTGTGAGCCACCATGTGGTTGCCGGGAATTGAACTCAGGACCTTTGGAAGAGCAGGCAATGCTCTTAACCACTGAGCCATCTCTCCAGCCCCCTCAAGTTTTAAATGTTAGCATCTATTAACTATTATCTATTAACTACCATGAATAAAACAAAACACTTAAAAGTCTCTGGGTTGCAGCCTTTGGGAGAGGTAAGACCTCCAACTGCAGAATTCCTGTTAGAACTATCCTAGAGTTCCAGGCTCTCCTTCCCCTTCCCCTACCAAACCCCAATTTCCTTATCACAGCAAAATCCAGTTAGCCAAGAAAGCAACTCCTACACCCCAAATTTAATAAAGATTCTGAGATATAGCTCTGTCTAGCCCTGATCTCATACTCAGCCTGCTTCAGCCTGAGTGGATTACAAATGCAGCATACCGCCTTTCAGTAGCATTAAAGACAACAGGCCAAATTTTAGCCAGGCGGTGGTGGTGCACGCTTTTAATTCAGAGGCAGGTGGATCTCTGTGAATTTGAGGCCAGCCTGGTCTACAATAGCTAGTTCCAGAACAGGCTCCAAAATCCCGTCTCGAAAAACAAAACAAAAAACAAACAAACAAACAACCAAAAAACAAAAAAAGGGCAATGGGTCCAATTCTAGTCATATACATTTGCTCTTTTATTTATTTAAATATTTATTTATTTATTTTTTGTTTTTCGAGACAGGGTTTCTCTGTGGCTTTGGAGCCTGTCCTGGAACTAGCTCTGTAGACCAGGCTGGTCTCGAACTCAGAGATCTGCCTGCCTCTGCCTCCCGAGTGCTGGGATTAAAGGCGTGCGCCACCATCGCCCAGCCTGTTTTTTTATTTTTTTAATAATCTGTATTTTATGCACATTGGTATTTTGCCTGCATGTATGTCTGTGTGAGGGTGTCACAATCCCTGGAACAGGAGTTATAGACAGTTGTGAACTGCCATGTGGGTGCTGGGATTGAACTTAGGTCCTCTGAAAGAACAGACAGTACTTTTAACGCCTGAGCCATCTCTCCAGCCCACTATATATTTGTTCTTACATATCGCTCCATCAGTGTCCAGGTCTCACTGCAGGGGTGCTGGGGTAATGGATTTTTACCCAAGTTGTCAGGGCTACGGTTTCAATTAGAGTCCCTCTAAAATTATGTTGAAAGAAATCCCCAATGAGCTGCATGAATAGGTGGGGCAACTTGCACAAGTGCGTGGATTAATACCTTTATTCAAGGGCCCGGGAGAACTAGTTATCAGCTTGTCATTTTGTCCCTTCTGCCACCGGGAACAGAGACAGCACCAGCATCATCTAGAAGGAACAGGCTCTCTTACTGAATACCAAATGTCCCAGTGCCTTCGAGTTACAGTTCCCAGGACTGTAAGAGCTATTTATCTATCTTACTAGTTATATATTATTTATCGATCCACTTATTTTACTGTTTATACATCATCTATATTACTGCTTATAAATGATCTATTTCACTGTTTCTGAATTACCAACCTACTACATGGTATTTTGTCACAGAAGGACCAGATGGAGGCAGTCAGCTTTCTTTTTGGAGCCAATTCCAACCCTACATGCCAAATCTAAACATTCAAGGCAAAAGTCTAGAGCAGGTCCTTGTGGTTGAACACAAAGGATCTGTAAATACAAGTGTGGCTCCTACGAAGTGCTCACTGCCGGAGCAGAAAGGACACAGGGTTTTCTAGGCACTCTCAGTACTGCTAAGAAAGATGAGCAGGACCAATCAAAGACTGCTGAGATACTAACAGCCCAGCCCCAGTTACACCCTCACATTGCACACTCTAGGATCCGTGAATGGGATAAACTCTCAACCAGACCTCAGTCCTATCACCATTCTCTTTATTCCAAAGTAGATGAATTACAGATTTCAACCTTTCTGTGTAACATCTGGGTAGCCTGGGACATTCACAGCATCTTGCCAGGCATCATGACAAAGGGACAGACAATCTGGGCCCAAACACATCTGCTCTGTAAAACAGAAAGTGGAAAACAAGTGAAAAGTGTAGCCACAGCTAGACTTCTTTCTCTCTTTTTAAATAACAGACTTTTTCATTTTCTGTTTGTTCCCCTCGCTGCTCTCTTCGCACTATGAATCGTCTTCACTCCTTGTTCAACAACCACTTCAGGTCAGGTCTTCAACCTTCTGGAACTAGTGTGCTGTTCTGGAAGAAAAGGAAGACAGACACAGTCACTGATGGTTTCAACTGACGGATACAGTTCCTAAGCGGGACAACAGGAAGATCAAATTCCTCTCCCACTGGAAGATGTTCCTGACAGGGGGACGGCCGTGTATCTACTGGTTCCATTTATATAGGCCCCATTTCATTTCAAAAAATAACTGATGCCTATGGGGCTTGAAAACCATGAAGCAAATCTGACAACTAAGGAAGGCATGAGAAAGTAGAGATGAGGTAATTCCAGGCACACCCTCATAGTACAGGCCGAAAGACAGGAGAATTCAATCAGAAAGAGACAAGTTTAATCCTGCCGTACAGACTCAGCAGCTAACCCAATACAGAATGAGTATGAAAAATGGTACTTGGTTCACAAAAACCACTGCTTTCCTTTCTTTTCGTTTATTTCTCTCTCTCTCTCTTTTTCTTTTTCTATTTTGGTACATAGGCTGGTTGGTTGGTTGGTTTGTTATGGTGGGGTATTTTTGGTTTGTTTGTTTGTTTTGTTTTTGAGGTAGGGCCTTGTTATGTAGCTCAGGTTGGTCCCCAACTTATAATCCTCAACCTCCTGAGTGCTGGGATATGCACTTCTCAGATGATATGAGAATCTCTCTGCCACTTCCTTCCCACCTTCCCTTGACTCTCAGAGCTATGGAAGCAGGAGAAATTGATAATCCAAGCAGAACGCAACCAGAAGGTGACAGCAGCAAGCGCATGGCAAGCAGGAGAGGACACTGTCCTCGGTGGGCAGTGGGGTCATGGTGGGGACTGGAGAGATTATGTCTGTCTCACAGAATGGCAGGCTGCAAACAATTGCTAAAGCAGTTCCCAGGAGGGTACACAGGCACAGTGTTGGGTCCTAAGAACCAGAGTATATGCCACTAATTCTTTACCAATGCTCGGAAATTCCTAACATTAGGGTGTGTGCCTGGCAATGTCCATGCTGGAAGGACAGCAAAGGTATGAAATGAGGTGGCACAATTAACAACCCTAGAGCTTGGCCAGGAACGAGATCATCCATTATACCCACTCAAATCAACATGTGACCCCAGCCGGCAGCACCAAGCCATGGGGGTGGGGGGTAAGCCTGTACACTTGGTCCTAGCACCCACAAGTCTCAAAGGCTCTAACAGTCAGACTCGTGCCACAGGAGGGTCAGAGTTTTCAAAGTCAGAGTAAAGAATGAAAGAACTCAACAAGTTGCAGACGACTAGTTCTGAAGGCAAACACCTCAGAGCAACTAAAATTTAGGGCAAAACTGAATGGGGAAGGCCAGGACACAAGGGTGGTGGGAGGGACAGCCCTCACAGGTACAGGGAGCCTCTTGGACTGTAATGGGTCTATCTTACTGAGGCAGTAGTTGCATGACTACATGCTTATTTTTGTTTATTCACTATTTTTTTAGTCACAGGGTCTCGTACAGCCCAGGAGATATTAAACTCCTGATCCTCTAGCCTCTGCCTTCCAAATCCTGGGATTACAGATGTAAGCTACCATGTCTGGTACTACACCTTGCTTAAACCTGGGGGGTGGGGGGAAGGGAACAAAAAATAACAACAACAAAAAAATCCCAACCCCCTAAAAATGCCACTTTCTCTCTGTGTTGCAGACAAGATGACCCAGCTTATACTCACACTGCATTGAGAAAGCAGCTTTAAACCCTCTGTTTTTATAGACTTTTCCTATTTTCAGAGGATTAAAACTTTGGTGTGCTGGGATCTGCTTCCTCTCTTTGGCAGGAAAAGCTATTTCCAAGGTAAGGGATAAAAGGAGACATGATGTGAAAATTAAAATACCTCTGTCCTACCTGTGATTTAAGGCTGAGGTCAGCCAACTATCACACAGGCCCAACCCAGCCCACCTCCAGGCGAGGGAGATGGTGCTATTGGGTGACAGCCATGCTCCACAAGGGGGATGAGCAGTCGTGACATCCCAGACACAAGGCTCCTCATCTACAGGAGCAGATCCATCACCCTGCCTTTGTTCCGGACCTCACTGACTGTCTCTTCGACAAGAGTCCTCAGAAAGAGGACAGCTATGTGCCACACTCAGGTCCAGGCATGATTCTGCTATTGGCTTTGATCCATGGTTATCACTCACAACTGAATCTCACCAAATCACGTCGTTCGGCCAAGTAGAGATTAGTGTTTATGGGAAGGCCTATAAGCAGTGACAAGGTGTGCCAGGAGTTGCCATGGGACCATTGTTTAATGAATCCACAAAGTCTGGGTGGATGAAGAAGCCCGAATTAGACTTGTCTTATCCTCGCCTCTTGTTCTCACACAGGGTTATTGCATATCTACTAGAATCCCCTGGGGAAATCGCCCTGGTCCAGTCACCTTATCCAGCAAGTTGTAAAAAGGCCTCAGAATCCAGCCTGGTGTAGGGAATGGTGGGGGAATGAGTGGGCTGAAAATGGGACAATAACTAGCATGCAGGAGGTGGGCAAGATGGGAAAGGGAGCCTGCTCCTGGGACGAGCCACCCTTCATCTTTACCGTAGTGTCCTATATTTTGCCAATCTACTGCTCTGCTCTGCAGCGATCCTGCCAAAGGAAAGAGGGTTTGAGAATCAAGAAAGGACAGCGAGAGAGAAACAAGCTGAGGACACACATGGTAAACCCGACCAGAGCCCCTGTCAAGGCTGGTCCTCTTCCCAGGCAGCACACATTTTCAAACTTGTAAGGAGGCTGAGAGGTCAGGGAGCCACTGGGCCGCTAATGAAAGTCATGGTTCTTCCCAGCAAGCACATACAAGTTGGGATTCAACAGCAGGAACTCCTGCTGCATGGACTCTACAGGGAATGGTTTCCTCACACTGCTCTCCCCATGACTTTGCTGGCCTTGTGGACAATTTTCAGAGAAGAAAGAAGTTAGCAGAGCCCAGCTTTCTGCTCTTTGGGGGCCCAGACTGGCTGTTAAAGGGAACAGTGTTCTGCTTGGGAAACACAACCCAGCCCTGGCCTTTTCTAGATGCAAAGCACAGTGGCAGAGAGTGAAGCAGCCGGGGTCACCCAGGGCAGCTCTGATGGGACCCAGTCAGGAATGTTTGCACAGGAGCTCACAGTGACGTACTCCAAAGCTTACAATGAGATCCCACCCTGCCCAGTCATCAGTGGTCTCCTTGATTAACACCCCTCTTGAAAGCACAGATCTAACTGGCAGCCTGTTTAAGGGCATGCTACTGAGTTCTATTCTGCCAGCAGAATTCCCAGAGAGGAGAAAGCACGGTGCGTTTGAAAATGATTTCTTTCAAAGATGAAAGCAATTCTGACCTTTTCTTATTGGCCTTTGCGTGACTGAAATCAGTCAGGTTCTAATAAAGTCAAATCAATGAGAAACACCTATGTGACATTTAAATTTGCCTCCAATTCTGTTCTGAAAGTCAAGCTGCCACCATGTCAAGGTCTGAGCATTTGTTTGCCTTTCAGGCTGTCTGATTCCTGGGTAGCAGTGTGAGCTGCCGCCAAGCCTACACGACTGTTGAGGGGAAGAACACAAACCTATGGGTGGGAGGAAGAGCTCTGGTACCACCCAGAGTCCCAGAGGTGCCACTCTGGGGGCACAGGAGGAGGGTAGGGTAAGAAGGATTCTCACGCAGCCAGCAAGTTAACAGCTTTTCACCACATATCTAACATACTTTACATGCAGTTATTCCCCCTTTTCTCACGTGTAGGACGCTGTGACTTTAACATCTATGACTGGTCACTAAGGTTACTTTCTTCTTTAAAAGACCTGATTATGGCTTTTCTAACAGGCTGGATGAAGGTGTCAGACTTGCCCCTAAGGATGCCACTCATTCTGCCACATAGCTTTGTGGTCTCAGAGCTAGGCTGTCAGTGCCTATATAAACAGCTCTTATCCCACCCTGGAGCTTGGTCCGTCCCCAGCCTTACCTCTTGACTGCCTGCTGGGCCAGCATTCGATTGCCCGCCAGAAATGTCACAGTGCCCAGGACAGCCAGGTACTTCAGGGTCTGGAACATGTTGAGCTGAGTCCAGTAGACATACATGAGCCCCAGCATCGCTACAAAAAGTGTCATGACAACCAATTACACAAAGCAGTGACAATGGGGAAGAGAGAAGAACGGGGCTGTTGTGTCATTAAGGTCAGCATTTCTAGGCAGTTTTTATGTTTAACCCTTTTATCTCAGCAGCAGAAAGTAGATGACTCAATATCCTTGTTTTTCAGCCTTATTTACTAAGAAATCTAGAGGTAAAAATCTGACATCAGCTACCTTACCTCTCTCTGAGCTACAGGCCCATTCCTGTCTACTTTTTGTTCTCTTCATGTTGGGCTATGCCTTAATAACATTTGAGATTATTTTATGTTTCAAATTGTTAATAAAAATATTCAGGACATAAACCAATGAGTCATTTACTTTTCATCAGAATCATACCAAGAATGATTTGCCACTGTAGCTAGGATGTGAGCAAAGAGTCTTGGGAAGGCTCAGTGAGACCCAGGCACCGAGAGTCCTGGGTTTTGTACAGGCTATGGCCTTACTAGCTCGTAGTTCTCAGAGACCATATTCTCTTACCATCATATGGACCACAGTTCCTGTCCCAGTCACTCCCATCAGGGTTGAATAATGAGAATCAAAACGAGGAAATACATACAAAAGCACACTGGCACAAAAAGTCATGGCCCTAAATACATTTCTATTCAGGTCTTGCTCCTAGTCTGACCCAGGAGAGCTGTCATTCAAGAACAGTAACTTAGTGGGGGAGAAAGGTCACCCTGCCAGATCTGCTCAGGATGACAGACAAACTACCACAGGGATGCTTAAGTATTTTTAAGGTCATGGACCACTGTGAGAATCTGATCAAAGTTACAGTCTCCCTGTCCTCAGAAAAATTCAGGTGCACATTTTCCTGGATGTCAAGAGATCCCATGGAGACTGAAGTAGCCATGTTCTATGGATGCAGAGACGGTGACTTCTTGGAGAGGCAAAGGAATTAAAACACTGAACTTTCCAGTGAGATGCAAAGGCTTGGAAATGCTTGCTGACCTGGGAATTTACTGCCTGTTATGTTAAGGTTGTTTAGGATCTACACCCTCAGAGAACAATGAGAAGAGTGCATCTGACAGAGGAAGGGACTGTTTTCTATTACTGTCCAGAGAGAGCCGCCAGCAAACGAGGAGACGGATGTGGTGCAGAAGAGAACCTTTGGAAACTGTATTAAATGCTCTTCGTCCAGGAGGATGTCTCAGTGTAAAGACACGCTAAGTGAGTAATCTGGGAACGAACAGGGCTATTAAGTGAGGGCAAATGGTTTGCCACAGCCCCTCCAGGACAATGTGGCCCAATAGAGTGGCAGTTGCTCTAAGCTGATGGGCCAAACAGGTTTATCATCATATTAACTGTCCTAAAAGGCCAAGAGGAAGAGGGAAATATTATGCTATTAAGTCATTATAGTTAATAGGTTGTGGACCTACTTAATAGGGCTTTTTCATGGCAGGCAAAATGTCAGAGAAGGTTAAATGGAATTAGCAGCCTGTGGCACTTACCAGCGTGTCCCAGGTGAAAGATAATTGTGCTAGGAGCAAAAGTGAAGTTGGAGATATTGGCACCAATCCGGATCCACTGAATGATGGAGAAATAAATGAAGATTATAACATGAAAGAGATATATTAGACATGGAATAGTTTTATACTATGCCGGCACCAATCCAATGACAAGCAGCAGAGCTTCAAAGTTCACACACAATAGAAAGACAGGGATTTTCCCAGGTGACAAACACCCCATTCTGAGTCCTCAGGAAGAACTGTCCCTTCCTCTTTCTGAAAGGCAGTGGAGTAGCTGCTCTCAACTATGCTTGGGTAACTCCAACCTGAGCATCATTTTCAACGTTGGCAAACTCTTCTATTTTAAAAAAGGCAAAACCATGGAACCAAAAGGTCAGAAGCTACATTGATGAGGAAGCGATGACCGATACTTCCACTAAGTTCTCTAGAGGTTGGTACCATAAGCTATGGGCAACAGGAACATGTCCTCATAATGGACTCTGTGCTTTCTGAAACTCCATCACCTCAATACAAGGACACCCACATCCCAAGCTATTTATGAAAGTCTGTGGTCACTCCCCTTTTGTGAAAATTAACCAGTTAATTTAAAACATAGGTAGCCTGTAAAAAATAATACCTAAATTTTGTTTTTTGTTTGGCCAAATTCTTTGAACTTTAAGGTTAGGTGTCTATGTTTGTGATTTTCAGAGGAAAAAAAAGGAAAAAATTGGTTAAAATATATAAACTGAGTCTGGCATGGTGGTATATGTATTTAATCCTAGTACTCTGGAAGCAGAGGTTGGTGATCTCTGTGAGTTCAAGGCTACCATAGTCTACATAGCCAGTTCCAAGACAGTCTTCCCTCCCCCTACAAAAAAACATATAAAACAGGTGTAATGGTGCACACCTTTAATCCCAACACCCAGGAGACAGAGGCAGGGGGAATCTCTCTCTGAGTTCCAGATCAGTCTGGTCTGCAGAGCGAGTTCCAGGACAGACAGGGCTACACAGAGAAACCCTGTCTCAAATAAACCAAAATCAAACATACATGTATCTATATGTGTATGTTTGTACGTACACATACATACACACACACACACACATACACACACACCTATTAAAATTAGGAATTGCCTTCCGCTACAAACTCCAAGTCTCCTCCTCAAGGTAACTAATATTAATATAGTTTTTTTTAAAATATTTATTTATTTATTATGTATACAATATCCTGTCTGCAGGCCAGAAGAGGGCGCCAGGCCTCACTACAGATGGTTGTGAGCCACCATGTGGTTGCTGGGATTTGAACTCAGGACCTTTGGAAGAACAGGCAATGCTCTTAACCACTGAGCCATCTCTCCAGCCCCCTAATATTAATATAGTTTTAAAAACTTTTTCACAAAGAGAATTACACTAAATGTACTTAACCCACTCCTTGCCCACCTCTTTCTGTAACGCTGTTGGCATCAGTGTACAGATCTATCATTCTGCTAACTGGCACACCGTTCCATTGTATGGGCAGACTAATTAACACTGCTTCGAAGTGGACTTTCAATTCCTTCCAGTTTCACGCTCCCAGGAAATCTGGAGTGTACAGTGTGCTCTCCATTCTTGGAGCGATCAACACTAACCTCAGTGTTGCTCTCATCAACATTCCCCCAGAGGATCTCAGACTACACTTCTGTCACTGTCAGCAGCTGGTAGGAATTTTCTCATGCTCCCTTTAATGGATGGGTTTATTTGGGGCACTATGGTTATTCTAAAACTTTCTGACTGGACCCCTCCAGAGCTTGCTTAGGCCAGAGCACAAAGACTCATTTAGAATGGCTACATCTCTCTTCCCAGAGCCAGACACACTGCCCATGCTAATTATGGTGACTCACCAGTGCAAAGAGTAGGAGCAAGGGCGAGAGAATGAGGGCTGTGAACGTATTGGACACCACTGTGGGGGGCCTCTTCTCAGGCTCTCGGAACAGGTGCTGAAAAGAGAAGACACACCAGGAAGTTTCAGAATGGGCCCTCCCTCCTCAGAAGGGGCTGCCTGTGTACCAGCAACCAAATGCCTAGCATCATGCAGAGGAAACACCTCCTAGAGGCTAAGCCTTGGGTTGGTTTTATGCCTTTCCTCAAAGGTGGCTTTGATCCCAGAGGTCTCTCTTCCTAGGACACTATTTTGGTTCCAAACAGAATATGATCAGCCTTTCTACCTCAAAGAATCACTGCCTTTTAGGCGCTGGACAATGCAGACAGTCAAGGGCCACCTGGCTTGTGTCAAAAAGGAGAATCAGGCCTAGGGATGGCTTTGATGTTACACCTGAGGAGGACTCCGGGCTTCACAATGTTTCTCGGTTCCTAGGCCATGTTACTCGGTCAATTAAGAGTAACTCCCCCCTCCTTAAAATTTAACAGGGCCTCATTACAGGTGGGTCTACCCTTAACTCACTCTGATTTCCCAGCCTTGGCTCTACAGATGGTCTGAACAGACTCCCTCTCCAGCTCTGCTAACTCCTAGAGTTAAACCAGAAAGCTGGCTAGCATGCCTCTGAGATTTGTTCATCTTTTCCTGAGCAAGCAGACAGGGAATTCTGAGCAGCTCACCTCAACAGCACGAGCTAGCACAAGTAGCAGTGATCTACTTAGGCCCAAAGAGATGTCTGGACTTGAGACTATAGGCGCGTCACTCTTTGCCTCAGTTTCTAGGTAGGAATGGGAGTAGAGACAGCATCCATCACTCTGCTAGGCTTGTAACGTTCCCGTGAGGAACCAATGAGCTATAACACTCCTAGCTTTTCAAGTATCCGTCCTCCAGTGTCTAACTGCAGCCTCTTTTCCACTTGCCAGTGACCAGCCAACACAGCTCCGTGAGAAGACAGCTCTGCTTCAGGCTCCAGACTCTAAATTTTCATCCTGGCTCCTCTTTTGCAGACACTGCTGTTAAGGGGTTGCCAGTGCTGTCTATAGTGGTCGCTGCCACCTGTCTATCCCACAGATCACCCACCCTCCTTCAATGTCACACATAATGCTGCTATGTGCCTCTATTTTGCATTCCTAAACAACAGCAGAGAACATAAGGATTTAGAAAGAACCTTTCTACCCTGCTCCTTGAGCACCTGTCCTTCATTTTAGTGGTTGGAATTCATGACCCTCTTGCCTCCACCTCGCCAGGGTTGGGACACAGGTATGGGCCACAACAAATGGCCACTGTTCATTATTTTAGCAGTGCAATGAGAGTAAGGAGCCTGTGTTTCACACGTCACACTCACTCAAGCAGGCTCCATGCTACTACACTGACTGAATCTCAGTTCACCGAGGGACCCACTTCACTTCCTTGACAACTTTGTGTTTATTCGATGAAGGGTTTCAGAGACACTTAAATGCCTTTCTTCTCTTATCCATTTTGGTCCTCACAACATCCCATGGGATGGGATGGGTAGAATTTGCTTATTTTGTGGAACACAAGTGGCTTGAGACAGACAAGGACCTGCCCAGGGTATTATAGCCCTGCTCACTCATGAGTTTTCAGGTATTAGTCAGTAGAGAGGATGAGACCTATACCTAATCATGTCTCAGGCTGCCCAGGGTGATCTGGGATTTGATTTCATCTCTGCTATACTTTCAGCCGGAAGGTGGGACTGATAACTTGCCTCCGCCCCCAACTTCCAGAGACGCAAAATTTACACCATAAAGTATCATGCAAATAGGCCAAAGGGCTAGAGCCACAGCCCAGAAGTTTGCTGCTCTTTCCTTGGGTTCACCTCAACTCTGGGCTGAGTGGATAACACCTTTGGAATATACCTGAATTTCCTGCTTTGGAGTAAAAAGGTTCTGGGACAGGACAGTGGAGGGAGCTTCTTCGTCAGGGAACTTGATGACCACATCAGCCTGAAAAACAAGAAGAGCTTTCAGAGGCACAGTGTGAGAAGAGGCGGAAGCCATGACTGAAAAGGCTCTCTGTAGTTCAGACACTTCTCATCCATCAGCTGACAAATGGAGTCAGTGACAATCTCAAGAACAAACCTAGCATTTGCTGGAAGTGCCTTTTAGAGCACGGATTCCCATTTCCCACCAGAATAGTGGGAAAGCTCCAAGAGCTGCTCAATATGAAAACCCCAGCTGGTGTACCGGTGGCGACAGCTGTAATCACAAACTGCCAGGTGTGCCAGGAAGTGTGATTTAACCACATAAAAAATGAAAATACATTCTTGTACAAAAGGAGAAGAAAAGAAATCTTGAAAAGAGCAGACAAAAAAAAGGCAGCTACCCCTTCATCCTGCATGAAGACCAGCCCTATCTGACTGCTGTATCTGCCCTCTACCATTTTCCCACCCCATCACTTCAGATTCAAGGCTCAGAAAAACCGAGCCTTCACGTCCCTGAGAGCACACCAAGCTTCTTGGGAGACTGTTCCTCAGCATGTGTTCCCAGACGCTACTCCAGGAAGCCCTGTGATGCCTCCATTCCTTGTTCCAAAGCTGCCTTTTGATATGTTTCTATCACTTGAACTATCAAAACAGCAAGGCCTGGAAGAGTCATGTAACCTGTAATATAATCATATAATTGCTAGACATTATTTATCAGCATTCTGCATAGCTACATTTCACCACTCACTGCCCTCTTCTTCCAAGGCTATAATAGATCTCAAAGGCCAAGACCTATTTCTTCATCTATGTATTCCCCACAGTGCCTTGAAGTAGTGAGAAAACCTCTGATAGATTATAGAAGTCTTAGACTGCGTATATTTCATTCATTTGATCAATACTTATTATGCATCCAGTCTGTGCTAAGCCATAGAGTGTGACCTCTGTACAGAAGAATGTAAGACCTCACAGCAAGGCTGCAGTGTGAGGTGCAGCACAGCAGCCCTCACCTGCATACCTAGCAGGCACATACCACATTCCAGAGAATCGGGTTCTTCAAAGTGGCATCTCCAATGATTAAGTAGAGTGTGTAGGTACCAGAGGCAGAGTCAAACTCGATCTTTCTTTCAGAGGTGTCCAGTTCAAACTTATACACATTCTTGTTATCCGGCTCAGCAACAAACACTACTTCCTGGCCAGTCTTCTGGTTATGAAGTCGAACAAATGTCTGGAGAGAACAAGAAAGCCACCTTCCACATGACCATCTCAGAACTCCCCGTGGGCCCAACACGGGAATAGAGTGCTACTCCTTTGTCATAGTGAGAGCTCTGATCTGCTCATGAGAGGGGAAGGAGCAACCACCCCACCCTAGTTCCTACCCCAGAGACAACTTTTTGCTTGAACAAGGAGAGGAACTGAACTTAGGAGTCCAGTCAATGCTTAGTGACTGGGAGGCTGGATGCCCAGGTTCGTGATGTTTGCCCTCTGCTGCTGCAGTTTCTTCTGGCCACTTTGCTGCCCAATTAACTTCTTCACCAGAGGGTGAAGAGAAGGGAGATGAAGGGTTTCCAGCAGCTATGAATACTCTGCTGTCAACAGATAACAAGGCAGAGTTCTAATGGGAACAGAGTAGCCTGGTATCACAGAGCCTGGTCCTGAATACAGAGTGACCTGGCTCACTTAGTAGCTGAATGTTGCTTAACCTTCTTGTATCCTGACTTCTCTATCTTTAAGGCACAAATATTAACTTCCTGGGGTGCACTTGTGTGTAGTGCAGTGCCTGGTGAGTAAGAGCCACCCAGCAACCAAGCAACTGTAGCTACGGAGCCTTAGTTCAGTGGGTCTGGGTCTCATCGGTTATGGCACAAGAAACCAAGATCTTCTGCCAGCATGTGTTAGAACTGCAACAAAATTTAACATCCACGCAAGGCTTTCCTTTCAAGGGCATCAAGTCAAAGAACTCAACAAGACAAGAGGTTGTCTACATTCACAGGTTTAAGGCAAGAGCATTAAATGAGTTGCCATAGGGACACAGCTAGAGCTGGACCTGCACACAAAGCAGAGGTCTCATTTGTGATCCCACACATCAAATTATTGAAGAAGGGAGGCCGCTAGATGGATGCAGCAGAGCTGAACAGGATAGGGGAGAAAAGCAAGTATTTAAAAGTGGGGAATGGGGCTGTAAAGATGGGCAAAGCATTGATACGCAAGCAAGAAAACTGGAAGTGAGATCCCCGGAACCCACATAAGAGCCAGATGGGCAGGATGATCCACCTATAACCCTAACAGGAAATCCCTAGAGTGAGCCAGCTGGCAGAGCAACTCAAACAGCAAGCTCCAGGCTTGCAAGAGACCCTGCCTCAGAGGACAGACATTAATAGAGGACATTCAGCACCAATCTTGAACCCCCACATGTACTCATACACATGTGAACATACATACAAACACCTACACACATACATGTACAAAAGGGGAGGAAGGGCTAAGTTCTGGGATTACAAGTAAAATTATATGAACCTAAACAATATGAAGAGATGGCTCAATGGTTAAACCACACAGGGGCTTACATTTGTCTGCGATCACTGTTTTAGGGACTCTGATGCTCTCGCCTGGACTTTGCTGGCACCAGTTACATGTGATGTACATACACACCTGAAGGCAAAATACTCTTTCATATAAAATTAAAAAAAAATTTAAATTAAAATACATAATGCCTTCTGTTTTCATAATATAAAATAGATACAAACTTGAAAGGCTATTTTTTAGAGTTCCAAAATAGAAAATCTAACTTTGGTAAGAACAAAAAACATTTTAGTTTTTTTTGTTTTTTTTTGACTAGATTTTCCATTTCTTTCAAAGTTGTTTCAAGCCAGACAGTGGTGTATGCCACTGTTTGATCCTACCACATTCGGGAAGCAAAGGTAGGCATATCTCTGAGTTCCAGGACAGTCAGGGCTATACAGAGAAATCCTGTCTTGGAAACAAACAAAACAACAACCCTGCCCCCTCCCCAAATTGTTTCAAAAAGAATTAAAAAAACAAAAAACAAAAAACAGTCCTCTCAGGGCTAGAGAGATGGCTCAGTGGTTAAGAGCACTGACTGCTCTTCCAGAGGACACGGGTTCAATTCCCAGCACCCACATGACAGCTCACAACTGTCTAAAGATCCAGTTCCAGGGGATCTGACACCTTCATACTAATGCACATAAAATAAAAGTTAAATAAACTATAAGAAATGTTTTTTTGTTTTTTGTTTTTAAAAAGTCCTCAAGTGTTAATCTGCCTTGAATACATCTTTTAAATGTATTTACTTCATTTTATATATTTAAGTGTTTTGTCCGTGAGTATGACAGTCAACTGCCTGTGTGCCTGTGGCTGTGGAGACCTGAAGAGGGTGCTGGAGCTTCTGGAACTGGAGTTGCAGATAACTGTAAGCAGTCATGTGTATAAGTGCAGGGAGCCAAACCCTGGTTCTCCACAGGAGCAAAAGTACTCTCCAGCTCCCCACCACCCCCCCTCTTTCGGGAAGTGCTCTATCACTAAGCTCAACCCCAGCCCTCCTCTGCCTTGTATTTTAAAATGGTCTCACGAATCTGCCAGGCTTGTCTTGAATTCACCTGATAGAACTTATTTATCTTCCTGCCTCAGCTATCCCAAGCGCTAGCTATGATTACAGGTCTAAGCCATTGAGCTCAGCTAATGGGTCACAATCACTACAAAGGGAGTAGTGTGTCACACAAGACAAGTCAGGCTCTGAAAGCAGGAATCTGATGTTTGCTTGCATCTGTGTCAGAGTCTCACTGCTCTGGTGTACATTAGATTTCTGGACAGAAGAACAGGGCTCTTCCTGACCTGGTGAGGGGTGAGCTCTGCACCAGTGTTCACATCTACCAACTGGAAGAACAGGGCGAAGTTCTGATGGCTGTCCGCGATGAATGGACCCTTGGCTTTGGCTGGGTAAGTCACCCTGAAAGAGATATTATATAGTTAAGACTTCTGATAGGGTTTCCCTGTCTAAGAACAGGCATTAGTGCCCAACTGTCCCTGTCCTATTTTACCACTTCCATGGAATGTACAGAAATATCTGTGCCCTAGAGGCAAAGTGGAACAATAAAGTCAGACTGAAGAGGCATTCTCTTTCTGTCTCTGTCTCTCTCTGGTGGGAGATAGAACTCACAAGGTAGACCAGAAAGCTTGACCAGACCACTAAGCTACAATCTTAGGCACAGACCAGGACTGAGAACAGCAGAGAAAACTTTAATCAGGGTCTAGGAACAATGCCCTGTGAGAATGTCTACCTCCAGGCCTTTATTTCAATAACCCATGCTCTTAACTGGCCCAGCCCAGGTGCAGGGAGCCTGTGTGCACCGCTGCAGGACTAGCAGGATGCAGAGGACAGTCATGGACTGATGCCAGCAGCAGTGAGGTTGGTGAGCAGGGAGTGTGGAGCAAAGGAAAGGAGGGAATGTTGGGCTTTCTCTATTTTATGCTTTGTTTCCTGGACTGTTTCAATTTATTTTTCTGCTACGAAATTGGGTTTTAAAAAGTCATTTTCTCAAAAGGCAGACTTGATGAGAAAAGCTGTTTTTTCCATGGCTATCTCCTGGGACTGAAGAGAAAGACCGCCAAGGGACCAGCAAGCCAAATGGTTTACAAAGCTCACACCTGGCTTTGTTTACTTTTGGTTTATATTTACTCATCAAAACCAACTCTACGAGAAATAACTTTGCAACTACTCTTATAGACATTTTATTTTAGTGCATTCTCAAATAGTGCTCATATCTCCACTGTCACTACGGCAACAACCATGTCAGGGACAGGAAGTCCAGATCTACATGACTTACAAGGAGTGAGTCTGGCTTAAAGCATTCACTGCCTTCAAAACAGCTCCAGGGTTCAGCTATCTGCTTCTAGAGCCACTCCATCCGAGTAAAGCTGGGATCTGAACTATACCCGAGATAGTGACAGAAGAGGGACATATCTGATGCTGACAAATGGCCTTCACCAAGCATCCTGGCTATCTCTGATCAAATGGCAATGGCTGAGGCTCACTTTAGCACATGTACTAAACACTGGTCAGTATACAGAGAGAAGATTAGCACGACCCTTGTGCAAAGATGACACAGAAATTTATGAAATGTTCAATATTAAAAAATATTAATGGTTACCTAGGAGGTTACATTTAATAATAATAAAAAAATGACACCGAAGCTGTGCTTTGGTTCAGCAGGAGCAAGTGCTGTGGTCATTAGTGGTGCTTTTTTTTTTTTTTTTTTTTTTTGTCAACTAGTGGTGCTTTTTGTGGGTACGGAAGGGAAGCAGGAGTCTCACAGAGAGGTTGAAGGCTTTCCAAGGTCTAGACTTTTAGTTTTTCCCACAGCCCACAATTTCCATGAGGCCATACCAAAAGCTAATTCAGGACTCTGAATTAGACGGCAGTAAAATACAAATTAATCTACTGTTTCCTTTTTTAAGTATGTCTCCTTACTAGAAATAAAGGTTATCTGAACTAAATAACGTGAATGACAGAGTGGACTCAAGGGTTAGAGCCTGAGGTAACAAGTGTTGTTGGCTCACGGACTAAACATAGTACAAACAATCCCCACGTCTGCTTACACACCCACCAGAATCCCTAGAGTACACCACACCACTGCAACTGCATTCTCTTGGGATAGGACAGGGTCACTGCCACCAAGGAAATACCACCTGGAGGGGCACAGTGCCTAGTTTGTTCTTTCCAGCTCTGAAGCATGGGGGTCCCCAGTATGTAGGTGGCACCCCACTTACCGGGTAGTTTTGGGGGCAATGCTCTGATCCTTATCCACAGTGGAAAGATCGACATTTGTGATGCCAACTTCAGTGGAGATCTTGACTCTAAGCTGCAGCAAAACAGAAGACATTCATCAAGTCAGCGGGTGGGCACGACAAAAGTCTATGCATGCGTGCCTGTATGTATCTGCATTGGTAGGTAAGGACCCACCACTGAAACACACCCACAAACCAACACTCTTCTTCCTTCCAACTAACTCACTAAAGACACTTGCAAAAAAGAACCCTTGGTTGCATGAAGTCAGAGAGATCTGGAGTCTGTTCTAAGTACAAGTCACCATCCTGGCTCTTCCTTTATAAAAATTTCCAAAAAGAAGAGCTAGTTAATGCCAGAAAATAGTCTATTAATTGGGGATTTTCCAGTTAAAAGTCTAAATCTGAGGGACTGGAGAGATGGCTCAGAGGTTAAGAGCACTGTCTGCTCTTCTAGAGGTCCTGAGTTCAATTCCCAGCAACCACATGGTGGCTCACAACCATCTGTAAAGAGATCTGGCGCCCTCTTCTGGCAAGTGTATGTACAATAAATAAATTTAAAAAAAAAGATTTATCAGAAGCCATGGGACATCACCTCTACTCGTGGATATGCAACTGGCAGACTTATACTTGGCATCACTCCCCGGCAATGAGTTAGGCTTGGTGGTTATGGCAGCAGAGGAAAGAGATGCAGGCCATCCAATGGAATAAGGCAAGGTACGGGAAGAACTAAAGGCCTCACAAACCTCACCATTCACAGGTTCAGAATCAGAGCCAGCTTTCCTATACAAAGTCAGGTCCAGAGAGGTTCTGGGCAATTTCTCCAAGATAGGGTTTCTCTGTGTAACCTTGGCTGTTCCAGAATTCCATAGACTAGGTTGGCTTTGAACTCAGAAATCTGCCTGTTTCTGCCTCTGGCGTGCTAGGACTGATTATAGACATGTGGCACCATCTCCCAGCAAATAATATACCTGTTTATCAAATGATCCCTCCACTACCCATAAGAAAGAACACACTTAGCTGTTTTTTCTTCACCCCCTAACTATTACTTTTTAAAAGAAGAGCTATTTTGCTGGGTGGTGGTGCACACCTTTAATCCCAGCACTCGGGAGGCAGAGGCAGGCGGATATTACAGCTTTGAAGCCAGCCTGGTCTACAGAGTGAGTTCTAGGATAGCCAGGACTACACAGAGAAACCCTGTCTTGAAAAAACAAAAAATAAAAATAAAAACAAAACCCAACCAACCAAATGAAAAGATTTGTCTTTATTATTTTAAATGATGTGTATGAGTCTGAGAGTGGGTATGCACACATGAGTACAGGTGTATGCGGAGGACAGACACAAGCAGCTGCGGACTGATGTGGGTGCTGGGACCTGAACTCAGGTCCTTTGGAAGAGAAGCAGGTACTATAACCACTGAGACATCTCTCCAGCCTCATCTTTTACTTTTTCTTAGCACCCAAGAAACTATGGATGACAGTCTTCTCTAAGAACTGAATTGAGAGGATGGGGGAAGGCACATATTCATTATAATTTTTCTGTACTTTGAAAAAAACACATACTCACATGTATATATTCCTGTTTTTAAAATACTAGGATAATCTGGACAACATGGGACATATATAGTCTTTTGTTTGTGGTTTTGTTTTCCAACACAGGTTTCTCTGTCTTGCCCTGGCTGTCCTGAACTTGTTTGTAGACCAGGCTGACCTTGAACTGAAGAGTTCCACCTGCCTCTGCTTCCAGAGTGCTGGAATTAAAGACTATATGTCTCACTACAAATGGAACTCTGGAAATAGTCAAAAGAAAAGCATTTCATGTCACTCCTACCCAGGGTCTCTGTTGGTTAGCTCAGCCTCAAACGGGAAAGGGGCTCTGTGCCACTTAAATGCAGCGGGGCCCACTTCACACAAGAGCAAACTACTTTTGTTGTTGTTGTTTGCATTGTATACCACATATATCCTCCAAAATGTTTCAACACCAGGAAATGTGGTCTTCCTGCTGAGAGTAGCAACTCCCCATTTGGCTTATTGCTGTCAAAAATGATGGTGCATTAGGAGCAATTAATGCTAATGAAAGCTTCCAAAACCCATGCTTTGCCTGACAGCCAGTCCAATTTCAATGAGTACTATTGCAAGCTTCTACACAAAACCACCACTAATGTACTTTGACCAATACTGGCATCTCTAAGGAGGAACAAACAGGACTTGCTGACCTGCTCTAAGGTTCTAAATGTGACTATTACTGAAATTACACAGTAAAGCTGCACATATAGCAAAAGAGGCACATGTACACACATACAAATGGACACACACCATGATGAAGTGGGAGAGAAACTATTTCCTGCTTATGACATCCCTGGGAAGGGGAAGGACAACAAACGGCCTCAGTAAGTGCTGATGGGCTGATGATTGCTGCGTAAACTATTAGACAATTTTGCTATTTTGTGCTAAGTTTTCCCAACAACTATAAAAACATTTTGACAAACACCAGACTTCACATTATAAGAAGTCAAGCTGTTATAATAGTTATAATAACCCACAAGGTAGTACGGCATACGAACAAAAATAGATCAATAGGATTGAATTTTGGGTCCAAAAATTAACCCTTAAATTTATGTGCAATTGAGTTCTGACAAAGTCAAAAAAATTCAATGGGCAAAGAATAGTCTGCCACTAACGGTACTAGAACAACTGGGTATTCACACCCAAAGGAAAATGGTCAGGCATACACAAAACCATCTCAAAATAGATCAGAGACCTCAGTTTAAAAGCTTTTAGAATTATAAACTTTTTAAAAGATTTATCTATTTATTATGTATACAACATTCCCTCCATGCATGTGGTTGCTGGGGATTGAACTCAGGACCGCTAGAAGAACAGCCAGTGCTCTTAACCTCTTAGTCATCTCTCCAGTCCCTATAAACTTCTTATTAAGAATCATTTCTGGGCTGGAGAGATGGCTCAGCGGTTAAGAGCATTGCCTGCTCTTCCAAAGGTCCTGAGTTCAATTCCCAGCAACCACATGGTGGCTCACAACCATCTGTAATGAGATCTGGCGCCCTCTTCTGGCGTGCGGGCATATATCGAGGCAGAATGTTGTATACATAATAAATAAATAAATAAATCTAAAAAAAATAAAAAAAAAAGAAAAAATAAAAAAAAAAGAAAAAGAAAAAGAATCATTTCTATGATCTTAACTTAGGAAATCATTTCTTAAATAGTATCTAAATCACAAATGACAAAATAGGACACAAATAAAGATACATAAAGAACTCTTCTAAGCCAAACACTTAAAAGAGAAACAAATGGAAATGAGAGCTATATGGGGTGAAGTGGAGGTGGGGGCTGGAGAGATGGCTCGGCAGTTAAGAGCATCAGCTCTTGCCAGAGTACCTGGGTTGATTACTAGCACCTACACACCACTGACAACCATCCCTAGTTCCAGTTTCTGGGGGATCCAATGCCTTCTTCCAGACTGTGGGCACCAGACACATTTGGCGCACTTACATACATGCAGGCAAAATACTTACTCATAGACATAAAATAAATCTTAAAGACATAGCCCTAAGTGTCTCATTATATAGCCCAGGCTAGATTCAACGTCATGATCCTCTGGTCTCCACCTCCTAAGCAGCATATTAGCACATCTGACATAAAGGTTTTTGTTATTGCCTTAAATAAATAAGCAAAGGATCTACACAGACATTTCTTCCAAGAAAATATACAAATACAGTCAACAGTGGTGGTGCACGCCTTTAATCCCAGCACTCAGGAGGCAGAGGCAGGTGGATCCCTATGAGCTGTGAGTTTGAGATCGGCCTGGTCTATAAAGTGGGTTCCAGGACAGCTAGAGCTACACAGAGAAACCCTGTCTCAAAAAACCAAAAAAAGAAAAAAAGACAGTACAAAAAAAAAAAAAAAAAAATGATGGCAAGGATGCAGAGAAATACAACCTTCACCTAAAGCTGGTAGGGATATGACACGGAGTTACCATGTGACCTAGCTGTTCCATTCCTAAGCAAACTGAAAGCAAATGTTCAAACAAAAACTTACACACGCATGTTTATAGCAATATTATTTGTCAAAGCCAAAAAGCAAAGCACTGATGCTTAGAATATGCAAGGCCCTGAGCTCAATGATCCCTAACATACACATACGCACGCACACATAGCATAGGTACAAATATCAAATATAAATAAACAACATGTTTGTCAGACACAGAAATGAATAAAGTACTTAAACATGCTAAATCATAGATAATTCTAAAAATACTCCATTAAGTAAAGAAAAATCCAGAGGCAGAAGTTAACATATTGTGTGACTGCAACCACATGAGCATCCTGAAGAGGCCAACCACAGAGGAAGTCATGTGTGGATGCAGGGGCTGGGGCAGGAGAGATGGGAGAGCGGCTGCTAATGATGGAAGTCCGAGTTTAGGATAATGGCAGTGTTCTAGACTAGACAGGAGTGATAGTTATAGTTAAACAGCCCTAAATATATCAAGAATATCTAACTACATACTTTCAATGAGTACATTTCATCGGATCATAAATTATATCTTAATAAAGTCACACACATCTACAGAGAGGGAGGGAGAGAGGGGGGAGAAGGAGGGAGGGAGGGAGAGGGAGAGGGAGAGGGAGAGGGAGAGAGAGAGAGAGAGAGAGAGAGAGAGAGAGAGAGAGAAAGAGAGAGAGAGCACCAAAGCTCACCTTTGGGGATTACTGCACTGCAGTCTATTCTAAGCAGTCTAGAAGGAAAAAACATTTCTTTTTCTAAATGGTCTAAGATACATACTAGAGCAGGAACAAAATTAAAGGATATTGAAGCTATAAGGAGAAAAATGCTCTGAAAACGGCTAGAAGAAAATAGTAGAGGACTTTTAATTTTTACTTTTTTTTTTTAACCTTGAGGTACTTTATTTATTTTTGTGTGTATAAGTCTGGAGGTGCATGCCATGGCACATGTATGCAGGTCACAGGACAATTTTTGAGAACTGGCTACCTCCTCCCACAACTCACCATTTTGTCAGCCTCTTAAAAGATATAAAAAGAGCAGGGCTAGGGAAATGGCTCACTGTGAAGTGTCACAGTCCCCATATAAAAGATGGTATGGAAGTATGTATCTGTAACACCAGCACTGTGTGTGTGTGTGTGTGTATATGTGTATACACGCAAATGCAGAGACAGGTAGACCCTGGGAAATTCAGTAGACAGCCAGTCAGTCAGTCAGCCAAGACAAAATGGCAAGTTCCAGATTCAGTGAGACCCTGTCCTGAATGACAGATAGACAATGATAGAGAAAGACATCTAAAATGTGGACTTGTGATTTTTAAATATACACACACATGTGAGGACACTAGCACACAGTCTACACATATGCATGCACCAAACATATACTAAAAAAAAATCCAACCCCGTAATCTAGAAAAAGCTTTAAAGTTTGTGTGCATTAAGAGGCCATAAAATAATTCTGAGAAAAAAACTGAAGCTCACAACTAAGGCTTACTGTTTAGAACTTACACTGCACCTGACAGCCAGTAAGGGGAGAAGACTAATAGACAACCTGCAACAGATGTATGATTCATAAAACCTAGCTGCCCAATGACCATGAGAACAGCGCTCAACTTCACATCAAATCAAAGAAAAACACATCATAAAAATAGATGACACCAACGTTGGTGAGACTACAGAGCAACTGGCAACATATAACAAGGACTCTCGGAAGGAGAAAGGAAAATGAAGGCAGGGAAAGAGACAGAGGTGTGAGCTGAGCAATGCAGCTGGAAAGGAGGAGAAAGGCGAGGCTGCGAGGAAAGCAGGAGCTCCTCTGTAATGCAGAATGCTGCAAGTAAGGTTTCGTAAAGGAAACCAATAAGAAAATAATCTGGAATTTAAAGGTTCAAGTTACACAGTAAATTAATTTCTACCCAAACTGTGAGTGGATCAGATTGGCTGTCTCATGGCCCAAAGGTCACACATGAGGCAGTGACTGGAGTTTCAGGAAACACCTTACATTCTGCCAAACTTCAAACAAGTCTACCAGGTAAGGAGGTCCTGCTTTTGAAAAGGTCAAACATTCTTGCTGCCTATTGTTCCTATTTAAAAAGAATGCCAAAGGTGTCTAGCTGAGGATATCTTCAAAGGCAAAATCAGGATGACAGGAGGTCTAAGTGAGATCATAGCATCTGTAACACCCAGAAGCTCATTTCACAAGCTCCACTGTACAAATAAACGAAGGGGAGAGGGCAGTTTATTTTTCTTACAGTAGATTTCCAATACATAAATAGAGATGGAGTAAAAGGAAGAAATCTAAAGAGTGTGCAGCCCTTGCTTAAAATCCCAGGGCAGAGGCAGGAGGATCAAGAGGTCAAGGCCACCTTAGCCTGGGCACAAAGGAAGTCAGTACACCACATACCTTGGTCATCTCAGATATATTAATATGGCAGCAGGGATGACATGAGAAGCACCTACCTCTGCAGTGTTCGCAATGTAGCGGCTGTCACCTTCAACTCTGACAGAGAAGTCATAGTAGCCACTGGCAAGTTTAACATTCTTGAAGTTTAGCTCAAAAACATCCCTGTTGGGAATGACAGGAAGGTTAACAAGAGCTCAAGAGAAGTCCTGAATATATCACATTGGCTACAAAGTATCTCCCTGTCACAGTCCAGGGCCACTCCCCTCTTTGTTGCCTCCCTGTACCACTCAGCAGTCTCCAGCTCTGCCACAAAAGAATATGGAAAAGGTAAAAACCACCCAGGATAGCCCATCTCCTAATGAATGTGGAAAAGGTAAAAACCACCCAGGATAGCCCATCTCCTAATGTACAGTGTTCTTTGCTTCCCCTCCCAGGTCCGCAAAGTCCAGCCCTGTAGTGCCTTCCTGTATGGTAATGTGCTACCGGCACCACTGCCAGTCTGATTTCAACTGCTCTCTGCTGTCAATCATTTCCCAGTGGTGGGGTAGAATCCAGGGCCCAGGGCATGCCGCACAGTGCTCTACCACTCAGCCTCTGGTATGCTGCTCAACAAAACCACTCACACCAGTCTGCCCTAGAGAAAAGTTCACTTGATCATTCGAGGTCTAGTGGGGAAACCTTTACCGCTGTGGAAAAAATATGTTCTCACCAATATCCCATCCCAACCTCCATATAGCAGTAATTCATTGATACTAAATAAGGTTTTATATAGAAACCAAGTCTTAACTTTTGAGAAATACACATATCAAAAATAGCCACTAAAATTATTGGAGACAAATATTTAATCCCGTGGGGCAATTATTCATAACACACAGTTACAGACTCTCATTCAGTTTTTAAAATGTACCCATGGGGCTGAAGAGATGACTTGGTGGTTAAGAGTCCTTGTTGTTCTTGCAGAGGGCCTGGGTTCAATCCCCAACACCCACATGATGGCTCACAACCATCTGTAACTCTAGTTCTAGGTGATCTGATGCCCTCTTCTAACCTCTGTGGATAGCATGCAGTACACATATACATACATAAACAAAGCACACATACATAGAATAAGATAAATCTAAGAATTTAAGTAATAAAATGTACTTATATTCATAGCCAAAAGACTGACAAAAAGAACTATAAAGTGTGGAGGTGGTTATCGCTAGCTAGTAAAATTATGGTAGAGGATTTATGTTTTCTGATTTTTCTAAAATGAAGTATTCATCTATCAGACAAAAATATTAAATTTAAAAGTAGGAATATACTTGACAAGACAGAGTTCACTAGAGAGACAGGACAGAACTATTAGGGCAAAATGGCCTGGTTTAGAAATCTCTTTCAAATGCTCTCCTCTAGGACTTATCACATTAGGCAAATGTGGTTTATGACCCTCATGAAACTGTTTTGCTTGTTTGTTTGGTTTTTCGCGACAGGGTTTCTCTGTGTAACAACCCTGGCTGTCCTGGAACTCTTTGTAGACCAGGTGGCCTAACCCCTATGAATCAATTACACTGGTTAAAAGTTAACTGTCCAAAGCACAGAGCTTGGTACCCTGCACAGATCTTCCTTTCCCAGACTTACCCCGCACGAATGAAGGGCATCTTAGGCAGGACAGTAGTAGCTCTGGAAGCCACTGACTTAGCATGCTCCAGCTTAACCGTAGCTTGAGTCAGAGGCTGAGACAAAGCATTGCTGACTTGCAACTAGAAAGTCAAACAAAACAAACCACAAGTGAATAGAACAAAGACTGAGAAAGTAGAAATTTGGTCTCTGGGGCACTTTATCTACAGGAAACCAGCTCTGCAGAACAGCACCTTTCTTCAGGGATGTGCACTGACTTTGGTCTGCTGCCTACCAGAGACCAACTATGAAGACAGGACAGATTACAGAATGCTGCAGCTGGGGATGAACCTACAGATGACTCTGCCCAGCCATCTCAGAGGAGGAAACAGGAGACTGTGCATGAGCATGAGTGTGGCTGGTTCTACTTATTTGTTTTCACGATACAGGGCCTTGTGTGTGCTAGGCAAGACCTCTACCACCAAGTCACATCCCTAGACTCTGCATTGCCCAGTTCGTTCCTGAATCATCACTTCACGGCCCAAGCAAGCTTTGAACTTGTATCCTTCTGCTGGAGCTTCCCAAGATTACACCACACCACTAGCTTTTACAGCTGCATTTCTTTTTTTACTTAAGAGACAATGTCTCTCTATGTAACTCGGGCTACTCTGGACTAGGGAACACTCCTTCCTAAGCCTGGCAAATACACCACCCTCAATTTAATGTTTATTGTTTTTAAACCCTTGTTCTATCAACTCTACTATAACATCCTAAAACAAAAAACTCCACCAAAATTATAAGAAAAAAATATGTTGGGGGAAACGTTAGGGTGTGACTTATTTACTGTTTGTGTCTGCGTGCATGTCTGCATGTGTAGGCCTGTATATGCAGGTGCATATACATATTTGGAAGTCTTAGGAGGACAATGGACCTCTTCTATTGCTCGCCACATTATTCCTTTGAGACAAGGTCTGTCACTGAACCTAGATCTTGTCATTTTTCAGCTAGCAAGCCTCAGTGATACCTGTCTCCCTAGCCATTCCTTACTGCTAGTGATTACTAGTGCATATGATCATACCTGGCTTTCTGCATGGGTGTTAGGAATCTGAACTTAGGTCCTCATGCTTGCATAGCAAATATTCTTACCCAATAGTCATTTTTATGGACCCATTATTTTTTTGAAAATCTCTTGTATGTTAAATCCTAGGTCTCCCACCAACTGTCTAAGGCAGACAATATAATCCCTAATTTATAGGTTAAAAAAAGAAAACTGAAAAGGTAAGAAATTGAAGAGGTTATGGACTGCCAAAGGCCACATGGTCAATAAAGGGCAAGGACAGAATTCAACATTCCAGTGTTGAGTGTTCATGCACGTATCCAGCTTTAGAGTCAATATGTTCCCTACTGTGTTCTCTTAATTCCACCGTGAACTCAATAGTATTATGCTAATGAGGTTATTTCTCAGCCTGCTCTTAGTTGGAAAGACACAATTTGTACCGAGGGAGACAGACAATTTTGAATACGGGGCACCTTCTCGGGTTATCAAAATCAAACTTATAGGGCAGATGGAACTCCAACACTGATATAGACAGAATGCTGATCACAGAGATCTGAGTTTATCAGTGTTTATAAACAATAGCAACGAATGCTTCATTTGAGGCTGTAACTGGCTCTATACCACATCTCAAAATCTTGCACTAGAAATAGCATGAGAATGGCAATGTTGGACAGGGAGGTCATACCCGAAGGATGGCCTGTTCCTGAGTGTCAGAAGCAGAGCCCTCAGGCACAACCACCACTGGCATGTGGTAGCGATTCTGGGACAATGCAGCAGCAGCAGAGGCCACGCTGAAGGCTTCTGAGAGAGATTCAAAGCTCTTCTTGCTGAAGATGGTGTTCATTAGCTGGATGACCTGATCCTGAGAGCAAAGGAAAGACAGCTCAGCTCCCCTGTGTAGGAATTAGAGCCCCCCCCCCCAACCCCAGCAGTATTCCTTGTGTGTTAGTACATCCAGCACTAATCCAAATGGCAGACTGCAGGGAGCAAAATGCTGCATTTAAACTTAAAAATTCAATCTTCTATTATAAACGGAAACTCACTAATTTATTTGTTAATCTCTAGTCACAGGTTAGTATACAAATGCAAACTACTCCAGCTAACTACTGAGCTATAGAAGTAGAGGCTAAAATGCACATAACAGTAACCGTTTGTTAAATACCAGGCCATGGTAGCTGCTTTGCATGCACTACCTCAAATCACGACAAAGCCTTGACAGACTGCAGCTATAAATGCTTTCTAAATAAGGAAACTGAGGTTAAACACAAGTTATAGCACAGAAGGGAGGGACAAAGGGAAGGAAGGAAAACTGTCCCAAAGCCCTGCCACAGAAATTCTGTTCTTCCCTACTCCCATAACCCTTTCAGCTAGACTATCTTCTTTCCTAACCTCTCTTTGAGAATAAAATGGTCCAATTTTGTATTCATAAGGACAAAGTATATGGTCAAAGTGTGTACTAGAAAGAAACTAAAATCTAAGTCTCCATTAAGACCTCATGGGCTACATAAAAGAGAAAAATGAAAAGCAATTTTAAAACAAGCGGCCCTAAAAGGCATGATTACAATTCTGAAGGCTGTTTGCTCAGGAGGAAACATCTTCTACTTCAATCAGTTTTGTTCTTTAAAATCTACCATCTAACAAGAAAGCTGCCTTCTTCCTGACAGTGTTATTCACAGTCGACATGACATCATTTTCTGTAATTGTACCAATTACATTTTTCCGTCAGTAGGCTATTGACATGTTAAAATGGGTGACTATTCACCAGAATTGTTATATCAAAAGCAGTGACAGCAAAATTACTCTAGCCAAATACCTGGTTAGTAATTGCTTGGGAATAAAACGAGAAAAAGTTTAAGTTGTGCATGTAGAGAGTCAGCAGTCCACCTGTGTCAAGGTATACAGGATATCCCCAAATCATTTCTACCAGAAAACCCTGAATTCCTCATGTTCACCCTGACAGAAGTGAAAAGGGAGCCCCATAGCTTGAGCTTCTATGCTTAGAAAGAAGGAATGGGCACAATAAGAATGCAGGAATATGAACAAATTATTAGAAAATTAATTCAAGCTACCCAAGATAGATGTTATTTGCTGGTTACATAGTATTACATAATATTTGCATAATGCATAAAAATGTGAGTCTTAGCTTTAAATTCAAACTTTTCTTCTAAAGATCTCAGTATCAGAACCTGTATTTTACGTACATTAGACCAAAGGTTAGTAACCTCTCACACAGGAGACGGAGAAGCTCCACTTAAATATGTCATCACACATATTCTAAGTAAAACCATTCAAGGTAAGAAGCTCTTTAAAACAAACACCCCCACCCCCACCCAAATAAAACTCATTTTCACAGTATCTGGAAGACACACACGTTTCTCAGGGAAACAGCATGAAGAACTACATCCAGCAGCTGAGATTATCTGAATTAGCTGTTGCTAAGGATGAAGGGGAAAGGGGAGAACAGGCAATTCTGAGGTCCAGGGTACTTCCTGGGGGCCAGCAAAGAGGAAAGCACACAGGAGACGGACAGAAAGGGCAGTCAGGAGGAAGGAGAGTAAACCAGGGTGAAACACTTGACCTTGCCCTGCTTAACAGCATGCAAGTGCCTCAGGCCAACAGGTGTGACAATGCATTACATGCCCACCACACCGACTGTCAGCTTCTTAGTACAGGCATTACACCTTTCTACTTCTCATTCTTAAAACCTAACCTAAATTGTGAATAACAACACCCTGAGGTATGAAGCAGCCCTCTCTGGAAACAACCATCCTTGAAAGATAAACTCAACAATGCCTTTGTGTTACACGCTTGAGAATCATCAGACAGGCACCTCCTTTATGGATGGTTCAGTCCCCACATGATCCATGAGCTTGTAGGTGGCAGCAACAAACAACGCTGTGGTTTCCAGTCCTTCCTCAAACTGGAGATACACGCCCCCTAGTTCATCCAAGCGAGCAACTAGGTCCTGTCATAAAAAAATGGAGGCATATTGGAACACAGAGATGGTAGAAACAAGATACAAAAAGTACTGTCACCCCAGAGCTGGTCTTTCAAAGAAATCTTACTAAACCCAAAGACCATCATACCCACTTAGTACTTTCTACAAAAGGGCAGACAGGCAGAGTCTCTGGCAGCTCTGGTAGCAAGCCTCCTGTAGGCCCTGCGCTCCTGCCAAAGCCTAAGAGCCAGGGTACTGAAGCAGCCACCAGTTTGGGAAGAGCAGTGATCCTGGCTGCAGTGATGCCAGGAAGCATCACAACACAGATGGAGCCATGGCTGCCCATGTGGATAGCACCTATGAAGTAGAGCACTTCTCTGCAGTCAATGCTCCTGCGGAGCAGAATGAAGCAGATACTGTGCCCGTGAAGCACACAGCAATGACACTGCCAGAAGTGCCCGTCATCACTGGTCATACAGCTCTTGAGGGTGGCCCAAGGAACAGAATATCCTGTGTAATAGTAAAAACTGTAGTGAGCCAGGGATGGCAGCATACACTTAAAATCCTAGCTCAGAAAGATGCCAACTTTAAGACCAATAGGGGTTATATAATCAGACCGCCTCAAACAAAAAACCCACCCATTTATCCACAGGCAGCTAGTTAATACACGGGTTCTTTTAACCTTACCGGCTCCTGCATCCATCTTACAGGAAAACTGAGGCTCAGAGTATCAAACACCTTACCTACAATTACAAAGCCATAGGTGGCAGAGAGAAGCATCTGAGTTTTAGATTTATTGATTCCACAATCTAATATTGGCCTAACAAATATTCTCTAGGACATATTGCTTAAATATAAAAAACACAAACATGTTGGACTTAACAGTCATGGATGTAAAAGATATAGTGCTGGCTAAAAGAAACCAGTCATGTCTGCTTGCAAGACTGTTTTAAAGGGTGTCAAAGACAGGAGCTCAGAGACTTGTTTGGAGAAGCAGATTTATACCTCAATCTCCTCCACAATGTTCCTCAGGTCAGCCTGCTGTGATAGGTGGGATGCTGTCTGCAGAGCCTGGACCGTTCTGCAAGGTAAAGAAAGAGTAGAGCACTGAGACTAAGATTTAATTAACTGTACAGAAACATGCCCGAAGGCATTCTCTACCTTGTACAGGATATTATGGTAGGCTGAAATTGGCTGCTTGCCAATCGTCTTTCTTACTCAAGACTAAAGAAGTATCATGCGGTCGATGTTTGTAACTTGTTGGGCAGAAATTGGAGCAACGTTCCTAAAACTAGACTAAAGTACATAAAGAAAAGACTCGGTTAACATGTGCTCAATAGTTACCACTGTGCTACCAGCATCACAAGATCTGCAAGTAATATTCCCTCGGGCACTCAGGAGAGAAAAGGGACAGGCTTAGTCTTAAACGAGTCTTACTTACTTTCTTTTAACCATTTATTTAGTATTCTATGTATAAAACCTTATGAATACATATATAATAGACAATTCTTATGAACCCTCTCAGGTCAGTCACCAACACAAATGACGCTCAGGTGTTCCAACAGACAACTTACGCCAGCACAGTCTCCTCCTTGCTGAGACGAGCAGTAAGAGCACCAAGGGCTTCATGGGATGCCAAGGGAAGGCCAAAGCCACTGAGCGCTGCAACTGCATGGTAGATCTGGGCAACAGAGGAGTCTTCACTGACTGCTGCCAGAAGCAGATCTTTGGTCTCATTTGAAACAGATATCTGAGGAAGGACCGGCAGACACAGAGCTGGAGCAGGTTCTGGCACTTTGTGAAAGGCATACTGACAGTAGTACAAGTGTGGCTGTCAAAGCCATGACCACCAAGCACCCCTGGATTAAATGTTCACAGACTTAACACTACCTCTGTTCTGGGTGGGTTTTTATCAACTTAACACAAGCTAGAGTTACTTGGGCAGACAGAACCTCAACTGAGAAAATGCCTCAATAAAACTGGCCTGTAGGCAAGTCTGCAGAACATTTTTTTGATTAAAAATTGATGTGGGAAGGCCCAGACTATTGTAAGTGGTGTCACCTCTGGGGCAGGTGGCCCTAAGGTTTATAAGAGAGCAGGCTGAGCAAGTCATGAAAATCTCAAGGTCTCCCGGAGGAGATGAGAACTGTAAGAAAAAGCAATCTAAAAGCCACTATAGCAAACCCTTAAAGGGAAAAACATTTTCTTACAGGAATAAAAATCATGTTCCAACCTACACCAACAACTCCTAAATTTTAAAAATTATATTAACAATCTGATATTATGTTCCCTCTAAAAATGCACCTTATTACATATAAATAAACAAACAAACAAATAAAAGGCAGTATAGGAACCTGGGCTCACCTCACAGCCTGAGAGGACCTGGCTCGACTGGGCAGCATAGAAGAGGGAATCCACGTTGCTGGGGTCAAGGTTAGACTTAATGAAGGTACATGCTTTCTAAACAGGGAAAGTCAGAGGTAAGTGGTGACATAATGCAATAACAAGAAAAAGTAAAAGTGCTTATGGGAATAAATAAAATTCTAAACCATCTATGGAGGTTTACAGTGTGGATTATTTGAGATATAATTGTTTTTCAACAGTTATTTTACACAGGACACTATTGCCCCAATGCTGACTTCTTCACACAGGGAACAGCAGGCCTGAGATGGGGGACACCATTTAACAAGTGACCTGTGACCTGTGTGTGCTGGGTGTCACAGAGCTCTTCCTCTGATGAGCACAGGCCCTTCACATACACCATAATGCTCTCTGTTAGCAGAAGAAGTAACTGGGATGTGAGTAGGTAAGTGGCCTGTCCAAGGGCAGAGTCAGAGTGTCCTGACACCAGGTGTTTTCAGTGCCATGTCTCCAAAGCCAAGTGAGACAACCAATCTAAAGTGACTTAAGGCCTTCTCCTTTTCACCCGCCTTCCTGGCTCAAGCACAGCATCCCCATGTATCCCACCACCCAGATCAGACCCTGGGGAACTGCTGTTGGCTAGTCTCTTCCCTCCATAGCTACCCAGTCTACTTCTTTTCCTATCTTCAACCGACCCCTGGCTTGTCTCTGCCCTAGGGCAGGTCCTTGTCAACCCTCCCGACTGTTATAGTCCTTTTTTACCTGCCTCAAGGCATGGGATCTATTCCATACACAGTAAGGCTAAACTCTATGAAATACAAAGTACCCATGTTACATTACTATTAAAGGCTTCCATGGTTCCCACCACTCCCAGAAAAGACCCAAAGTTGCTAACATAGCATACAATGTCTGAGTGGCATCCCCGCCCCCTTGCTGTGGCAGCTCCATCAGGACGGCCCACCTCAGGTCCCAGAATCTTATTCTCTTCCCCTGCACTTTCCAGCTGAACTGTTTCCCTGCTCTTGGCGATTTCTGCCTGGCACCTTTTTCTTGTCTTCTGTCTGCTAAATGAGATCTTCCCTTCGCCTCTGCTCAGATGCACCTGCCTCATAGAGCCATTGTTTATACTCATCCCATGATAGATCACAGCCCCCACTTTGCCCTGTGCTTCCCAAAGCACTGGCTACAGGTACTCAGTGCTGGTTGCCTGAAGAACACTGCGCTTAATACAGCAAGTGAGCACAAAAAACAAAATTCTAGTCACTTCTGTTCTGCTGAACTACAAGGGAGAAAAGTTACACTGCTAAACATTTATTCTAAATGAGATATTATAAAAATAATGGTGGCACATGCCATTAATCCAAGTAATTGGAAGGCAGGAATAGGCTGTGAGTTTGAGGCCAGTTTGGTCTACACAGTAAATTCTAGGATAGTCAGGGCTATGTAGAGAGACCCTGTCTCAAAAAATAACAATACCCCCCCTCCGCTCCCCAGCTATTCAAAATTTTTAGCCGATCCAGTCAAAAGTGGGTGTGTCATTTGGTACTGGGGGGTGTTGCTCAGATATATAATATTTGCCTAGCATGCACAAGACCTGGAAATTTGACCCCTAAAATCACAGAAAAGCCAGGCAGTGGTGGCACATGCCTTTAATCCCAGCTCTTGGGAGGCAGAGGCAGGAGGATCTTTGTGAGTTCAAGGCTAGACTAGGCTACAGAGCTAGTTCCAGGATAGCCAGGGCTGTTACACAGAGAAACCTTGTTTCAAAAAAAAAACAAAAACAAAAAACAAAAAAACACAAAACAAAACAAAACAAAAACAAAAACCACACCAACAAAACCACAGAAGGAACCTCTGGGAAATGAAATAGGAGGAGTAGGTGAGCTGTGAAACCAATCCGCTAGGCTACATTGTGTCATGTGTCACTGCAGGGCTACCTCACTCAGAACAAAAACAAACAAACAAAAACAATGTTTTAAAAAAATGTTAGGAAAAAGCTTAAGATCCTTCAAACAAAGGAGCTTCAACTTGAGTACAGCATGAAAGAACCAGAGGGAAGGCAGGGTGGTGGTGGTGCACACCTTTAATCCCAGTTTACAGGAGGCAGAGGCAGGAGGATCTCTGTGAGTTGGAGGCCAGCCAGGTCTACAGCAAGTTCCAGGACAGGCTCCAAAGCTACAGAGAAACCCTGTCTCAGAAAACCAAAAATCAAACTGAACAAACAAAAGAGCTGGGGGTGGGGGTGGAAGAAACCAAGTACTCCACGGAGTATAAACTGGGGTCTGAAAAGGAAACTGGTTACTCCATGAAGGGAACGCTTTCCACACACAGCAGACTCTAAGAAGTGCTCTGCTGCCCTCTGGTGCTTTAACCATGAAAAGACAGCACCAGGTCCCCACAGTGCTAAGTACCTTCTTCCCCAGCACTTTGAATGAGAGTCACAGTGCCTCTAGGGGATTTAAAGGACCCCCTGCATGGACATTTTTACTGTCTTAAGTTCATAGAGAAGTAAGTAAGCAGCTCAATTGAGATTGTTCCTAATTGGGAGAAATGGCCTTCAAATCCAGATAGCCTGGCTATATCCCTACCGGAAGAGGCTGCTAAAATTATTCATAAATATATTCAGCACTAGTCTTCCTTGATGCTTACAAGGACAAATCAAGGGCAAGAATGTTCAGGGGCTTCATGATGTGGGCAGCACAGCTTTAACAGCAGCAGGAGTGGGGAATAATAAAACACGCTCTGGACCTTCCATGAGTGCTGCTCTCTCCAGCCCAGGGCTGAGGCTTTAGCTCGCTCTTCTAGGGACTACTTGGCTCTAACTGTAGCTGTTCTCCACATTCCAGACATTACCACTCCATACACATCCTCACCTCAGCTTCTGTGCCCTTTGGTAAAACCCCAAGGGTCTCAACATTCAACATTCATGTGGAGCTCCAAATCACGCCACAGCTCAGAAGGCACTGTGAGCGCCTCACTCCTCTACAAGCCTCAAACACAAATCTGATGATTCACAAATGTTTCTGCCCTTGGCATGCCAATCCGACTAAAATCTGACATTAGTCCAACTTCATTTGTTACACTTTATAATACAAAACCTCCACTAGTTGTCACTGACTCTTGAAAGAAAGCAAAAAGCAAGCCAACAGCATAAATGATGAGCATTTGTGTGGCAACACCTTATCATATAATACTTTCAGTATTTGTGATGTAGCAAAATATCTCAAAGTGTTGGGAGGCCTTGCTGGTCAGAGTTTGCAGTCTATCACAGCCTGGCAGCTTTCTCCAAAGTTAGATGACACGGAGACTCCCTCCCTATAGCAGGACTTCCTGCTCTCTACCTGCCTTTATGTGGAGATTGTTCCTGGGTCCAAAGGACTGATCTTATCTGAAAGCTGTCTCTAAGCCTGGATGCCTGATTTATCTCTAGCGTGACCCTATGCTATAGGACCCTGCTGCCACATATGAAGCTTTATGATAGGAGCGTGTCACTTGATGCAAATTAGGGTTTGTCCCTAGGCTTCCCAATTCTATATATTCCCTATACTCAGGAATAAAGCTGGGCAGATTCACCTAACTCATCTCCTGAGGGCTGTCTCTGTCACATCCACAGCTGTCCAAACTCTGCTCCCTGCTTCTGCTCTCTCCACCCTCATGGACCAACAATCCCGAGGAAGAAGCAGAAGCACATCAAAGCATCCTGACAATCAAGGATGCTTACTATAATGAATAGTAGTACTACGGTCAGTGAGATGGCTCAACTAGAGAAGCTTCATGTTGCCACGCTTAACAAACTGAGCTTGATCTTTGTCATAACAACCTGTAGGAATTGGTTTTCTCCTTCCACCATGTGAGTTCTGAGAGCTGAGCTCGCTCAGGTCACCAGTTCTGGCAGCAAGTACCTTTTACTCAATGAGCCATTTTACTACATAAATGGGTGGTTTCCAAATCCTAAATCTATGGTAATTTCTTTTGAAGTCATAGAAAACAAGAAATATTCAGGGAAAATGCCTTAGCCTAACTGCCCATGATTTTGTAATGGCCACACACCCCTTAGCTGTTCCTTGTTGTGGAATATTAGTTCAAGATGTGCTCCAAGTGTTTTGTCTGTGGAACATTTGTTTAATGATACAAAGACGTGTGGCATTCTTTTATGCGGCTTTTGGTTAACTCTGTAAAGCTGTGTTACTCTGCTTGCTTAAAACACCTGATTGGTCTAATAAAGAGCTGAATAGCCAATAACTTGGCAGGAAAGATGATAGGCGGAGCTGTCAGGCAGAGAGAATAAATAGGAGGAGAAATCTAGGCTCAAAAGAAGAGGGAAGAAGGGGAAAAGGAGAAGGAACGGACGACCCCAGGGGCCAGTCCCTAGCCACAGAACCAGCCATGGAGTAAGAAGGGAAGAAAGGTATATAGGATAGAGAAAGGTAAAAGCCCAGAGGCAAAAAGTAGATGGGATAATTTAAGAAAAGCTGGCTAAAAGCAAGCCAAGCTAAGGCTGGGCATTCATAAGTAAGAATAAGTCTCTGTGTATTTATTTGGGAACTGGGTGGTGGGCCTTCAAAGAGTAAAAAGTAAAACAACAATAGTTCCTAAATCCAGAAAACACTTCCACTGCACTGTATTCTGCTCAAAAAAAGTAGAATATGTCCAAATTGCCTGACACAATGACCGTCACTGAATAATGCAGGTGAGTCCTCCACCTTGAGCTCCTTTAGGAGTTGTTAGCACCTAGCACTTTACAAGCACATGTTATGGGGCTGGGGAGATGGCTCAGTGGCTAAGAAGCACACAAACCAAATACAAGCTGTATTGAACAGTTTCACAGATAGAGTTCTGGTAGATTCCAGAGGCTCTGACTCACTTTCCTCCTTTCCCTTAGAAACACACAGCTGGGGGGCTGGAGAGATGGTTCACTGGTTCAGGGCACTGGCTGCTCTTCAGAGGACCTGAATTCAATCCCCAGCAACCGCATGATGGCTCACAACCTTCTATAATGGGACCTGATGCCCTCTTCTGGCAAGCAGGCATATATGCAGATAGAGCACTCATTTAAAAAAAGAAAGGAAGAAAGATTAGGCTCTCCTAAAACACTGAACAGAAGAAAGGCAGCATTACCTTGACATCTGGCACTTGTGCCCCAAGGCTGTTGAGTCCCACGATGGAGTAGAAGGCAGATTCCAGATTTGTGAAAGGGCGCGCCAATGAGGCTTTCAGTCTCTCCACATCATGCTTGGTGAGGTAGTGGGTAGGTGTCAGAGCCTGGGTGCTGGCTATGATTGTCAGGGCCAACAGGAAGACAGCGCTTGAACCTTTGAGGGAAACGGCTATTAAGTACATGCCACATTACCCTGGGTCCCAGTCCCAACAATGATGCACTAAGGTCTGGGAGCCCAACCCTGTGGGAATGATGACCTACATCTTCGACTACCAAGACAGTCTTTCCTACAAGCTTCAGGAATCTGAAGAACAAGACCACACCATTCACAAGTAAAACTTTCCAGGACAGAACAGATCCTGAATCCTTAAATTGTGTTTCCTTCTCAACCAAACTCCTCCCCGGCCACTCCAACAGCTGTCTCTTTCCAGCCTGTTCCTTAAGGAGCCACGTTCCTACCCAACACACTTTTTAGGTTCTCCTCAATTTCTGCTTTGTCTAATGTGTCCTTTCAGGTTTCAGCTTCAGTATCGTTAGGATATGAGTTCTGCCCTAATACAATGAAGAACCTAGCCTCTGGGCTACATGGGAACCAGCCACAGCCTCAGCTCTCAGGCACAGAGATGACAAGTGTCACCCCGGGACTTGTTAGGAGTTAAGGGAGAAAGGTTCTAGAATAATGACTGGCCTGTAAAGAGCACTCTGTACAGTATCAGCTGCTGCTTCCATGACTGTGCTTGCTGGTGTAGCCACTCAGCAAAGGTGCATGTCTTTAGTCCCAGCACCCAGGATGAACAGAGACAGGTGGATCTCTGAGTTTGAGGCCAGCCTGGTTTACAAAGCAAGTTCCAGGACAATCAGGACTAAGTGGAGAAACCCTGTCTCATGACAAAATAATAAGAAGAATGAGAATATAAGGGCGGATTTCTCTGCTAAACTGTAAGCTCTAGGCCCCTAGAGCAGGAGGCGGCTAAAAACTATTTCTCATGTTTATTTCAGTATTTCCAAGTCTTACAGACTGCCAGGTATGGTATGCACTGAGTAAATATTTAACAAATAAATGGAAAGAAAACACAGTCCCATCTGTGATCCCCCAGGGGACAGGAAGAAATTGTAGGAATGACATCTTTCTTTCATTAAAAATAAAAATTGAGGGAACCTTGTGAATAGGCTGTCATGAAACATGAAAGAGTGAACTGCCTGTCACCAGAGTTAAAAGCATTAAAAGGCAATTACAAGACTAACATCAATGGCCGTAAATGCTTTGCCTATAGCTCAAGTTTAATTTGAATGAGAATCCTTTAAAGGTACTGCTTTCCAAGGAAGAAAACGGAGGATTACAGTAGCTTACACGTGGCCGGTCTTGGTTGGACTCAACCCAGTCAACACTACAGAGTTCACATTCCACTTAAAAAAAATTAAACTGGGGGTGGGGGGAGGTCAGAGGAAAACTTGGGAGTCAGTTCTCTCCTTCTGCACGTAGTTCCTTCTGAAGCTCCAGCTCCTCGGGTCATCTTATCAACCCCTTACCAACCGGGCTCAATGACAAGAACCTTGACCCCCCCCCATCTTGTCAGCCCCCTACTTTTTTCCTTCTATTTGAGAATGTTGACAGGATACATAACTCACAGAGAATTCCTCTTCTAGGAACAGAGTTTCATTTAAGTCTTGGTGTGCTTGCTAACCTAAATGTGAAGGCGCTTTAAAAAAAAACGAGAAGCCAGTATGCGCAGAGGTATAGTCCCTCTCAGCCCCAACGCTGAACTTCAGCGCTCTATCATGTGCAGTATCCAGCAATATATGGAGGATCCTCTGTGTATCATGAACTTGTTTTTCTCTCAGTGCTGGGGCCTGAACCCAGCTCCCCAGCTCCCTAGACCCTGCCCTAAGACGCATAACTGAGACTCAAACTGGACACAGTTTCGATACAAATTCTGACTTTAACCACTTGACTACCAAACCGAAGAGCGAAATGGCAAGTTTTGTTCGCTGTGTTCCGGGATTCCAACTACTCCTCAGCCAGGGGGGATAGCCACATACACCCAAATGGTGATTCTGAAAAAGACGATACTAAGATCCACACTACTGCGTCCATTCCCTCCTACCCTGCACTGTTAAAAGCAAGCACAGCACACCATCTCACACAGCTCTTACGAAGCAGGTACCAGATGAGAAACTGGGGTGCAGAGAGGTTAAGTCCCTGGCACCTGCCCTCACAGTGACTAGGTGGCTGGTTACAGGTCTGCACCTCTAGTATCACTTCATAGCCTAGGCTTTAGGCTAGGTGAGTCGCCTGTCCCTGTCAGAGAGAAAGAACCTAGAGCCCCAAGACAGTGCAGTGACGTGGTGAAAAGGCTTTCAGGATGCCAAGTGCGGCTCCCAGACAGGTTGTAGGCCGCGGGTACCACTCCAATGAATGAAGGAGGCCAGGCCCGGGGTCCGCGCTGCCGCGGTTCGCGCTGGACCTCGCGGGGACCCGTAGCCACGCGTTGGACACCCCCCCCTCCCCCGGCACCAACCCTTCGGGTCGCCGGCACTTCACCACAGCTCGCAGCCCTCCGTCACACCCACGACCCCGAAAGCGCCCGAGCCCATGCCCCTGCCCCGTAGGGGAGGGGAACCGCGCCTGGCCGGCGCCCGTGTGGTCCGTACTACCCTCCCGCGGGCGACGCCCCGCTCCCCAAGGCGTGTCGGCCGCGGGGCCCCACTGTTGAGCCATGCGCAACGCCTCACCCGGCGGCGCCATTCCTCCGAGCAGGCCCCACCAGAGCCCGAGCAGGCAGACTTCCGCTCTGGAAAGTGGCTCCAAGAGCGCGCCGGAGGGGACGCCAAGGACCCGCAGCACACGCCGGCTGCCGGGATGGGCTCCCGGCAAAGGTCAGTCTCGGCGGCCGCACTGGGCAGGGCCGCTCGCAGCAGCCACGGCGTGGCGGGTCCTGTCGTGGCGTGCGAGCCGCTCGCAGGGTTGCTGCTTGAGAACCCGCAGTCTCCCCCGCGCCGCGGTGCACTTGGAACCGACCGCCTCCCAACCGTCCGGCTCTGGCCACCACCCGGACGCGATTGGACGGGGACTTGGGCTGGGCCTGAGACGGGGCCGCCTCTGATTGGCCGGTGCCAGTGACTGGCCGGACGCGCTGTCAATCACGAGTCTCCCCGGCAGCCCGGCCAATTTTAAAGCCGTGAGAAGGGAGGCGAGGACTAAACGTGATTTTGAGCCCTTTTGCAAAGTATGGTAGAAGGATTATTTAGATGGTTAATAACTGGCTTATGAGTGGATTTTTACCCATTTTTCAAGCTAGTGAGCCATACACTAACACCGGGGGAGCGTTTTAAAAAAGATTTTATTCCTTGAGAATTTCATACACTACATTTTGATCATCTTCATTCCCTTCCCCCAGCTCCCTACCCACTCAACTTCATGCTCTAGTTCTCTCCCTTTTAGAAAAAAAAAAAAATCAAAAACAAGCTAAGCATGGAGTCCTGCCCTGGAGAGTGGTTGATATACCCAGAGTCACTCCATTGGGAAACACATCTGACTTTCCTTCTCCCTTAGCTATCAATTATGAAGAGCTTTTTGGCTAGGGGGTCTTTTGCCCACTTCCCCTTCTCTGTCCTGGGGCTTTGGATAGCTTGAGCTTCTGCAGATCTCGTGCATACTCCGTATTGCATCTTCCCCTGTTGTGTTTGGGAAATGCTGTCTCTCTGGAGCACCACTTCTGGTTTTTACCATCTTTCTGCTCCTCTTCCACATCCCTGAGCCTTGAGGTGAGGAGTAAGAGATAGACATCCCATTTAGGGCTGAGATTTCCCAAGTCCGCACGTCGGTCAGTAGTGGGTTTCTGTGTTGATTGCCATCTACGCCAAGAAACTTCTCTGGTGAGGATTGAGGGATGCCCTGATCTGCAAATGTAACAGACTCAAAATGGAAGGCCAAACTAGAATGTAGCTCCAGATACTGAGCATTTACAGTACAGTTGGTGAAAGATTTACCACGGCCCGGGTGACCCTGGCAGGTCCCACTGCCGCTGGGAGAGGCCGCTGCCGGTGAGAGACAGACAGATGCACCACATGGAGAGAGCTTGGGTGTGGAGTTTATTTAGTGGGTACGAGAGGTATGGGAGGGTAGGGGAAAGAGCATTCTACATACTTGATTTCATTTACTTTGTCCTTACTCTGCGATGTGTGCAGTGGTGTGCAGTGTTACTATCACCTCTGGCTCCAGGCTGCCTGAACTATTGTGAGCACGGAGCACCTCGAGAGTGGCACAGTAGCGGATTCTTCTTATCTTTACTATTGCCCCAAGTGTTATTCAGCCACGTAGAGGAGAGTCGGTTCTGTGTCTAGGAAGTGCCACTCCTCCATGTAGTAGTCATTAGCCCCACGCAGTTATTTCACTTTGAACGTCATCAAATTAAGGAAAATTTAAGATTCAACTCCTCAGTTGTACTAGCGATGTTTCAAGTGCTCACTAACTCAACCAGGGTAGCTAGTAGATGTTGTGCTGGGCAATTTGACAGATGTTTTCATCATCCCAGAAAGTGATCTTGGGCAGTGCCTGTAGGGCCTACGCTTACTTTCCAGGCCAAGGTTACTTGATGTGGCTGGTTGAGGAATTCGACCAGCCTTGGTGACTCAAGCCTGAACTCAGGTACAGGAAGCCTAAGGTTAGAATTAGTTAGTACTTTATATGACTGTTAATATCAAACAGAAAGTTGTTTATTATTTATTTATTTAGTTATTTAGTTAGTTAGTTAGTTTTTTTTTTTCAAGACAAGGTTTCTCTGTAGCTTTGGTGCCTGGAACTAGCTCTTGTAGACCAGGCTGGTCTCGAACTCACAGAGATCTGCTTGTCTCTACCTCCTGCGTGCTGGGATTAAAGGCGTGCGCTACCACTGCCTGGCTATTTAAACAGAAAGTTTAAATTTTGAGATAATATTTAAACCTTATGAAAAGTTTTAAAGGGTCAAAATAAATCTAAGGGGTATGAGATCAGTGTCAGTATAATAGTCCCTAGATTTTGGTTTTCTTCTGTCCCATACCAGGTAGCTCTTCTGACATGAGACAGACTTTGGATTTTTTTTTTTTTTAAACAAACAAGCTTGGGTTTAAAGAAAGAGAGAAAGCCACACTCCAATTTCAAAGCCAGCTTTAGTTTTTCATTGGATTGGGTCTACATAAAGACCATTTGCCTAACATGTCTGTAGAGAACAGCAAAAGCAAACACTCTGAAAGATTTGTGACATTTTACCCTTTTGGAAGTGTGCTGTACTGTAAGGACAATTCACTCCTTTTTTTGAGATTTTTTTTTCCAGGTGATTCTCCCTTCTTCTTCAGATGCTTCATTTGTCCAAAGGTCTTTAGATTTCATAGGTGGAAGCTTTTATTCTCCTGGAAAGACAAAAAACAAAACCCTGTCCAACTTTAATTTTGGGGAGTTTTCCTTTTTGTCAAGTTGAATTGCCACATTGTTGAATAAAGTATTGCCTCTCCTAATCAAGATGTCTCTCATGTTCAGATCAAATATTTATCAATTTTGATGGTATCCATAGCTTTCCTTCTCCTGTGGAAACAAAAGCAAAACCTCTTCCCAAATGTAACACATACTCTGGTTTCCATTTTGAGGTCAGCACATCTTTAAAGTAAACAGGGTGATTTAATTCAGTGGTTTTTTTTTTCTATTATTCAATGTCTCTCTGCAGCTGTTGTTCTGTTTTCATTAACATTTAAAAAAATTAAAGTTTGTAAGAGGTCTTTATTACCTCTTTCTGTTTGTTAAGCATTTCTTTTAAAGTGTGATTAGATTTTTCTGTAACTGCTTGTTCTGTGGGATTGTATGGTATACCTCTAATATGCTTTATGTTTTAATATGAAAAAAACTGTTTCATTTTTCTAGAGACATATGCTGGAGCATTGTGAGTCTTAATTTGTACAGGTATCCCTGTGATGGCCATAACGTCTAATAAATACAATTACAGGCAGCCTTTTGGAACTCAAAGCAGTTGCCCATTGAAATTGTAAATATGTATCTATGGTATGTTGCAAATACTTTAATTTTCCGAACTCTGAAAAATGGAACATATCCATTTGCCAAATTTCATTTCTTTGAGTACCTTAGGAGTACTTCCTGTTGGAAATGGAGTTTGCTTATTCAGAGAACAAGTAGGATATTTCTTAGGATTTCCTTGGCTTCTTGCCAAAGAAAGAAAATTCTTTCTTTAAACCTTTGCTATCAACATTGGTGTTTCTTATGAAATTCTGAGGCTTTTAATTTTTTTGAAAGATTTATTTATTATATATACAGTGTTTCTGTCTGCATGTATGCTTCCACACCAGATTTCATTACAGATGGTTGTGAGCCACCAGGTTTTTGCTGGGAATTAAACTCAGGACCTCTGGAAGAACAGCCTGTACTCCCAACCTCTGAGCCATCTCTCCAGCCCCAGTAATAACCCTTTCTAAGGCTTGCAGCTTATCACTAGTATATTTTTCTACATTTTTTCTCTTATCAATCAATTTCTCATACTTGGTACAGTTTTCAAACCATTTTTTGAGGATAAAATATGAATTGCCAAATTAATAATAATTATGACTATCCCAGATAAGTTGTTTATCCCTTCATTTATCTTTTCTCTTTGCATCCCATCCATGGTAACAATAAACAGGGTCCTAATTCCCTACATTGAGGTTTGTCCAATTTTTAACATGGGAAAGATCTTTTTTTAAAAAAATATTTATTTATTATGTATACAATATTCTGTCTGTGTGTATGTCTGCAGGCCAGAAGAGAGCACCAGACCTCATTACAAATGGTTGTGAGCCACCATGTGGTTGCTGGGAATTGAACTCAGGACCTTTGGAAGATCAGGCAACGCTTTTAACTTCTGAGCCATCTCTCCAGCCCCAGGAAAGATCTTAATATTGTCCTTTCCTCCCTTCTTTTTCTCTCTCGTTTTAAAAAAATACTTACTTATATTTAATTAAATTATTTATTTATTCATTTAATATTAATATTGTCCCTCTCTCCCTTATTTTTCTTTATCTTTTTAAAAAATACTTATATTTAATTAAATTATTTATTTATTCATTTAATAGCCTAGTTCTCTGTTTTAAAATTCCCAAGTGTCTTACCGGCTCTGACACCAAGGATGGAGTTATGCAAAGGTAGTCAGATGTAGTGACGATGTTCAACCAGCAGGTGGAGCAGGCGCGACACCAAAGCAGCTCAGGCTCAGTACGCTACCAGCAAATGTGTAAGGCAGCCGGACTAGCTTGGCCCTGGTGCCTTGTGCCTCTGAGCAGAATTTGCCTGCGAGGGTAGCGGAGGACACATGAAGAACTAACTGTGAGGAGCCGTGGATTTGTGCCCGGGAAGACAGCAACGGAAAACCCAAGTACGCAGGAAAGCGGGCTAGAAGGAGCTGGAAGATTGGGGAAAGGGCCTCTGCAGTTGCAATTTGGTGTGGTGAAATCACTCCGCCTTTGCGTGGTTTACTATAGCTAAAGCGATTTCTATTACCGTTTATTATAAAATAAAACTCGGGGACAAATATTAAAGATAAAAACCCGAGATAATCGCAAACGACTGGGAAGCACACTGCCACCCTTCGCTTCCCAGCTCAAAAAGACCGGACCCCCTTCCTTTCCACCTCATCCTCTGGGGCCTTTCTTTTTCTTGTCCCGGTCCACCAGGGAACTCCATGATCCACTCCAGCCAGCTGAATGTGAACCCAGCCTCTCTAACCGATGCCTCACCTCACTGAACGTCAGACCACAGCACAGACAAATTCCCGCAGCAGAGATTTACTGTCATGAAGTATTTTAAGTTCAGCAAAATGGCTCAGTGCGTAAAGACACTGACCACCAGTGCTGATCACTTGAGTTTGATCCCTGCAACCCACATGTTGGAGAGAGAGAAGTAACTCCCCCAATTTGTCTCAGGATCCCCCCCACACACACACACAAACACACCATAGCACACAGTCACCCACACATACACCACATATACAAAATAAAGAAATATAAATTTAAAAAGCATATTAGTTTTGTATGACTTTTTTTTCAAATGACTTTTCTTCTTCTCCTCCTCTCCTCCTCCTCCTTTTCCTCCTGCTCCTCCTCCTCCTCCTCCTCTTCCTCCTCCTCCTCTTTCCTTTTTAGAGATGGAGTTTTTCTATATAACCCAGGCTGGCCTCAAGGTCCTGTCTTAGGTTCTCAAGTGTTGGGATTACAGATGTCAGCCACCTTGTTTGGCCCTTTGAGCTTGGTGCTCGTTGTTATGTATAGCTGGACTCGCACGTTTCATTGCTTATATAGTAAGTCCTTCCCTGGATGATCACGCCACGGTTTCTCTGTTCTAGTGATGAACCAACAACTGTCTCAAGGGTTTTTGTTTTGTTTGTTTTCCATAATGACCACTTCCATGAAGATTCGTATGTATTTTCCTGAACACATGTGTAAGTTTTACCAGAATGCATCCCTAAATGTAAAATAGTGAGTCATAGAGTATGTGTCTGTGTGTGTATACAGTTTCAACTTCACTGCATAATGTTTACTTGCTGCCAAAGTAGTGTACCAAATTATACTTCCAAGTGCAATTTATGGGATTTTTTTATTATTTTACTTTTCATTTATTTATTTTATTTATTTATTTGCTTCATGTCTTTGTCAACAGCAACTTGTTTTTGTTGTTTTGAGTCAAAGTTTCTCTGAGTAACAGCCCTGGTTGTCCTGGAACTCACTGTAGACCAGGCTGGCCTTGAACTCACAGAGATCCGCCTGCCTCTGCCTCCCTAGTGCTGCGATTAAATGCGTGCGCCACCACTGCCTGGATCCTTTGGTCTACATTAAGATTCATGCCAATATTAAAATTTTAAGGAATATAAACAGCTTAAAAATGAAAATTTTTCTCAAAAATGCCACTCTATAGATATTTAAGTCCATGTTCATCTCCATTTTACAATATTTGTACATGTTTATTGTATATAGGCATGCATATGGGCACATACACATCACTTTTACAAAAACGTTATTTTAATAAAAACTGAATCACATACCACTGTTTAGCAACTTCCTTGTTTTGTCTTTTTTTGTTCTATTTTGTTTGAGATGAAGGGGTCTCACTTCATAGCCCAAGCCAGCCTGGAACTCATGGCAATCCTCCTGTATCATCCTCCAGAGACCTGGGATTACAGTAGGCATGAGCCAGCACACCTGCAGACAACTTTCTTTTTCATTAATTAACTGTTTATCCTTTGGTAGATGTTTGTTGTGTGTGGGGCGTGGGTGTTCCCCGGTCCATGAAAAGGAGTGGAGAGGCATCTCAAGGATGAGTTTAGCCTTTTCCAGCACCAGGGTGGATTCCTCTCCACCAATGAACCGCCTTTGCTGAGCAAAGGCCCTTTTATTGCTAGCAGTTCACATACTTTAGCAAATCAACTTCGCATTCCAAAGTCTTTAAACCCTCCAGAGGGACAATGCCAAATGCAACTTATCAGTTAAGAATACCATGGTTTTCTGTGTTTTTCATAAGCTAAGTTTTCATAGGCTTTGATCCCCTAGGAAAACTCTCAGATAAGACTTCAAGCAGAAGGGACGGGAGACAGGAGGTAACATTCTCAAAAAAGCAGATCAGAAACTAAAATACCATGGGGTCAAATCCTGCAGCTCTGTGGGAATTTTCCCGTCAGATGTCATTCTGTGTAGTCATTCGCTAAGACTATACTTCCCATATGCAAGCCACTGTTCTAGTCGGATGGACTATATCCATAGCAGCCTGTCTGCAGGGAGCCTTATTTTAGCAGGAGAAATAATTAAATATCGATTATTGTAAATAACTGAATTAGAAGTATGGGGTGTAGCTCATTGGTAGAGTATCTACCTAGAATATACTAGGCTCTGGCTCAATTTCTAGCATTGTAAAAATATATAAATTAACAAACTAATCAATTAATTAGGGTGTAATATAGCCCTAGGGTAGAGCTTAGAATGTATGAAGCCCAAGTTCTTACCCCAGCAAGAATAAATCAATAACTGCATGCTGTACTGAATGTATTATTGGCTACAGAATAAAAAAGACAAATGAAACAAGGGTAAGGGAGATTGGGGCCTGTTGTGGAGGGCTTGTCCTACTGCAGTCTCTTTTCATTCATCCGTCTGTCCGTGTCATCATTCTGGGGGCCGGGATGCATTGTGGACAAGATGCCTAATAGACGTACAGCATATGAGCAAATCCCGTGAAAGAAAAGTAGCTGGCTAGGGTGGGGAGAGGCTGCTCAGTCTAGATTGCTGCTCAGTAGATGGTTTTCTGAGAAGGGGGCCCATGGGCGGGCATTCAACAGAATGCTGACAGAAGCGCTTCTGAGAAACTAACATTTGAATCCCTCTTTGATTCCTAGGGCCAGTGGCACAGAAGAAGTGGTGATCCCTTGTGCTTCTGACAGTGACTCAGGAAGTGTAGACCTGCAGCTGAACAACTTAGAGGACAGCCAGAAAGACACAGCTAATGATGATTTTGCAGGTGAAGGGAAGGATATAGTTTTGTTTTGTTTTTTTAAGTGTGTGGGGAGAAAGATTTGCCTTGTTTTCCATACAAGGAGCTGAACCCAAGACTTGATTCCTCATCTATTGGACACTGTTGTTCCTATAAATTAACAGAAGGACGCCTTCCCTCTGCTGCGTACTTCTGGTGGATAAGATACGCCTTTATAACTTAGCCTTTCTTTGTTCCACGAAAAGGTGAGAGGCTTAGAAGCCTATTTTCCATCATTAGCAAGCTGGCAAGGCCATCAAGTACAGTTAGCCAGACTGAGTGTCTCTGTGCATGGATTGCAAGTTAGACTTTCCACAGATAATACTCAAGGACGGAGGCGCAGATGTATGAACCTAAATCACTAGCTTCTTTTGCCAGGACCAATTGATAACACACAAACTGTGGAACTGGCGAGACTCCCTAAGCATTGATGCTCTGCAAAACCTTCTAACCTCAGTTTGTAGTACAGAATCCTAGACTCAGATAACTGTTTATGTTTAAGTCCTGAAATGTTTGTGAGTAACAGGGAAAAGCAATTAACCAATTAACCAGGTCTGGAGGGAAACAGCTTTATGCCAATTACCATGTGAAAGGCATCACAGAAGGCCAGGACTGCCAAAAATGGCCTGGCCCTTGAATAAAAAGTCACTAGCTTCCAGCCTGTAAATTCTCTCCTTGTTCTCTGAGGCAGCTTGCAGGATATATCTATTTTTAGACTTGGGACGCTTTCAATGCCAGCCTTGAGGAAAGTGCTGATTGCTTTACGACCTGCCGCCTGTGGGTTTCCCTTGGCACTCTGCTGTCCTGTTAGGGCTGCAGGGGGTGGGGGAACAGGACACCTTTAGGCCTTGTTAGTCACCTACTGTCAGTCTATAAAGCTTAATACGCATAAGAAATGTAGAATAGTACACGACTTCTTGATTTCTTCTTTAGACCCCTCAGTAGTTTAGCCTTTCTCTTCTATAACACCTCATAGCAACCTTCTTAAGATAACGCTACAGCCTAGACTCCCTTTTGCAGCTGCCTACTAATCAGTAGCTGACGAGTTTGTTTCGCAGGTGTCCTTTAAGGAATGCACCATGGCCCTGAGAAATTGCCTTGGTAACCTTTTTTACTGCCTTAAATTTGTTGTTGAATGTGTATACACACTGTGTGAACAAAGAGAAGGGGGGCTGCATAACCTGGTCCCTATCTACACCTATTGGAGGTAAGGGACCCACTCCCCACCCCCCACTCTCCCACTCCCCCCACCAAAGCACAGGTTCCACCTATACTGATTGGAGTCCACTCAACAACATAAAGAACAATCTGGCACCACCAGAAACTAATGAACATCCCAACATAGATGAAGCAGAAGAAAAGGACCTTAAGAATAACTTTATGCAGATGATTGAGGCCCCTAAACAGGAAATGAAACATTCCCTTAAAGAAGTGGAGAAAAAGACAAACAAAAAATATTGGAAGAAATCAACAAATCTCTTTAAAAAAAACCAAGAAGGTTTGTCAGCAGTGGCACATACCTTTAATCCCAGCACTTGAGAGGCAGAGGCAGGTGTATCCCTTTGAGTACAAGGCCAGCCTGATCTATAGGGCAAGTTCCAGGACAGACTCCAGTGCTACACGGCGAAACCCTGTCTCAAAAACACAAAACAAAACAAAAACACACACAAGTAAAAGCAATCGAAGAGGTAAAAAAATCGTTCAAGACATGCAAACTAAAATAGAGGCAATAATAAAGAACTAACATATGTTATGATTCAAATGGACTTGACAGATATTTATACAAACACAAAAGAATATACCTTCTCAGCACCTCATTGCTGTGGGAACTTCTTCAGCCAATAGCCTTTAAGATACCAGCTCAGGTGGTCTCTTGTATTATAAATGCAGAAGGCCTCTCTCTCTCTCTCTCTCTCCTGCTGGATTTGGTTCCTGTTTTCCACTCATACACAGAAGACTGATCTGTAAATCTACCCCTAAATAACCTTTTATTCTACTCAATTCTGAGCTAGTGTAGAACTACTCTATCGTGCCCATCTACACCTAATGGAACCTTCTCAAAAACTGACCACATACTTGGTAACAAAGCAAACCTCGACAGACACAAAAAAATTGGAATAATTCCATGTATCTTATCAGATCACTACGGTTTAAAGTTAGAATTCAACAACAACACTAATTGCACAAAGCCCACAAACTCATGAATAGAACAATGCACAACTGCATCACCACTGGGTCAAGGAAGAAATAAATAAATTAAAGACTTCCTAAAATTCGATGAAAATGACTGCACAACATACCCAAACTTGTGGGGCACAATGAAAGCAGTGCAAAGAGGAAACTTTATAGCACTAAATGCTTACATAAAGAAGCTGGAGAAATCCCATACTAGCAAATTAACAGAACACCTGAAAACTCTAGAACAAAAAGTAGCATACTCACCCAGGAGCAGTATATGGCAGGAAATAATCAAATTGAGGGCCAAAAATCAATAAAATAAAAACAAAGAGAACAACAACAAAGGATCAATGAGACACAGAGTTGTTCTTCGAGAAAATCAACAAGATTGAAAAATGTTTATCCAAACTAACCAAAAGACAGAGAAAGAATATCCAAATTAACAAAATCAGAAGTGAAAAAGGGGACATAACAACAGACACTGAAGAAATCCAGAGAATCATCAGGTCATACTTCAAAAGCCTGTACTCCACAAAATTTTGGAAAATTTAAAGGAAATCCACAATTTTCTGGATGAGTATCACATACCAAAATTAAACCAAGACCAGATAAATAAATTAAATTAAATAGACCCTATAACCCATAAGGAAATAGAAACAGTCTTCAAAAGTCTCCCCCCCCCAAAAAAAAAAGCAGCCCAGGGCCAGATGGTTTCAGTGCAGAATTCTACCAGAATTTCAAAGAGCTAATACCAATATTTCTCAAATTGTTCCACACAATAGAAGCAGAAGGAACACTGCCAAACTCTTTGGCATCAGGCTACAGTTACCCTGATATCCAAACCACACAAAGACATAACTAAGAAAGAGAATTACAGACCAATCTCCCTCATGAACATTGTTGCAAAAATACTCAGTAAAATTCTAGCAAACTGAATCCAAGAACATTTCAAAAACATCATCTACCATGATCTGGTGTGGGAAGTTCTATATGTGTGTTGCTTTTATTGGTTAATGAATAAAGAAACTGTCTTGGCCTGTGATAGGGCAGAGTAGAGCTGGTGCAGGGGACTAAGCTGAATGCTGGGAGAAAGAGGGCAGAGTCAAGGAGATGCCATGTAGCCACCAGAGGGGAAAGATGTGAGCTGCCAGTTGGAACCTTGCTGGAAGGCCACAAGCCTCTTGGTAAAATATAAAATAATGGAAATGGGTTAATTCTAGATGTAAGAGATAGCTAGCAATATGCTTAAGATATTGGCCAAACAGTATTGCAAATAATATAGATTCTGAGTGATTATTTCAGGTTTGGGTTGCCGGGAATGAACAAGCAGCTTCCGTCAACAATGATCAATTAGGCTTCATCCCAGAGATTCAGGGATGGTTCAGCATGTGAAAGTCCATCAATTTAATCCACCTTATAAACAAACAGGAAGGAAAAAACCCCACATGATCATTTCATTAGATGCCAAAAAAGTCTTTGACAAAATCCAACACCCCTTCATGATAAAGGTCTTGGAGAGATCAGGGATACAAGGAACATTCCTAAACTTAATAAAGACAATATACAGCAAGCTAACAAGCCAACATCAAATCTAATGGGGAGAACTCCTACAACTGATAAACACCTTCAGTAATGGGGCGGGACATAAGATTAACTAAAAAAAAATCAGTAGCCCTCCTATATAGAGATGACAAATGGGCTGAGAAAGAAATCAGAAAATCATCACCCTTTACAATAACCACAAGAAACATAAAATATCTTGGGGTAACTCTAACCAAACAAGTGAAAGACCTGCATGATAAGAACTTTAAATTTTGAAGAAAGAAATTGAAGAAGACACAAGAAAATTGAAAGATCTCCCATGCTCTTGGGTAAGTATAATTCACATAATAAAAATGGCAATGTTGCCAAAAGCAATCCACAGATTTAATGCAATACCCATCAAAATCCTAGCACGCCAGGCGGTAGTGGCACACGCCTTTAATCCCAGCACTCAGGAGGCAGAGGCAGGCAGATCTCTGTGAGTTTGAGGCCAGCCTGGTCTACAAGAGCTAGTAGAAAAAAAGCTACGGAGAAACCCTGTCTCGAAAAATCAAAAAAAAAAAAAAAATCCTAGCACAATTCTTCATGGGCCTGGAAAGAACAATACTAAATTTCATCTGGAAAGAAAAACTGCAGAAGAGCCAAAACAACCCTATATAGTAAAGGAACATCTGGAGGCATAACCATCCCTGACTTCAAACTCTATTATAGAACTACAGTAATGAAAACAACTTGGTATATCAACAGACAGGTAGACCAATGGAATTGAATCGAAGACACTGATATTAACCCATACACTTATGAACACCCAATTTTTGACAAATAAGTTAAAAATATAAAATGGAAAAAAACATCTTTAACAAATGGTTCTTGTATAACTGGATGTTGACATGTAGCAGAATGCTATAAATAGACCCATATCTATCACCATGCACAAACTCAAGTCCAAATGGATCAAAGACCTCAACAATCCAATCACATTGAACCTCATAGAAGAGAAAGTGTGAAGTACTCTTGAATACATTGGCACAGGAGACCACTTCCTAAATATAACCCCAGCAGCACAGACACTGAGAGAAACAATTAATAAATGGGACCTCCTGAAACCGAGAAGCTTCTGTAAAGCAAAGGACATGGTCAGTAAGACAAAAGAGCAGACTACAGAATGGGAAAAGATCTTCACCAACCCTACATCTGACAGAGATGATCTCCAAAATATTAGAAGAACTCAAGAAACTAGACATCAAACTACCAAATAATCCAGTTAAAAAATGGGGTACAGATCTAAGCAGAGAATACTCAACAGAAGAATCTCAAATGGCCAAAAGACACTTCAGGAAATACTCAAAATCCTTAGCAATGAGAGAAATACAAATCAAAACCACTCTGAGATCCCATCTTATACCCATCAAAATGGCTAAGATCAAAAACACTAATGACAGCTGGAGATAATGTGGAGTAAGGAGAACACTCCTCCATTGCTGGTGGGAGTGAAAACATTTTTGTTTTTGTTTTTTTCTCTGTATAATAGTCCTGGCTGTCCTGGAACTCACTTTGTAGACCAAGCTGTCATCAAACTCTCTGAGATCCTCCTGCCTCTGTCACCCAACTACTGGGATTAAAGGTGTGCAATCCCTGTTGGGAGTGCAAACTTGTTCAGCTGCTGTGGAAATCAGTATGGCAATTTTTTAGAAAATTAAGAATCAGTTGACTTCAAGACCCAGCAATACCACTTTTGGTCATATACACAGAGGAGGCACACTTAAACCACAAGGACATTTGCTCATCTATATTCATAGCAGCATTATTCGTTATAGACAGAACCTGGAAACAATCTAGATGCCCCTCAACTGAAGAATGGATAAATGGTACATTTACACAATGGAGTATTATTCAATGGTTTAAAAAAATGAAATCTTTTAATTTGCAGGCAAATGATTGGAACTAGTAAAAAAACCATTCTGAGTGAGGTAACCCAGAGCCAGAAAGACAGATATAGTATGTACTCACTCACAAGTGATTATCAAACATAAAGCAAAGGATAACCAGCCTACAGTCCACAACCTCAGAGAAACTAGAACCGTCACCCAGAAACAGATGGAAGCCCATGCAGAGATCCACAACTAACCACTAAACTGACCTCCAGGAGTACAATTGAAGAGAGGGAGGAGCTATGATAATATGAACAAGACCATGAGAGGGAAACCCACAGAATCAGCTGACCCCCAGCTAGAGGGTTTCTCTGTGTAGCTTTGGTGCCTGTCCTGGAACTAGCTCTTGTGGACCAGGCTGGCCTGGAACTCAGAGAGATCTGCCTGCCTCTACCTCCCGAGTGCTGGGATTAAAGGCGTGTGCCACCACCGCCCGGCTTGGAGCTCATTTTCTATGGAATAATAACATGCTTAGCCTAGGCACAGGGGTGAGGGGTGGGGTGGGGGTGTTTGTCCTGCCTCAACCAGGTGATAGGACAGACTTAGTTCTTTTCCAAGGGGAGACCTTACCATCTCTGAAGAGCAGATGGGGTTGAAGTGGTGGGAAGGTAGGGGGGAGCAGGAGGAAAAGAGAGAGGGGGAACTGGGATTGATATGTAAATAAATTATANAAGCCTCAAATGGAGTGTGTACGTCATTTTTCTTTAGATAGATTGGAGATTCCTTTAAGACCTCGCTGCTTTGAAGGCATTCTGGCTGCAACCTGATGTAGTTCTGGGAGCTGTTCTGTAGCTCCTCATCAGTATATTTGAGAGACAGCAGCTTCTCTTGATATTTGTGTTGTTTGTTTTTCTCTTTTTTGGTACAGTTGTTGGAAAAGTCAGAGGCAGGCATGTTCCCCTGCAGACACCCCCCCCCCCCCCCCCCCCCCCGTTTCAAGTTGAAAGTTCATTGTAAACATTTAATGTTTTCACCCATTTGGTGCTCTGAATTACGATGCAAGGATTTTTAGAAATTATCTTCCTGATAAAACATGTGGGATCATTGTGACCTAAGAACATACTGGTCTGAAAAACTTCAAATATTTATTCAAATTCAGACTTTTGGAGAAAATTCTAGGAGCACAAGTCAACAGTCGGCAAAGGCATTCAGAGTTAATTTTAAGGTTATCATATTCACCGTTTTGTTACTGCCCAGGCCTAAAGATCCTTATGACTCCAAGGCTCTAAGAACACAGGTTTTGCATCTGAGAAAAAAAGTGAGAGTTGGGTGGGAGTCTTTGCCAAGCAGGCAGGAGAAGCTGTGTGCCCCAGCCAGGGCTTTGCACCACTAAGCACCACCACTTTACACCAGAGGGGTCACCAGCATCTTTCTTTTGTATTAGATCTGAACATCTCTGACATCTCTGGACTCACTCAGGTGCCCCCTCCAGATAGCCTTGGATCCCTGACTTTCCAGGCACCCTTCAATGAGGCCAGTGTTGAGACACTGGTCCAGTCCATCCAGGAGGTTTTACGTGGTGAGCTAAAGGTACGCATGGCAGTCTTGATGAGCAATCCAATGTATTCTTTATAATAAAAAAATTCTGAACATAACTCATTATTATATACATAAATACTTTATTGATTATAAAATGTATTTCCCTTTGTAATTTTTATTTACAAATTATTGAATTTATATATTATTTATATTTATAATAAATAAAATAAAGATTAAGGCTTGCTAAAAGTTAAAGGTTAATCTTCTCTAACCCCACTCCCTTGAGATAACCACTATTACCATATTCTGTCCCTCAAATGAATATAATTAGAGGTGTTCTAGGTGAGTAGCTTTAGATCTGCTCTGGCCAGTTTCCTGGGTATACAATGTTCCATTTTTGAGGAGAGCCAGTCATGCACCCTGTGAGAGTGTAAGAAAACTTACCTGGTGTGAGGGGAGGGAAGGCTCTGAGAATGTTTCCTTTGAGCTCAGAGCTGAAGGATAAAAGGAAAAAGGAAGAGTTAGAATTGGGGAAATGGAATTATGGTAGAAGTAGTCAAAAAGAACACAGCATGCTTGAGGAACTCAAGCCTCACACATTTAACCCATGGTGATAAATGGGGACAGTGGTACAGATAGGTAAATACCTCAGCAGGGGCAGACATTGCTTGACCTTGAAAACTAGAGTGAGACTACTAGGGTCTCTGCCTAGTCCTGGCTGTCCTGGAACTCACTGGATACTCACTGGATAGACTACAGGTCTGCTTGCTTCTGCTTCCCAAGAATTTTTGTCTTTAACTTAAAAACAAACTCTGTGTGTGTGTGTGTGTGTGTGTGTGTATTTGTTTTTTTCAAGATGGGTTTCTCTGTAAAACAGCCTTGGCTGTTCTGGAACTAGCTTTGTAGACAAGACTGGCCTCAAACTCACAGATATCTGACTACGTCAGTGTTGTAGGAGGCTACTAGTTAGTTTCCGTCTGCTCAGTCCCAAAATAATCACACAGAAACCACATTATTTGCAATACTGTTTGGCCAATAGCTAAGCATATTTCTGGCTAACTGTTAAATCCTAAACTAGCCCATCTCCATTAATCTGTGTATCACTACGTGGCTGTGGCTTACTAGGTAAAGTTCTGGCATCTGTCTCCAGCGGGGCTACATGGCTTCTCCCTGACTCTGCCTTCTTTCTCCCAGCATTCAGTTTAGTTTTCCCTGCCTACCTCTATTCTGCACTTCCAGGCCCAAGACAGATTCTTTATTAACCAATAAAAATTTACAGCATAAAGAGGGGAATCCCACATCACCTAAGTCTCCCGAGTGCTGGGATTAAAGGTGTGCACCATCATGCCTGGCTTGTAAGTGCTTTCGTTAGATTCTGCTAAATTGTTTACCCAGCATATAAAGCTGTGGTTCTCACCCTGTGGGTCACGACCCCTCTGAAGATTAAATGTTAAATATTCTGCATATCAGATATTTACATTACAATTCACTACAAATATAAAGTTAACAATAGAATAATCTTATGGTTGGGGGTCATCACAATATGAACTACATTAAAGGGTCACAGCATTAGGAAAGTTGAGAACCACTAATATAAGGCCTATTTGTAGGCTAGAGAGACAGCTCAGCTGTTAAAGGCTAGGTTCACAACCAAAAAGTAAAGTACATTTATATGGGCACAGACGAGTATCAGATGCTAGTTACTTACAACTGTCCAAAATCAGTATAATTTGGTTTGCTTTTAATTTTTACCAGTCAAATTGACAATAAAGTTTACCCACTTGTTTTACCTATGCGTCTTTGTGTGTGGGTGTGTGTACTGGGATGCATGTTGGGTGCACATGCATGTAGAGGCCAGAGGCTTTTGTTCAGGAGTTTTTACTGGGATAGGGTCTCTCCCTGGGATCGGAGGCTCTCTGATTAGGCTAGTCTGGCAGACCACACACTCCTAGCTTTTTATGTGGATGCTGGGGCAGACACTTTACTTTCTCCATTACCACTGAACTTAATATCTCCCATCCTAATGTGGAGTAATTTGCTTGGCCTAGTGTGTGGAATATTCTCTACACCCTACTTAGTGTGAACTCTAAGTTTGTGTTTGCACCAATTAAATAAAATCATCCCTGGGCCAAGAGACCGAGTTAGCAACTAGTTGACAGAAAGTAATTGTAGAGAGTCATAGGGTGACTGTAAGATGATAGAGAGATGCACAGAAAGCAGTAGGGAAGGACTTAGTATAGCATTCTATGTATAATGCTAATGCAATAACAACAAAGCACCAGAAGTCAGCTGGTTGGTCTTCACTTTTGATGTGAAAATTTTTATTTTCAAAATTTGGAGCTATTCTTTGTGTTTACTATCACAAGGTTTTGTAAAAAAAATTTCTTTGTTTAATAAAGAGTTTGGATTGCTTCAGTGAATTAAAACAAAAGAAAGCCCATTTCAGTAATTGTATGAGATTACCTCAGATGCTGTGACAGCTGTGTCTGCACCTAGGAAGGGCTGACAACTCTGCTTCATGACTAAAAGGACAGTCCAACTCTTAAAATACATGCAGTTCTAGCAAGAAATGTAGAGAAGGCAGGAGGCATACAACCCCAGAAGCAAGAAAACACATCAAGGAAGTTAATTGACCATAGCTGTGACTGCCTCAGGTCAAGGCAAGACATGATTTGATGAGGTCAACTAGATCAGATTGGGAAGGGCCTTGATCTCCTTGGGTGCTATTGAACAACTGTAGATTAGGAGTTACCTGATCAATTAACATTTGAGAAAATAAATGTACAGGGTCAAAAAAGAAAAAAACAAAAAAAAAAAAATGAGAGCAAGAAATCCAGGATGGAGCACTGTTGTAATTCCAGCACTCAGGGCAGGTGGATGTCATAAAATGACTCCTTGCTCTCTAGGGAATTGTGTGAATTTATACCATCTGTTCCTAGGGGAAAGACTGGAAGAAATGTTCATCTGTACTTTCCTCTTTGTGCTTTATTTCAGAATTTCTACAATAAGTAGTTATTACTTCTCTGATCAGAAAAACAAAATGTCAATATGAAAAGATATTATCCAAATCAGAACTTGCATTTTTAAAGGAAGCCTTAAGAACTTGAAATGGTGTAGACAGAAGTTTCTGTCCCATCTGGTTCCATAGTCATTCAGTCCCAAAAAACACACACAGAGACTTTTGTTAGTTATAAACTGTTTGGCCTATTAGTGCAGGCTTATTATTAACTAGCTCTTATAACTTAAATTAACCTCAAATTCTTGTCTGTGTTTAGCCACATGGCTTGGTACCATTTCTCAGTGCAGCATTCTCATCTCGCTTTCTCTGTATCTGGGTGGTGATTGCATCTAGCCTTTTCCCAGAATTCTCTTAGTCTGGTTGCCCTGCTTATGCTTCCTGCCTGGCTACTGGCCAATCTGCATTTTATTAAACCAATACAAGTGACAAATCTTTACAGTATACAAAAGCATTATCCCACAGCAAAATGGTGACTCTTTAATGGCATTAGAAGAACTGGAGGTATCAGATTCAGGGTCATTTTTAGGAATCTTAATCTGGTAACATGATAGAGGGTAGGTGGACAGTGTGGTAAAGCCTGAAGGTGGGGAGAGCCTAGAGCACTTAGTGCTGCAACAGAGGGTGTGCTGTGGTCCCCAGCAAATTTTGTGGATAAAGAAGTGCATTGGATCCTCCTGTACTTTGTGCATTCCTTATAGTTAAGAGACTGATCCTGGATTGAATAAAATGCTTAAAAACATCCAAAAAACTTTGTAAAAACATTGTACATTTATCAAATAAGATAATGTATAATTGTATTTTTTATCATTTCCCCACAAATTCAGGGTGAACCTGAAAAGTTGAAGTTTCTAAGATCTTTGTCTGCTCTGAGCCAAACTTTAAATTATGATGAAACTACAGAATCTTTTGTTCACCGCCACGTGGCAGAAATAGTGCATCTCCTAAGTGTAAGTACTGTGGGTTTGGCAGAGATTCCTGTGGTAATTCAGATTCATCTAAATCTGCTTTTATTGTGTATTTGTAAGCATTTCTGACCAGGAGTGCTTTTTTTTTTTAAATGCTAAGCGGGCATGGCTATAACCAATTCTGTAGCCCTACCCATTTGTTTCACCCTGTCCAACATGGCGGAGGTAAGTTCACCACCTCTGCGAGCCATGCACACCATCCCAGTTCCAGGGACACAGCAGGTCTATGTTTGCCATTAAGCAATTTGTAACAGGCTGCTCACAGACCCCATTTAAATGCAGGAACTCCCAAAAGAGCCAGAGTTTGTTCTGCTAGCATGAACTAGGAGGCTGGATCTTAAAGAAACCATGCAATGTTTTGCTGCTAACACTTAGTCAGGAAGACTTCTCTTAAAGGACCCATGCCTCTGCTTCCAGCTAGCAAGCAGAGTCTATCTGAAAAAAAAAAAAGTGGTTACCAAGAAGCTGTACTTAACTGTTTTTTTCATGTCTAGAATTTATTCCTAAGCTCTCTCAGTTTTTATGTGAATGTAGTTGCCCCATGTTGGTGTGCTATTTGTAAACAGTGGCTGCTCATTCATTTCCTGGTTGCCCATATCTGAATAATAATACAGAAATTATATTAATTAGAATACTGTTTGGCCAATAGCTCAGGCATATTTCTAGCTAACTCTTACATCTTAAATTAACCCATTTCTATTAATCTGTGTAGTGTCACAAGGTTATGGCCTACCAGTTAGGTTCTGACTGGTGAATGGTGTCTTTCTCTTTTGGCAGTTACATGGCATCTCCTCAACTCTGCCTACTTTCTCTCTGTATCTCTGTTCGGATTTCCTACTAAGCCATGGACTGAAACAGCTTCTTTAATAACCAATGTTAATAAAAACATATTCAAAGCATACAGAGGGAATCCCACATCACAAATCCATTCTCTGCAAGCAGATATACTAACTGGCCCATATCTGGTGTCTATCAAAATAGGGGCTAAGAAGGGGCTTTGTCTACAAAAGTTTAAGATAGCTAGTATCTATGAGAAAATTACATGGGTAGTTGAATTTCCTTAGTTACAGCAGCCGTGTGTACAAAGGTTAAAAGAGCATTCTTCCAACACCAAGAGGACAGGTGCACAGCAGAAGAAGCAGTTCTGTGACAACTTATGAGGAGGAAAAGGCTGGAGTTGTTGCAGAGAAAGAACTTGAGGGCATTGATAACTTTTCTTGACCCACATTAATGCATGGCTGTATAACTCAGGGTTTCAATTGGTGTCAGAGAACACTATGACAAAACGCAACTTGGGGAGGAAAGGGCTTATTTCATTTATACCTCCAGATAACTGTCCATCACTGAGGAAAGTCATGCCAAGATCATGGGGGAGTGCTGCTTATGGCTTGTTCTTTGTGGTTTGCTCGGCCTGCTTTGATAGGACAACCAGCCGAGGAATGACACCACCCATAGGAAATTAGGCCCTCCCACATCAATTATTAATCAAGAAAATATCACACAGACTATCCCATGGGCCAATCTAGTGAGGGAATTTTTCTCAGCTGAGGTTCTCTCTTTCAAAATAACTACTTTGTGACATATTGACATAAAATTAGCATGCCGAATACAACAGCTAAAGGCATTAATTCACCTTTCTTGATGCACACTAATGCATGGGTCTTGCATTAAGCAAAAAGTCAATGAAACCAAAGCAAAATGTGTGAAGGAAGGCAAACAAATCTCTATGACAGTTTTACAAAGAAGGTTTCTATATAAGCCGTGAAGGGTGTTCCATCACTGTGTTTAGAGAAAAATAAGTTGAAAATACAGTAAGAGTCAACTGAATACCAATAAACTGGCTAGAATAAAAGAAGACAATACCAGGTACTGGTGAAGGTACAGAGGAACCAAAGTCTTAGCCCACTGTTGGTAAGAAGGTAAAATGGTAAACCAATGTGGAGAACAGTTGGGTAGTTTCCTAAAAATGGCAAATATACCTACCACATAATCAGTACTTCTGTGAAGATGTGCACACAAATGTTATGAACATTCTTTAATGTAGGTTTAGTCTTCTACCTACACCACTGGTCAGCTGTGTTCCACCAGTAGCTCCCCCAAATAACCACACAGAGACTTATTAATTATAAATGCTTGTTTTTAACTAGCTCTTACAACTTACCCATTTCTAATACTCTATGTGCTGCCCCAAGACTCGAGTACTTTATGTATGTATTTTCCAGCCTGCTGGTTCTGCTACATCTCATGGTGTCTTCTCTGACTCCGTCCTTTTCCCCCGTATTCTCCCTGCCCCAACAGTTCTTTCTAGTCATTGCTAATCAGCTTTTATTAACAATGGGAGCAACACATCTTCATAGTGTACAGAAGGACTATCCACAGCACTTCATGGAAGAACAAAACCCCAGAAATGACCCAGATAAGTGGGTAAATGAAAAGTTGTCTAAATAATGGCTTACTCAGGAGCGTGAGGGGATGTATACTTTGCCGACTCTCATACATGCACACAAATTAATCAAAGAGACGTGTTGTATAAACCAAAAAAAAAAAAAAAAAAAAAGCTGGGCGGTGGTGGCACACGCCTTTAGTCTCAACACCTGGGAGACAGAGACAACAGGTGAATCTCTGTGAGTTTGAGGCTACCCTGGTTTGCAAAGCGAGTTCTCTGTAGTTTCAAAGCTACAGAGGAACTGTGTCTTGCAAAGCCAAAATAAGTAAGTAAGTAAGTAAATAAATAAATAAATGGAAGACCTGCCGTAACTGAATTCTAGTGCTCCAGGTGCCTCTTCATTCTCTTTGGCTACCTCCAAAGGTCTCCATCCTTCTGTATCCAGGTCCTTTACAACCCTGTCTACTTGCCAAATCAGTAAGTCCCTTAGATGCCTAAATCTCTGCCTGACTTTAAGATCTTTGAGATGAACTCATTTTTAAAACTTTTCTTTTTTAAATGATACTATTTCATTTTTTTTTTGCAATATTTCCATGATAAGTATAATCTGAGGATCAACTGGCAAAGACTCAATTCCAGCATAACTTTGTTCGTTTGTTCCTATGTTGACCAGGCTGATCTGGAACTCACAGAGACCCAACTGCCTTGGTTTCCCACCACATCTGGCAGATTCAAGGCACTTATTTCTTCAAATCTGTTCCTCCCTTCCTCATGTCTCTACCCAGAGAATGTCTTCCTTTGTTACCACAGTACTATTTCCTGTTTAGTTTCTCACCAGAGCTCAACAAATCTTTTGACCCCATCATGCAGACCCAGGGGTGATTCCTTTTATCCCCCTCATTTTAAAAATAGTTTTTGAGCACGCTTATTTTGATCATTACCTCCCCCAAACTGTTATTTTTATTAAGACTGGTTAATATTTTTTCTGGAGGTGAGCAACAAAATTAACTCTGGCTCACTGAAGTTCATAAAAACAACAGAAACAAAACAAAACAAAAGGATGTTGAGGGTCTGGAGAGATGACTCAATGGTTAAGAGCACTTGCTGTCTTCCAGAAGACCAGAGTTCAGTTCTCAGTACCTACCTCAGGCAGCTCACAACCACCTGTAACTCCAGTTCCAGGGGCTCCGATGCCCTCCTCTGGCCTCTTCTGGTACTGCATGTATATGGTCTAGAGACACATGTAGGCAAAATACTCAGACACATGAAATAAAAAAATAAACAACAAAAAGATGCTGAGGTAGAGTCTAAGGAGGGCTTAACAATTTCCAGAGGATCAAGTTCTCATGTGGCTCCGAGGTTTCAATAATATACATAATCCAGACTCTCTGTGTATTTCCCATCTTTTTGTGGCTTATTTTTCTTTCCTCCTTTAATCTATGACTATCTGTACTCTTTTTTTTTTAAAGATTTATTTTATTAATTATGTATACAGCGTTCTGCCTGCAGGTACACCTGCAGGCCAGAAGAGGGCACCAGGTATCATTACAGATGGTTGTGAGCCACCATGTGGTTGCTGGGAATTGAACTCAGGACCTCTGGAAGAGCAGTCAGTGCTCTTAACCTCTGAGCCATCTCTCCAGCCCCTATCTGTACTCTTTTATTTTGCTTTTACTGTCACTTTAAAGACTTCGTTTATTTTTAAAACTATTTCTTTTTATAACTGTCTATACTCTTTCTTCTCTCTCCCAAACCTATATACATTTATCCAATAGTATTACCAATTCAGAGGTCTTTTTCATCTGAATCTTTTTTATTATGCATCTGTAATCGTTTTCTGACCGGGAGCACTTAAAAAAAAAAAGCTAAGTGGGTGTGGCTAGGACCAACTCCGCAGCCCTGCCTGATTGTTCCACCCCATCCAACATGGTGGAAGTACATTTGCCGCCAGCTCTGGGACTGCTGGGTGGGAACCATACTCTCCTCCTCAACTTTGGAAAGCACCGTGCAGCACATAAACCTTTTTAGTCCGAATAAAAGCTAAATCTGCCATGCAACATGCTGCACAGCCTGGAAATATCTCCATGTATTGTGGTAGGAATCCACCATGCGTTCCTGCCTGTGCATGCCTAGCAGACCCAATCCAGCCCCCTTCCCAGGCTGGGGTGCTGAGCAGCAGACATGCTCTCAGTTAGCTTCCTTCTAATACAATCACCCAGACTTGAAATGGGTTTAGCCCCACATTGGGCTCTATTCTGTAGGAGACTGCTTAGTTGTTGGAGGAAGTCACTTGTTTGTTTTGGCCGCTTTGCAGCTCAGACCCAAAATAACCACACAGAAAATATTAATTAAATCACTGCTTAACCTATTAGCTCTAGATTCTTATTGGCTAACTCTTACATATTAATTTAACCCATTTCCAGTATTTTATATTTCACCATGAGGCTTGTGGTCTACTGGCAAGGTTTCAGCATGTCTGTCTCTGGCAGTGGCTCCATGGCTTCTTTAAGAGAGAAGCTGTGTAGTCCCACCAGAGACAAATGTTGGGAACTTTACCTGGTAAGCCACTGCCTCGTGGCAATACACAGATTAATGGAGATGGGTTAATTTAAGATATGAGTTAGCTAGAAATACGCTTAAGCTATTGGCCAAACAGTGTTGCAAATAAGATGGTTTCTGATTGTTTCGTGCCTGAGCTGCGGACGGTAGGGAAATGAACTAGCAGCCTTCTTACAACGCTTGTTCAGATTATGTTTCCTGAATAATCACACAGAAGCTATATTAATTACAACACTGTTTGGTCAGTGACTCAGGCATATTTCTAGCTAGCTCTTACATTTTCATTTAACCCATTTCTATTAATCTGTGTTTCACCCAAGGTTGTGGCTTACTGGGCAAGGTTCTGGCATCTGTCTCCTTTGGCAGCTACATGGCATCTCTTTGACTCTGTCTACTCTCTCTATATATCTCTTCCAGCCTGGCTATAATCTGCTCTGCTTTAGGCCAAAGCAGCTTTATTCATTAACAAATAAAAGTAACACATATACAGAAGGACATCCCACATAAAATGTGTAAGTTGATGACTTTCCAGAAAAAAAAAATGTCCAAGAGGTCCCAATTCCAGGTTCTTGAAGGAATATAATTGACCTTGATGTTTCTCCTGAATAATTGACCTGCCGCCTGTGGGACCAAACGACACAGCAGAAATGTGGCCCTGAAATGCTTGTTCCTATAGGCCAGGGCAGTTCCTATGAAATGGTGAACAATCCCGTGAGGTTTCTCCACATTCACAGTCGGGTTGTGCCCACAGTATTTCCTTGGGCGAGCTTCCTAGAGCCACTCCAGATCCTCTATAGCCAAGGGAACAAAGCATGGGGAAACTGAATACCAGACCAGGGGCCTCTGGATGGCTGATGGCAGAGCTGGGGGCCCTCTGACCCCGCTGCTCTCCTGTGTCTGTAAGACCACATAGGAGGTCTCTCTAAAAGTCAGCCTGCTTTGTGTTTCCAGGCTGGGGTGGTAGTGGGGTAGAAAGGCGGTGGAGAAAGGTATTGAGAAGCTTCCTGTTGCAGGTACACAGTTGATGCTGGGGCAACCAGTGAGTACTTGGTTAAGAAATATTAGGTAAAGGATAGATAAGCATGTTTCCTGGAGGCCATAAATGGGGGTCCACAGGGCTGGAAAGACAAGAATCTGGAGACACAAGTTACTGTGGGTACGGGAATTGTCACAGATGAACAGAATAGAAGGGCTTTATAAGCGGACATGGTTCTGGAGGAGTCTCCTGCCCATCGCCTTGCAGGGCTTCCAGCACAGCTCTCCTGCCAATTTGTAAGCTGGAAAGTTGTTCCTTCTTCAGGACAAACCGTCAGGGCATTAGCTCTGTTTCTAGTTTCCTTTCTGTGATTGTAATAAAGAACTTCATCTCAAGCAACTTGGGGAGGAAGGGGTCCTAGGTTACAGTCCATGATGGAGGGGAGTGTGGGCAGGAACTCAAGCTGTCAGACATATCACATCCTCAGTCAAGAAAAGAGAGTGAACTGGGTGGTGGTGGTGCACATTTTAATCCCAGCAGAGGCAGAAGCAGGCAGATCTCTATGGGTTAGAGGCCAGCCTGGTCTACAAGAGCAAGTTCCAGGACAGCCAGGGTTACTAGAGAAACCCTGTCTTGAAAAACTAAAAAACAGAAAACGGAAGGAAGGAAGGACAGACAGAAAATGGGTGGATGCACCATGCTGCCTGCTTGTCTGCTTTTCACCAACCCTCTTCACTCTTACATAGCCCAGGACTCACAGCTTGAGGCCTGATACTGCCCCACAGGGTTAATTAACAGTCCAGAGGATCCCTCACAGACACACCCGAAAGCCATGCTGATCGAAGCAATCCCTCTGTGGAGATTCCTTCTCAGATGTTCTAGGCTGTGCCAAGTTGACAGGTAAAACCAGCCAGCATGACCCTGACCCTGGAGATCCTGGTTTAGTGGAGGAGCTAGAATACCTAAACTAGAAATGATCACTGGTAATAACGGCAATGAACAACTGACACAATTATCAGGGCTCTCACTTAACAACCCGTGACATAAGTACCATTCTATAAGTGAGGAAACTGAGGCACAGGGAGGCTCACTAACATGAGTCAGCGCAAACATGTAGTAAGAGGCCAAGGGACAGTTGGAGCCTGGTTCCTGAGAAGAAATTAGCTCTTCCACTGTCCTTCTGCTGTCCTGGAGTCCTCCTGTCCAGCCTCCTGTTATTTGGACATGCCATTCACATCTCTGGTGACTGGCCTTGTGAGCTGCTATGTTCTCAGATGGATGAAGCACTTTCCTTCTCTCTGCAGGTGCTGCTCCAAAAGGAGCCTCTGGACTGTCTATCCAGCATGGTGCGCCAGGAGCTCTTTGTCACCATCACTGACTTCAGGTGATGCCCACATGCACCTCAGACGTGCATCCTAGTTTCTCAGTCAGGGGCATACACTGTTAGAGCTTATTAAAGTGTTCCATATTTAGGGCTAGCAAGATGGCTCAGAGAGTACAGGTACTTGCCACCAAGGATCATGACCTGATGTTGGTCCTTGGAACCCACATAGTAGCAGGAGAAAGCCGGCTCCCACAGATTTTTCTCTGACTTCCACACAGGAGCTGTAGCAATTGCTTATCTCTGACTGCTCCAGCACTAAATAAATACCCGAAATTTTTTAAATGCCCCATATATCTAACTTTTGAAAACTATTTATATGGTATCTTAAGGTTTTTTTTTTTTTTTTTTTTTGGTTTTTCGAGACAGTTTTTTTATTGCTGTGAAGAGACACCATGATCACTGCAACTCTTCTTCAGGAAAACATTCAACTGTGATGGCTCACTTACAGTTCAGAGGTCCAGTCCGTTATTGTCATGGCAGAGAGCAAGGCAGCAGGCAGACATGGTGCTGGAGAAGGAGCTGAGAGCTCTTACATGTTGACTCACAGGCAACAGGAAGGGAACTGAGACACTGGGTATCTTGAGCATAGGAGGCCTCAAAGCCCACCCCCACAGTGACACAATTCCTCCAACAAGGCTTCACCTCCTAAAAGTGCCACTCCCTGTGAGCTTATGGGGGCCAGTTATATTCAAATTATCACAATACAGGAAATCTAACTCCATATTCTTTTGTGAAAACTTTAATATCATGTGTGATGGATAATCCTGATTGTTGTGGTGGTTTGAAGGAAAATGGCCCCCAAAGGGAGTGGCAGTATTAGGAGGTGTAGCCTTGTTGGAGGAACTGTGTCACTGTGAGGGTGGGCTCTGAGGCCTCTTTTATTCAAGCTTCCCTCAGTGTGACTTTCAGCTGGCGTCCTGTTGCCCACAGGTGTGGCCCTCTCAGCTCCTGTCTGCTGTATGTCACCCTGCTCCTGTCTGCTGATAATGGACTGAACCTCTGAAGCTGTGGAGGAGCCACCCCAATTAAATATTTTCTTTATAAGAGGTGCCATGGTGTCTCTTCACAGCAATAAAAATCTTGACTTGACAAGCAGTTGTCAGCTTGACATACGTGGGAAGAAGGAACCCTGTAACCCTATCTATGAGGTGTTTTCTTAATTGGTAATTGATATAGGCAGGCCCAGCTCATTGTGAGAGGTGCCATTTTTGGGTAGGTGAGAGAAGTAGCAGACTGTGCTGGTTGCAAGCCAGTACACAGCATTTCTCCCTGATCTCTGCCTCAGTTTCTGACTCCAGGTTCTGCTTGGATCCCTGTCTTAGCCTCCCTAGATAATGGGCTGTAACCTGTGAGATGAAACAATTTTTTTCTTCCCCAAGTTGCTTTTGGTCAGTGTTTTATCACAATTGAAAACAAACTAGAACGTCATGGATGCTGCCACCCACATCTCAGAGACCTTGGGAGTTTAGCTCCGTCCAAAGTATCTTCAATGGAAAGTGATTCTTATATATGCTTTATGTAAGGTCTGAGGTCCTGATGTTTGCATCTCTTGGAGACTTGTACCTTGGCAGCTATGCTAGTTAACATTTCTGAGACAGCCTGTAGTTAAAGCCTTAACTCTCTCATTTTACATTCAGCAGAGCACACATGGGGAAATTGTGAGTTGCTGCCTCAGAGTGCTGTAGGGTTCCCTTTATGGCTAAGCTGGAGAAGAGCCTGGAAGGATTGTGCACCAGGGACCGGGGTAGGACTGGGTGATACACTCTTCCTCCAAGCTTTTGTGAGATCCATCAGAATGTTACACCAGCCAGTTTGCCTTTCCTCTTGATTACTTTTAGAGCCGAGGTATCAGTTTAACATCAGATTCTTCCCAAACTGTCTCCCTAGTTACCAAGATATGTACCTGTTGTTTGGCTCTGAAGACCGAGAAGACTTGCTTGGTCTTACCATCAAAAGTATATTCTCTCTGCCTGCCATAGGCACCCTTACCCAGCTGCCGCACACGGTGTCAAGCCAGACTAGTCACCCAGAGGTAACTCACTTTTTGCCTTAAGATGCCCTCTCTTCCCCAGGTCAGCTGCTCGTTGCCTTTTGAGAGCAATCGATGGTTTGAAAACAATTACAAATCAGTGCTGCCGAGCCTGGTGGACAGAGTCGGATAGCTAGCCTCCTCTCCCTTCTGTCTACACATGTGCCCCTTCGTTTCCCTTCGCTCCTCCTTTCTTTCTCTTGGATTTAAAATAAAGCAGAAGGACCTGAGCCGGAGTGGGCCTGAAGAAGCAAGCTCCATGGGAGCGGGAGCAGGAGCGGATCCCCTTCAGGGACATTGGCAGACTGGAACTGAGCCAGCCACCTGGGCCAGAGCAGACCTGAGACAGGGAACTCCACAAGAACAGGTACAGGAGAGCAACTGCTGAGCGAGTGAGTCAGAGCCAGACACACCTGGAGGGTAGGGATGTGAATCTGGGACCTTCAAGGGAGTAGACCTAAGCCAGGACCCCTGTGGGTCTGGGCCTGAGCCTAGGACTTCTGAGGAACTAGGCCTGAGCCAGGTCCCCTGGGGGCCTGGGCATGAATCTGAAACCACTGAGGGAGTAGGCAGGAACCAGATATCTCTGATGGTCCAGATATGAGTCTGGGACCTCAGAGGGAGTAGGCTTGAGCCAGGACCTCTGTGGGTCTTGGCGTTTGTCTGGTACATCAAACGCAATAGGCAGAAATCAGAAACCTCTCTGGGTCTGAGCCTGAATCTGGGACATCGGAGGGAGTAAGCCTGAGCCAGATCCTCTGTGGGCCTGGGCACACTCAAGCCTGGGAACTCTGAGGGAGTAGACCGGAGCCTTTACAGGACCAACTCCAAGCCAGGGACCTCTGCAGGAGCAGATCCAGACTAGGATTTACAGAAACAGGGCAAAACTGACAACCTAGGCTAGAACAGGCCTGAGACAGCAAACTCCAAGGGAGTGGAGTAAATCCCGGGAGCACTAAGCAACCTCCAGAAACATGGAGTGACCAAAGGGGTAACTAGAACTGTGGCACAGACTGTACCACGAGGAACAACAATCTGAGCCTTGGATTCACTGACACTTAGAAGATTAATCAACAGAATCACCGACAGCCCCAAATACACCTATTAGAGGAAAAGATGAGTAGAAAGGGTAAGAACACACACAATACCACAAAGAGCAACACAACACCAGTAAAACCTAAGGAAGCTACAATAGCAAGACTTGAACAATCAAGCCGGGCAGTGGTGGTGCACGCCTTTAATCCCAGCACTCGGGAGGCAGAGGCAGGCGGATCTCTGTGAGTTCGAGGCCAGCCTGGTCTACAAGGGCTAGTTCCGGGACAGGCACCAAAGCTACAGAGAAACCCTGTCTCGAAAAACCAAAAAAAAAAAAAAGGCTTGAACAACCAATTATAGATGAAGCAAAAGAAAATGACCTAAAAAAAATATGAGAAATTCCCTCAAAGAAATGGAGGAAAAGACAAACAAAAAATTGGAAGACAACAGCAAATCCCTTAAAGAAAACCAAGAAAAAGAAGTCAAACATATGAAAGAAACTATTCAAGTCTTGAAAACTGAAATAGAGACAATAAAGAAAACACAAGCCGAGGGAAATTATAAAAACAAAAATCATGAGAAAATGATCAGGAACCACAAATGCAAGCATGAACAGCAGAATACAAGAGATGGAAGAGAGAATCTCAAGCACTGAAGATACAATAGAGGAAATAGACTCGTCAGTCAAATAAAACATTAAATCTAACAGAAGCTTAATACAAAATGTGAGTCACCATGAAAAGGCCAAACCTAAGAATAATAGGTATAGAGGAAGGAGAAGTTCAATTCAAAAGCACAGAAAATATATTTAACAAAATCATAGAAGAAAAGTTTCCCAATCTAAAAAAAAATATGCCTATGAAGATAAAAGAAGCTTACAGAACACCAAATAGACTGGATCAAAAAAAAAAAAAGTCCCCTCGCCACATAATAATCAAAACACTAAACATACAGAGTAAAGAAAGAATATTAAGAGCTGCAAAGGAAAAAGGCCAAGCAACATATAAAGGCAGACCTATCAGAATTACACCTGACTTTTTATTGGAGACAATGAAAGTCAGAAGGTCATGGTCAAGTATTATGCAGATATTAAGAGAACATGGATGCTAGCCCAGACTACTATATCCAGCAAAACTTTCAATCACCATAGAAGGACAAAAGATATTCCATGACAAAACCAGATTTAACCAATATCTAGCCATAAACCCAGCCCTACACAAAATACTAGAAGGAAAACTTCAACCAAGGGAAGTTGGCTACATCAACAAAAACACAGACAATTAAAAAAAAACCCCAAACAAACAAACAAAAAAACACAGACAATTGATGATCTCATAGCAGTGAATCCCAAAGAAGGAAAAAAATCACCAACAATAAAAACTAAATTAACAGGAGATAGCAACCACTGGTCATTAATATCCCTTAATGTAAATGGACTCAACTCACCCATAAAAAGGCACAGGCTAACAGATTGGATACGAAAACAGAATCCATCCTTCTTCTGCACACAAGAAATGCATCTCAACCTCAAAGACATAGTCTCAGAGTAAAGGGTTGGGAAAAAATATACCAATCAAATGGACCTAAGAAACAAGAGGGTGTAGCTATCCTAATATCTAACAAAACAGACTTCAAGCTAAAATCAGTCAAAAGAGAGAAAGAAGGTCATTTCATATTAGTCACAGGAAAAATCCATCAAGAGGAAATCTCAATACTGAACATCTATGCCCCAAATACAAGGGCACCCTCATATGTAAAAGAAACACTTCTAAAGCTTAAATCATACATTAAACACCACATATTAATAGTGGGAGACTTCAACACGCCACTCTCACCACTGGATAGGTCAGTTAGACAAAAAATGAACAGAGAAATAAGGGAACTAACAGATGTTATGACTCAAATGGAATTAACAGACATTATAGAATATTCCCATCCAAACAAAAAAGGATATACTTTCTCAGTACCTCATGGAACCTTCTCAAAAATTGACCACATACTTGGTAACAAAACAAACTAAAACAAATACAAAAAAAAATTGGAATTACCCCATGTTCTTATCAGATCACCATGGTTTAAAACTAGAAGTCAAAAGCAATACTAATTTCAGAAAGTCCACAAACATATGGAAATTAAACAATGCTCACCTGAATCATCCATGGATCAAGGAAGAAATAAAGAGAAAAATTAGAAACTTACTAAAGATCAATGAATATGGCCACACAGCATACCCAAATTTATGAGACACAATGAAGGCAGTGTTAAGAGGAAAGTTCATAGCACTAAATGCCTACATAAAGAAGCTGGAAAAATCCCACACTAGTGAATTAACTGAACATTTGAAAACTTTAGAACAAAAGGAAGCAAAATCACCAAAGAGAACTAGATGGCAGGAAATAATCAAATTGAGAGCTGAAATCAACAAATTAGAAACAAAAAAAAATACAAAGAATCAGTGAGACAAAGAGTTGGTTCTTCGAGAAAATCAACAAAATAGACAAACCTTTATCCAAACTAGCCAAAAGGCAGAGGGAGAATATCCAAATTAACAAAATCAGAAACGAAAAGGGGGACATAAAAACAGACATGGAGGAAATCCAGAGAATCATCAGGTCATATTTTGAAAACCTGTACTCCACAAAATTGGAAAACTTAAAGGAAATGGACAACTTTCTGGATAAATATCACTTACAAAATTAAATCAAGACTAGATAAGTAAATTAACAGAACTATAACTGCTGAAGAAATAAAAACAATCATCAAAAGTCTCCCAACCAAAAAAAGCCCAGGACCAGATGGTTTCAGCTCAGAATTCTACAAGATTTTCAAAGAACTAGTACCAATACTCCTCAAATTATTCCACACAATAGAAACAGGAGGAACATTACCAAACTCATTTTATGAGGCTACAATTACCCTGATACCCATTTCACATAAAGACATTACTCTCAACAGAGGAATCTAAAAATGCCTGAAAGACACTTAAGGAAATGTTCAACATCCTTAGTCACCAGAGAAATGCAAATCAAAACAACTCTGAGATTTAATCTTACACCTGTCAGAATGGCCAAGTTCAAAAACACTGATGACAACTTATGCTGAAGAGGTTGTGGGGAAAAGGGAACACTTCTGCACTGCTGGTGGGAATGCAAGCTGGTACAGTCCCTTTGTATGTCAGTGTGGTGATTTCTCAGAAAATTAGGAAACTACTTTCCTCAAGACCCAGTAATACCTCTTTGGGGGTATATATCCAAAGGATGCTCAATTGTGCCACAAGGACATGTGCTCAATTATGTTCATAGCAGCTTTGTTTGTCATAGCCAGAACCTGCCCCTCGACCGAAGCAATGCTGAAAAAGCCTTTATCAGTCATGGTTGCCACCCTAACCCTAAGCCTAAGCCTAAGCCTAACCCTAGTGCCTCATGTATTTGAAAAGAGATTTTTAGGAGACAGGAAGTTGTAGCAGAAGGAGAATGGATTTGTAATGTGTGAAACAGGCGGGAGAATTCAGCATGGTACGGGGTGGGGGTGGGGGAGCAGGCAGAAGCAGAGAATGGGGAAAAGGCAGAAATGCAGAACCCAAAAATCATAGGTAATTTGGATACATTTTGCAGCGATTGGATATCAATTGGATTTAAACCCAAATTGGATTTCCAAGCCTGTGCTGGAGACTGAAGACCATGACCAGTTGTACCCCAAGATATCTTGGGGTCAAATGGTTGCAGGGAGGGTGGGTTATCTTTGGATAGAACGTCTCCTAACCAAAGGTCCCAACAGTGAAGAGTACAAATGGTCTGAAAAGAATCAAAGCAGAAGAGGAGAAGTTATGGAAGGGTACTGGTTCAGATAGCTCCCCTATTTCGGAGCATTAGAGTCACAAGTCAACTTTGAAGGTATTTTGATGACCTCTGCTCATTCCCCCAAATGTAGTCCATTACCCCGATTCCAGGAATTTTAAGATGCTCATTTGAAATGTTTTATTTCCCTTTCCCTCATACCATAAACTGCCTACAGGTGTTTTTGCTCTAGATCGGGCTTTTACTAAAGCCTTGAAGTGATGAGCAGCCTCAGATGAGCATGGTGCTTGGGAAGCTTTGCTGGGAGGGGCCTTGCTGATTCTGCACCTTGTTAGTGTCTCTACAGACAGACGTTCCAGGCCTTCTCTATGATGCTGCAGAGCCTGGTGGTAAAAGACCCACATCTGGAAAATTTTGACAACATTTTTAAGGTAAATGAAATGTCAGGTGCGGTGGTTTGAAAGGAAATGGCCCCCAAAGAGAATGGCGCTAGTAGTTGGAGTGACTGTGACCTTGTTGGAGGAAGTGTATCACTGTGGAGATGGGTATTGAGGTACCCCTCGATATATTCGAGCCACACCCAGTGTCTCAGTTCACTTCCTGTTGCCTCAAGATGTAGGACTCTCATCTCCTTCTCCAGGACCATGTGTGCCTGTACACTGCCATGTCACGCCATAGCAAACCCGGGCCCTCTGGAAGATCAGCCAGTGCTCTTAACCACTGGGCCATCTCTCCAGCCCCACCCCTCACTCTCATCTTTAGTTCTTTAAGAGCATATCATTAAAAAAATTTTCCAATGCAGAAAGGGCTGAAAACAGACAAAAGAGTAAAGTACTGAAATGAACAGAGATAAATCTAGAAATCAAGCTTTGAAGGAGCCAAGGTTTTATGTCTTGCTTGTCAACCCATCACTTCAATGTAATCTGCTTTATCATTAGTGCAGTAGGCTTCTTGAACTGCCAGCCTCCAAATCATGGCACAGAGACTTATTAATTATGAATATTTGGCCTTAACTTAGGCTTGTTTCTAGCTACTTTTAAAGAAAAACTTAAATTAACCAATTTCTATTTATCTGTGTGCTGCTCTAAGGCTCATTTATCTCATCTATGTACTGTCCTTCCTGCTTTTCTGCTTCCTTTGAACCTGGCTGGCTGGCCCCTGCCTAACTGGCCCCTGCCTAACTGCCTGGCTCCCCCTTTAAAGAAAAGCCAGCCCCACCTATCTCTGCCTAGTTATTGGCTGTTCAGCTTTTTTTTTTTGACCAATCAGGTGCCTTAGGCGGGCAAAGTAAAACAGCAACACATCTTTACATAGTGAAACAAATATTCTATTCTGCAACACATTAGGAGTGGTTTTTTAGATATTGAAGTAATGTAGAGTTTTTTTTTACTTCATATGTTCTTTCTTTTTAAAAATTTATTTATTTTTATTTTAAAAAACATTAGTGTTTCCCTGCATGTATGTCTGTGTGAGGGTGCCAAGTCCCCTGGAACTGGAGTCACAGACAGTTGTGAGCTGCCATGTGAGTGCTGGGAATTGAATCTGGGTCCTTTGGAAGAGCAGTCAGCGCTCTTAACCTCAGAGTCATCTCTCCAGCTATTCACATGTTTTTTCTAACAGAGTACAAGTTTTACTTCATGTATTCCTGACAGACCATTTGACCTTCTTTATTTTTTTATAGCACATGGACCCCTGGTTACAGTCAGACAAAGACCATGAGCGAGAACGGGCTACAGCCATCATGGCCCAAGTCCTCAAATGCTTATCCTGTTATCTCAACCTGAAGGTGAGTAACCTTGAGTGACTGAGGAAGAAGCAGGCAGGCACCCTTGATTGTTTTCTCCTCTGGTAGCTCAGCTTGGGCTCTGTATTCCTCTGGTGCAGGTATAGTTTCCCAGTATTCAGCATTATTTACATGTCTGCCCCAGTCCTACAGTGTGCTGAGTTTGAGGCCACATACTGTTTGTTAATCTTTGCACCCCTGTTATTAAGCACGACAGGTGAAACATGATGCAATAAATGTCCCTGAATAGATGAAGAAATAGATACAACCTGAAAATATGTAAAGGGCCCACACTAACATGAGCTATGTGCAGTTTGTCTTTGAAGAAATGAAGTCAAGCTAAGTATGGTGGTGCATGCATCTAGTCCCAGCACTTGGGAGGCAGAGGCAGGTGACTCTCTGGAAGTTTGAGGTCAGTCTGGTCTCTATATCTAATTCTAGGATAGCAAGGGATACATCTAAAAAGATCTTGTTAAAAAAAAGAACAAACGAAAGAAAGAAAAACAATGAAGCCCAGCAGGTCAGTTCAGACTAACCAATGCAAATATCTCAGGTTTTCTAAGAGAGTTGTACTGTTGTTGCCTGTGCTGAGGCTGGGGAGGGAATCTAAGAGACAGAGGAGACAGAGCGACCGGACAGAGACTGTTCCTAGTATCTCCACCTTCTTGTCGCCATCAGAGGAAGAATTCTCTGTTGGGGCCAGCCTCGACAAAAACACCTTCCTCCAGAGTGGAGGCGTGGGAATTTAGAAATATAGTAAATACAAAGACACGAATGAAAATAATAAAATGCAGAAACTTGTAGGATAGTATTAGGAGGGAATTTTTCAGTGAGTACTAAAATTCGCCCGTGTTTAATTTCTGTCCCGACCAGCGGGATATGAATCAGGAGTACGAACCCTGGAGGGGAGAAATGAAGGGGCAAGAGACACGAGAAACAGACAGCAACTCTGTGTTCTGATCAAGCTGCCAACTTCATTTTTTTCTCAGGAGCATTATATAGCATAAAGGCAGCGGGGAGGGTGGGATGCTGGAATGTCAGGTCTGGAGACTTCCCTAACTGATAGGAAGAGATAAGGAAATGACGAGGGTCTGTAAATGTTTACAGGGGGAAATGCTAATTACTTCTGGAGCCCGCAGGTCTGCAGGTCTTTAGGCGCTCTTATTTATTTATTTATTTATTTATTTATTTATTTATTTAAGATTTCTGTCTCCTCCCCGCCACCGCCTCCCATAACCCTCCCCCTTCCCCAATCAAGTCCCCCTCCCTCGTCAGCCCCAAGAGCAGTCCAGGTTCCCTGCCTCGTGGGAAGTCCAAGGACCTCCCACCTCCTTCCAGGTCTAGTAAGGTGAGCACCCAAACTGGCCTTTAGGCACTCTTAACTCACAGGGAGAGATAAGAAGATACTGAGTTATTTCCAATTTCCAACTGGTTAATATACCCCATACCCCAAAAGGTAAGAGTAAAATGAAAGACTGCATTAACATACAGATTGAAAGTCACAGGGTATATTCATCACTCATGCCCTAGACCAAACACTCTACAGCAAATCACTCCCTGGGTAGAATCCCAAGTTATTTCCATAAAGGGAACTAGAATCTAATTGAATCCTTAGACTTTTGTTTTAGGTAGGAACCATCTACTTCCCTATTTCAGGAGCAAGAGTTCTGGCAACTAGCCTTGACGATAGCCTTGAGAGAGCAGAATTCTGAATAAAAACTGCGCAGGGCCTTTGTTAGAAGCACAACTTTGAATGAACTAAAAACTAGTCCCAACCTCTCTTACCTTTGGCCTCATTGGGCCTCCACAATTCAGAGACAAAGTAAGGAACTGGGAGGTTTATCAGTAAGAGAAAGTATGAACTCAAGGGTGAAGGGAGGTGTCCCCAGAGTCAGTCATACCCACCAGTGTTTGGGACTGCATTTTTCCTGGGGTAACATAATGATTAAGAGGATTGTACATGGGCTAGGGCAGAGAGGAATTCCTAAATAGGGCCTGCTCCTCTTTTCTATACTTACCTGGAGTTTTCAGATGTGTCTCAGAGATAGGAAAGGCCCAAACTGCAATGCTAATAATATGGAAGCCATTATAATGAAGTAAAAGCCCATCCGTCTTGACTGGCCATGCTGTCCCCAGCTGCTTGTTCACGGCTGTGTGCTGACTGTTGGAGCCACATAATACCCTGCTGTCGTCCTACTTAGTAGGTGCCTCAGCCTCCAGCCACTGTGCTGTCACCAGCATGGTATGGTTAAGGGGAATGTTTTAGTGTAGATATGAACAACAGAGTGCCAGAGGCATCTGGAAGAGTCCAGAGCGGAGAGAGAAAAAAGTAGACTGGACATGGCCAGCAGACTGGGCCTGACTGTTAAGTTTTTTCGACCAACAAGCCTCTCTGCCAACGCAATAATCCAAATTAGACCAAATCAGACTGAATTAGAGGAAACCCAGGTTTAATGGACACCAACGCTCCTGGGTGCCCCCCGTGGGAAAACATGGGGGTGGAGGAAGGAGAACCTGAGAAACCATGGAAAATGGGAAGACCAGGTGTTCATTCGCTGGGAGGCAGTTTAAATAGCCTGTGGGAGTGGTCTTGCCCCTCCCTGGGGAGGGGTCACCGTTTGGAGAGCTTTCTTTCTTTCTTTCTTTCTTTCTTTCTTTCTTTCTTTCTTTCTTTCTTTCTTTCTTTCTTCCTTCCTTCCTTCCTTCCTTTCTTTCTGTTTTGTTTTGTTTTGTTTTTCGAGACAGGGTTTCTCTGTGACTTTGGAGCCTGTCCTGGAACTAGCTCCTAGACCAGGCTGGTCTCGAACTCACAGAGATCCGCCTGCCTCTGCCTCCCCAGTGCTGGGATTAAAGGCGTGCACCACCATCGCCCGACTTGGAGGGCTTTCTTGAAGGTGGAGTCTACTGCAGCCACTCCCAGGGCTTGGGAGCTTGGACTTGGAACTTTCCACCCAACATTTCAGACAGACTCCTTGTATATATGGATGCGAAGGGGCTGGGGTGAAACCCCCAACTAAACATTCCAGACTCTTTGTATAAAGGGGTGTTAGGGTGCTGAGGTGATGCTTTTAACCAAACACTGACCAGGGCCATCTGCAAGACAGGAAATATTAGCAGGGAATAGGGGAATAGGGAAAACAGAGAATCAAGAGTGGAGCATAGAAAAAAACATAGCAAGACTAGCAGGATTATAAGGAAAATGAGTAGTTAGCTGGTGGGAGGGCTTGCTGCCTGTGGCTTGCTTGGCCTGCTTTCTTATAGAACCCAGGACCACTACCTTAGGGGTGGCCCCACCCACAGTGGACTAAGTCATCCCCCATTAATCACTACAAAATTGCCCTACAGCTGAGTCTTTTTAAAAATATTTCTTTTGTGTGTGTGCATTGGTGTTTTGTCTGCATCTATGTCTGTCTGTGGTGTTGGATCCTAGAATTAGAGACAGTTGTGAGCTGCTATGTGGGTGCTGAGAATTAAACCGGGGTCCTCTTGAAAAGCAATCATTGGCCTTAATCACTGAGCCACCTGTCCTGTCCCTACAGCCAGATCCTATGTGAAATTACCTGGTGTGAGTGAGAAGGAAACATGGAACATGCAACAAACCCACTTAGGAGGGGCATGTACAGGCCTGGGGAAGTCAGTGTGCAGAGAGAGAGACAGGAAGATGGCCCGTCCAGCTTTTAAAAGCTGTCTAGCGCATGCGCACAGAGGGTTAATGTGGTACATCATACGCAGATGACAGGGCTCACACGTACACGCAAGGGCTTAGCTGAGTCATAAGTGGACCACAAGGGGCCCTTTAACATCCCTGGGGGCCATTAGGCACTTCTGCCTGAGGGCTTGTCTGCACATGAATGACCCCTAGAACCCGGAAGTATCTGCCTTATGTGGCTGAAATCATTACATTATGGAGGCATTTTATCAATTGCTATTCTCTCCTTTCAGCTAATTTTAGCTTGTGTCAAGGTGACTAAACTAACCAGTACAGGCTAGAACTTTGAAATGTGTCAAACAGGTATTTGCGATACTGAAGAGGGCCAGCATGAGCTTTGATGTGCTGATAGTCACAACACACAGGTAGCCATACGTCCCTTCTGCCAGAGGTAAGGGAAATGACTCCTTTTGGTAGAGGGTGTCAGGTTCCAAAGAAGCAAAAGGCTACTGTGGTGCCTATTAGGATACCCAAGTGTCTGCTTGGCCTCTAGGCTCACTCAGTACCCTGGCTCCTCTCAGCACTTCTCACCCTGCCCCCCCCCAACTCTTTCCACCCCAGGGGCTTCACTTCCTTTACCCAAGTTTCTCCTTCCTATAGAATAACCCTGTCATTTTGGCCATTCATTCTGCTGGTTCCTCCTGGCTCTTCTCTTGGTCCCCTTGCTCTTCCTTCTCTCTTATTACCCCCCCCCCCACACACACACACCATGGCCTGATTCCCTCTGGACTCTTCCTGATGCCTCTGGCTGTTCTCTCCCTCATATGGACAATAAAATTCTCAGCCCTACCTTAGAACTGTCATGTCCTCATTTCAGCCAGAGGGGGAACCAGCTTCACAAACTTCCTGAGGACTGCTGGCCTTTCCTAACTCCAGTACAGACTACTCCTGTAGTCAAGCAGAGCCTATTTCTGGATTTTTGGACTGCCTTTTGAAGTCCGGTGAATTGGAGTTTCCTTTGGAATGATACAGTTTACTTTCTTTTCCCCTGTGCCTGTTTATTTTCCCAAGGATCCCATGTTTAAGTCCTCGTATTTCTCTCTTTCAGTCCTGTACTTCTCAGTTGTCAATCCTCTGCTGTAGCTTCTAAGAAGAATCCCCCCAAACTGTGATCACCTCTCCTGTGTCTATTCATTTTTCCTTCTGCAAATCAGTGTGTCTTGCTCTGAGCAGGTTATCTTCCTTGCCCCCATCCTCCTCCTCTTTGCTCTCATCCTTCTCTTTGTCCCTCTCCTCCTCTTTTACTTTTCCTTCTCCTCTTTCCCTTCTTTTCCTCTTTGCCCTGCTTCTCCTCATTAACCCAGTGACTCTCTTTGCTGTTACAATTCAGGATCTTGATATACTGGCTCCTACCTGTCTCTGCAGCCTTTACAACCTCACTAGTCTCTTCTAGATCTCTAATTACCTAAAGCTCATCTTGCTGCTTCAGCTACTTGGAATGCTCAGCCTCAATTCTCCATGTAGCTACTCACTGTAGTGTTCAGTTCAGATGCCTCCACATTAAAAAAACCAAAAAACCCTTGCCAGTCAAACAATGCCATTTAGCACTTGGGAGGGAAAGGCAGGAAGATCGCAGAAGTCCAGTAGCATCCTCAGCTGCAGAGGCAGGCAGATCTGTGAGTTTGAAGCCAGCCTGATCTACAAAGAAAATTCCAGGACTGCTGTTACATAGAGAAATTCTGCCTCAAAAAACCAAAGAAAGAAAAAAAGTTTTTTAGAACTAGAAAGCCTGGTAACTTGAATTCAAGCCCTATGACTCACATAAAGGTGGAAAGGAAGAACTAACTCCACAGAGTTATCCTCTGACCTCCACACTTATGTTGAGGCAGATGAGCCCAAAGATGCACTTCTCCCCCCCCTCTCTCTCTGCCTCTCCTTCTCTCTTCCTCTCTCTCACACACTAAAATGAAAACAAATAATTTTTAAAAGTAGTTTTTAGTTTCTTTTATTTGTTTGTTTATTTATGTATTGAGACAGATTCTCACTATGTAGCCCTATCTGCCCTGGAACTCACTTTATAGACCAAGCTGGCCTCAAACTCACAGAGATCCACCTGCCTTTGCTTCCCTACTGCTGGTGTTAAAGACTTGCACCACCATACCTGGCTTGTAGGCAGAGTTTTCCTGTCCTGACTGCCTGCTCCCAAATAATCAGCAGCTGCTTCCCAAATAAATGACTCTGAGACTTAATATAAATTATAAATGCTTGGTCAATAGCTCAGGCTTATTACTAACTAGTTCTTTTAAGTTAACCCATATTCCTTATTTATGCTCTGTCATGTGGCAGTACCTTTATTAGCATGACATATTCATCTGCTCCGTCTGTGTCTGGGCTGACTCCCTCTGTGTCAGCTCTGACTCTGCCCTTCTTTATCCCATTATCCTCAATTTGATTGTCCCACCTATATTTCCTGTCTGGCTATCAGCCAGTCAGCTTTTTATTAAACCAATCATAGCAACATATATTCACACAGAGTACAGGAGTATTCTACAGCACTGGCTTAATATTTTTTATTTTTAAAAAATGTATATAGATGCTGTGCCAGCATTTACACAGTGTAGTCAAATATCTCGCAATAGTATTTCTCTGTGTGTAGCTCTGTAGGCTAGGCTGACATCAAACTCACAGAGATCTACCTCCCACGTGCTGGGATTAAAAGCATATATCACCAGCATCTGACTTTAATCAATATATTTAAGCATTAGTGCTGTACTCACTTTGATAGATTTTTCTCTTTGCTTAGTGTGTCATAAATTTCTTGTTTAATAGGTTTTCATGATGGGGTTTGTTCTTGTATGTTACTGGGTCCCTAGAAAGGATAGGCATGAGTTATACTACTAACCCAAGCCTCCAGGCCAGACACTTCATTTCTAGTGGTTATGTTCATAGAATGATATGCCATAATTTCCTTTTCCATTACTAGGCAAATATTTTCAAAATGCAATCCTTAAAAACAATGCTGTATGAGTTTTAGAATTGTCAGGGCTACATAGAAAAACCTTTGCTTGAAAGATTAATTATCTAATTAATTATTTAAAAAATTAGTGTTGGAATGAACATCATTATTGCCAAAGCCTCCTCATTTTAGAACATGTTCATAGGTTAGGTTGCCCTTTGGCTGGAGGAATCATAGCAGACATGTAAAACAGTAACTCCCAGAGATCCAAGGGCCTGGGACCCTTGAGCCTCTTTGGAGCTGCGGACTCCTCAACAACTCCAATTGAAGGTGAAATGCCCCCCATATTCTGATGACATTTTCCTTCCTTCTCACTTAGTTTCCCCTGCAGTTCCAAAAGCTTGGACATCTGGTGGCTCTGATGGCACTGCTGTGTGGGGACCCAGTGAAAGAGGTGGCTGAAGAGGCTGCAGAGGGAACACATTACCTGCTCCATATCATTATGAAACTGAAATGTAAGACACTGTGGAATGAAGGTGTAATCTAACGTTTAGCACAGCCATAGGCACCAGCCCTCCTCCTACCATGTTCTAGAAATATTTTCTTTAGCAATTCATAGAGAGAAAGGTCCATAGTCCACAGACAGAGATGAGGCAATGCTGATTGTGCTGGTGTGAATAAGAATGGCCCCTATAGGCTTGTATATTTGAATGCTTAGTGTCTTAGGGTTTCTATTGCTGTGAAGCGACACCACGACCTTGGCAATTCTTGTAAAGGAAAATATTTAATTGGGGTCGTTCTCTTACAGTTCAGAGGTTTAGTCTATTATCATGCAGGCATAGTGCTGGAGCTGAGAATCCTTATATCTTGATCCAAAGGCAGCAGGAAGTGAACTGCCTTACTGGGCATGGCTTGAGCATTTATGAGATTTCAAAGCCCACCTCTACAGTGACACACTTTCTTCATTAAGACCACAACTCCTAATAGTGCCAATCCCTTTTTGGGCCATTTTCTTTCAAACAGCCATACTTAGTCAATAGGCAGTGGCACTATTTGAGAAGGATTAGGAAGTGTGGCCTTGTTGGAGTAGGTGTGACCTTGTTGGAGGAAGTGTGTCACTGGGGTTGGGCTTTGAAATTTCATACCCATTCCACATCCAGTCTCTCTCAGCATATGGATCTTAGCTACTTCTCCAGCACCATGCCTGCCTGCCCCCATGCTTCCTGTCACAATGATAATGGACTAAACTCCTGAAACTCTGGACAAGTCCACAATTAAATGCTTTCCTTTATAAGCGTTGCCTTGGTCATGAAGTCTCTTCACAGCAACATGACAGTGACTAAGACACTGACTTCAACACTGGAGCCATAACTCTGTCTTGGACCCCGCTCACGTGTCCACCATCTGCATGGCTGTGGGGTAACTAGACCTTGGTCATAGAAACAAATTGGGGTGATTGGTTTGGTCAGAAGTGGGAACTACTTGTCATCATCTGGTCCTCCTCCCATAACTGTTCATTTAGAATTGAATTGGGATTCGGTAGTGTGCTCACCAGTTATGTCAACTTGACACAAGCTAGGGTTATCAGAAAGGAGGGAACATCAATTGAGAAATTGCCTCCACAATACTGGACTGTAGTCACACCTGTAGGGTGTTTCTTTAATTAGTGATTGATGTGGGAGCACCCAGCCCATGGTGGGTGGTCCCATCCCCAAGCTGTTGGCCCTAGATTCTATAAGCTGACTGAGCAATCTGTGAGGAGCAAGCCTGTAAGCAGCATCCTCCATGGCCTCTGCATCCTCTCCTCTCTCCAGGTTCCTGCCTTGCTTGAGTTCCTGCCATGGCTTCCTTCAGTGATGGACTGTGATGTGGATGTCTAAGGCAAATAAACCCTTTCCTTCTGAAGTTGCTTTGGTCATGGTGTTAGTACAGCAATAGAAACACTAAGACAAATAGTAACTAGAGTACAAAGGTCCCTAATCTTTGTATCAGTCTAGGGATATCCCAAGGAGTCAACAAAGAAACACCATTAACTGTAATATAATGGAAATGTACAGAAACATGAGTAAGAGTCAAATGTGTTGATGAGTTCAGAGAAGGCTTTCTGAAGCTCATGTGAAGACAGCAACCAAGCAGGGGAACAGGTAGAAAAGGCACCAGAGGGAACCGCCTTAGCAACTGAGGAAGCTCTGCTTCCAAAGCAGCCACCCATGTAAGGCAGCTCTGTGTGTGAGCACTGTTTACAAAGACAAAAGTAAGGAAGTGCCTCTTCCTCCTGAGTGCTGGGATCAAAGGTGTGTACTATTAGGCCCTGCTAGGAATACTGGCTTTTCTCTAATGGATGGAAATCCTCCTGTAGTCCAGTTTGAATTTATTTCTGGATATCTGGACAGCCTGAGACTTAATAATTGAATTATTGACTCAACAAATATTGACAATGCCCTGTCCAGCAATATGAAGTCACATTAAAGCATGAGAAACAAGCCGAATGTGGTGACACAGACATTCCAGCATTCAAGCACTCAGGAGGCAGAGGAAGGTGGATCTCTTTGGCTTTAAGAGCAGCCTAATCTATGTAGTTGATGTGCGATCCCCTCTGTATGCTTTGAATATGTTTTATTACCATTGATTAATAAAAGAAGCTGCTTTGGTCTATAGCAGGGCAGAATATAGCCAGGTTGGANGAATTCCCCAGTGACCACACATCGCCCATGGGCTCAGAGCCTTAAAGACCTTGCTGCGTCGCTGTCTCCTTCTGAGCTCTGTTTCTCTTCCCTGCTCCAGTTTAGTCCCACTGTTTCAGTCATGACTTGGCTTCCTTTTACTCTTTTCTTTGTACTTTGTGTGTGTGCACGTGCACGCACGTGCGAGAGAGAGAGAGAGAGAGAGAGAGAGAGAGAGAGAATAGGTGGAGTTAGGGACACTCCATGTAGCTGCCGAAGGGCACAGATGCTCTGGAACCTTGCAGGTAAACCATGAGCCTTATGGTAATACATAGAATAATAGAAATGGGTTAATTTAAGATGTAAGAGCTAGCTATAACTATGCTTAAGCTATTGGTCAAATAGTATTGTAATTAATATAGTTTCTGTGTGATTATTTTGGGTCTGGGTGGCCAGAAAACCAATAAGCAGCCTCTGTCTACACATAGTGAATTCCAGGACAGCTAGGGCCATGTAAAGAGACCTTGTCTCAAAAGGACCAAACCACAACAAAAACAAAGCACATCGAAGAGGCAAGGCAGTACAATGGGAGTAGGCAACTCACTGGTCAGCAAGTCCCAGGAAGATGCCATCCCACTCCTCTCCAGTGGGGTAGTGCCGGAGCCTTCCCTTTTTCTACTCAGAAAACCACTCCAAATCTTTGCTCTGTTTGTTTGTTTGTTTTTGTTTTTTGAGACAGGGTTCCTCTGCGTAACAGTCCTGGCTGTCCTGGAACTAGCTCTGTAGACCAGGCTGGTCCCGAACCAGTTCTGGGATTAAAGGCATGTGCCACCATCATCCAGCCCAAATCTCTGTTCTGACAAAACACCTTCTCATTTCCCTTTGGCTGTTTGTATATATTGCTTTATAAGGAAGAGGACAGGACCTGCCTGCAGATTAGATTGATTCACTCAAGGGAAAACCAGGGATTGACTTCACGTTGGCCATCAGAAAGACTTAGGAATGAGCAAAAAAGAAGCAGAGTGAGCATAATAACGACGCATTCTCTTCCTAGATGCCACACAGGACAAAAACAATGGCAAGAGCTTGAGAGAAATTTTGAAAAGGTGCAGGGAGCTGCTGGGGCACTACAGTGTCAAACAGTTCTACTCTTGTCCCTTCAAAATTGTCCAGGTAATTAGAGAGCTCAGAAGCATCCAGGTAGGCAGCCCGAAGTGCTGCACGGTGGGGAGAAGACAGACATCTTGTTTGTTCGTGGAAATGTGAGATGGTAAAAATGACACTGGAAAGTTCTGGGTTTTGTTTTTGTTTTTGTTTTTTTTTTTCTTATAAAACCAACCACAGGAGATTTCCCGGGAATGTGCTCTGTAAGCATCCAGGATTTTCAGAAAAGGTACCATGTTCATGAACTCACACACCAGATCCCTCGCTCCCTTTTTTAAGACAGGGTCTCACTGTGTATCACTGACTGAACTGGTACTCACTGTGTAGACCACACTGTCCTAGAACTCACAGCAGTTTGCTTTTGTCTGCCACCCACATGCTGAGATAAAGGCTTATACTACCATGTCTTATTGCCCGGTTGTCTGTCTCAGTTTAGTGGTTTATGTCAACTTGCTGAAGAGGTCAGTGATTCACCTCAGTCTAGGGAACTCTCACTGAACACCAGCTGCTTGCTTGTGTTAAACCTTTCATGTAGAGGAGCTTCAAGAGAGGCCGGTCAAACCAACAAGCTATGTGCTTTTAAATGTAACTGTTCATTACTCAGCAAAGACACATGCATCTGCTAGGTATGTTAGAGACAAAGGAAACCTATAGGCTGGGGAGATGGCTCAGTAAAGGGCTTTCAGTGCAAGCATGAAGACATGAGCACTAGCCCCAGTAGCCATATTTAAAAAGGGAAAAGCCTGGCTGGGCAGTGCTGGCACACACATTTAATCCCAGCACTCAGGAGGCAGAGGCAGGTGGATCTCTGTGAGTTCGAGGCCAGCCTGATCTACAGGACAGGCCCCAAAGATACAGAGAAACCCTGTCTCGAAACCCCCCTCAAAAAAAAAAAAAAAAGAAAAAGAAAAAAGCTGAGTGTAGCAGTATATTCCTATAGTCCTAGCCTGAGGAGACAGCCAGGGGGATCCCTAGAATCTGATGGGCAGCAAGTCTAGCAGAATCAGTGGCTTCCAGATTTAGTAAGAGACCCTGCCTCAGAAAATAAGATAGAGATTGACAGAGGGAAACACTGAGACAGACCTCTGGCTTACACATGCACACTTCTCCCATGCATTCATACATACACATACATATATGCATACATACATGAATACAAACACACATAAAGGGATACTTAAAAATCTTACTCATGTAGGGTTTAAAATACCATGTAATCCAGTGCAGGTATCAGTTTCTTCATCTATCCGGTGGGAGTCTGTACATGCTGGGCGACTCCATTGCCCTAAGAGCTGAACAATGCAAACGCTTGGCATACTGCCTGTTGCACAGTAAGCACCCAGTGGAGTGTATCTGTTCCAGTCATGTGGAGTCAGAGCAGTAAAAGGCTGTGAATAGACTTTAGCTTTGGACTTTTTGTGCTTCCAGTTTTCCATTTTGGTAAATATATTAGGGTTCTCTAGAGGGGTAGAACTTATAGAAAGTATATATGTATATGAGTTATTAGAATGGCTTACAGGCTGTGGTCCAGCTAGTCCAACAATGGCCGTCTGCCAAGAGAAAGTCCAAGAATCCAGTAAGGTGTTCAGTCCTTGAGGATGGATATCTCAGCTGATCTTCTGTAGATGCTGGAATCCCAGAGTAGTCTCTAATGCCAGTGAAGGGATGGACTTGCTAAGAGAATGAGAGCCAGTTCCCTTCTTGTCCTTTATATAGGCTGCCAGCAGAAGGTGTGGCCCAGATTAAAGGTGGATCTTCCCATCTCAAATGATTTAAGAAAAAAAATCCCTCACAGGTGTACTAAACTGCTTGGGTTTCGTTAATCCCGAATGCAGTCAAGTTGACAGAAGGGCATAGCTACCCAGTAAATAAGCCAGCACTAGATAGCACAGCCCTCTCTCCCACAGTGCCGGAGTGCTGGGCCTCACACATCACAGGCAAACACTGAGTTGTATTCCCAGCCCATACCAGGTATCTTGAAAACTCATTTTTCCTAAATTGTTGCAGGTCTTTGAAGTTTTCCTTGATTCAGAAGAACTCAGACAGTTCATAATTACTACATTGGACAGCCTGAAAAGCCTGTCCCGTCCCTGTACCCAGCAGACAGCAGGAGAGTTGTTGATAACTTTGATGACGCATGCAGAGGACCGATTTGAGAAGGTAAAAGCACAGAGCCGTTTCCTGGATTTGAAATAGAAGCAAGCCCTCTCCCTCCTGTGGCTGAAAAGGTCTGGCCATTTGTGCTCACCTGAATCAGGCACTAGTGGGGACAGGACCAAAGCCTTGCTCTGCTGTTCACAAGTACGTGAGCATGGACTCACCAGTCCCCATACCAAACTTAAGGTGCAGGGCTGGGGAGCTAGCTCCATGTGAAGTGTTGTTTCACAAGCATGAGGATCTGTGTTCAGATCCCTTGGACTCATCTGAAAGCCTGGCACGGTCCTGAGCATCTGTAACTCTAGCACAGGGAACAGAGCTAGGCAAATTCCCAGAGCTCAGTGCCCAGCAAGTCCAGTTAAAATGGTGAGCTCCAGTTGATTAAAGAGATTGTGTCTCCAAAAAAAAAAAAAAAAAAAAAAAAAAAAAAAAAGAAAAGAAAAAAGAT